AAAAATATTTTGTCCTTTTTTAATGTCGAGAAATAAAAACATTCAATATATTATAAAAATAAATAGGAAATATGTAAAAAATATTTATTTAAAAAGAAATATTATTATTAGAAATAGAATAGCAAAACAACAAAGGGGAAATGTTGGGAACCGGGGTTATTGGCTGGGGGGGGAGGAAAGGAAAATCCTGAGAACTGGGGGGCGATTACTTGTGCAAAGTTGGCCAAAATCAAGAATGATATCTAACAGTTGCTATTCAACTGTGAATAATGACGTCATAATATTTCTCGCGGCGAAGCAGCGCAGTGCCGAAGGCAATGCCTTAGGAGAGATTACAGGCAAGAGTAAATCAAATATTTTTAGGTTAAGTGGTTATGTATCTGGCTTCAGGCCGAAGGCCTGAAGCCTGATGCATGACCACTTAACCTAAAAATATTTGATTTACTCTTGCCTGCAATCTATTCCTGCAAGCAACTTTTTCCTTATCCCCGGTAGGCAAAAATCAGTAGGTTAGGTTAGGTTAGGTTAGGTTAGGTTAGGTTAGGTTAGGTTAGGTTAGGTTAGGTTAGGTTAGGTTAGGTTAGGTCAAGTCAGGTAAGGTTAGGTTAGGTAACAATTAGATTTGAGGCAAGAACCCCGATTCCTAAAATTTCCCAAATATTGTAACCATTCTTATCGTATTTTTCTCCATCCCCTCCCCACAAACCCCGGTTCCCGACATTTCCCTATGACGTCATTTTCATTTTTTCTCTCCCCCACCCATGAACCCCGATCCCCAACATTTCCCTGTTTTTCTAACCCTCCCCACCCAATAACCCCGGTTCCCAACATTTCCCCTTTGTTGTTTTGCTATTCTATTTCTAATAATAATATTTCTTTTTAAATAAATATTTTTTACATATTTCCTATCTATTTTTATAATATATTGAATGTTTTTATTTCTCGACATTAAAAAAAGACAAAATATTTTTCACAAATGGCAACGCTGGACACTTTCAATTTCCTCTCGATTTGTTTTGATCGTGTGTTGTGGGAAGGTGTAATTGCTTAGTGTATTGGTGATAATTTTGTTCTTGCGAGACATGTAAGTATGATTTTTGGATTCAGCATGTCAAAATATGTAAGATTATGAAAGAAATATCATTGAAATGTGCTTAGGACGTAAACTTGACATTTACCAGTTTTAAGCGATTTTTCAACGAACAAACCCATTTAAATCAGAATGACCAATTGACCAAACGAGGTGACGTCACACTAACGGTCGCTCCATGTTGAAGATAGGGCTTTGTACAAGGCCCATTTTCAAATGAAGGGAACGAATTTCTTCAACACCAAGAGGCCGCGGGGGTTGCAACCTAGATAGATAGTGGTTTCTGAACCTCGCCGCAAACTTGGCTATCTCAACTCAAACCCCATGTTAAAGGTGGGATAGTCCCTTTAAGCGGCGTTAGGCAAAACACAGCACCCGTTTGGTTATCGCGTCGAGCCAATGCCCCGTACGTCCTCTCTCATTAGTCATTGCACATTTGAATTCACTGATCCCGGTATATTAAGCTCCACGACGTGATCACGGAATAAGTTTTTAGCATCAGCCCTGTGGGGCTTTGCAATTGGGAATAGCACATGACTCTCGGATTTATATTTTACATATTTTATCTCTCATGACCTTGTTTATGTTTTAGGGCCTTGCTCATGACTCACTGCGAAAGCCTTTCCAATTAAATACGATGGAATGAGGTATTTTGTGACGTCCCTGTGCTATGCCATCAGGAAGTTAATAATTCAGAACGAGTCAGCAGTTAAAACCGTCCCGGGATATACCGACATTTTCAGCACCGCAAGAATGAAGCAGCCGAAACTATTAATCGTCAAAACACAACACCCGTCCACTTCTCAGTTCTCAGAGCCAATAAAACATTCTTCCACAGAAAGCCCTACAACGCCCGACTACAAACAAAACAACGCTGCAATGAGACGAATCGATTCCATAAGAACCCCGTCACCCCGTGCCGAAAGGCGTGCCTGGCAGCCGGCCGGACCTCGGGCTGGGGTCGATCAATACAGTCTCGGAACGGTCTGACGTCAGCACACGGCCACACATGACGCTGAGGGGGGGGGGGGGGGGCAGGGGTAACTCGGGAAATGAATAACCTGTCCAGCGGCCAGCGGCCCGTGCCCTCCCGCCTCTACCTTCCAGTTCGGAAACTGACTCTGAAACTATTCCTCCTCTGAGTTTTCGTCTCCGAGTTCTCTCAGCCTCCCCTTTCTCCCTCGGTCTAGACTCTTTCCTTCCTCAGTGGCGGAAAATCTTATCTCCGGCGGCGGCCCTGGTGGCTGTCAGCTCAGCTCCAGAGGGAAGTCCCCGTCCTGTCCGGCTGCGCAGTGGGGGTACGTGGGATGTGGGAGCGGGACAGGGGGTCCCCGGGACAGGCAGGCTGCCGACCACCCCCGGTCGTTACCCACTCACCTTGTACAGACCGCGCACGCCCTCGTACTGGTACGTTTTGCGGAACGCGTCGATCATGCCGCCGTACTTTTTACTCTCGGGCAGGTTGGACACGTCCGAGGTGTACTGAAGGCAGAGTCTGCACGGAGAGCAGGAGGGAGGGAGGGGGCTCAGTCACGTACCGCACCGGAAAACTTTGTGATATTCTAATGCAAAATATAATTTGGGAAAGAAATATCAATAAATTAAACTGTTACAAACACGTAGGTAGTTGTTGGGTACAAATCTTCGCTTGCATTCCATATTACGAGCCAAACAACTCACGAAAGCTTGCGCAAACTTTTGAACGGCGATAACCCAAAGCACATTGTCCACCAATCAAGCTCAAATCTCGAAATGAAGCAGCCGGTCTAACCACTACGATATCCCGTTGTCATTTATTGCGCTAGACCGGTTACTTTTTGGTAAAACGAATCCGGCAATCTGGCCATCATACGCTCGCTTGCATCTTCAACGGACAGCGCACGCAAGGTACGCGAACCGCCGCGGGAAGGGTCAGAGTGACAGGGGGAGATAAGCAGAGCGGTGCGGCGGCAACTCACCGCGCTGCTGTCTCACCTGGTTTTGACCACCCAGATGGGGTTCGTGACCACCAGGGTGAGCACACCAGCCTCCGAGGCGGCCAGCATGTGCCGCGCGGCGCCCAGGTCCCTCTGTGAGTCGCCGTCCTGCATGTACGACTTGATGGACCCGTAGCTGGCGGCACGACAGCGGACACAGGTCAGCAATCGCGCTTCACACGGAACAAGCATTGAATGTCCACAAATAAATAGCGTCTATGCATCTTCAAAAATAACGATATGTTTACGATACGTTTACAGAACTTAATTTCCAAACATATGTATATCTAGCATGATTGAACGACATAAGCAAAAACACTGATGGCCTCTAATAATGGCCGAATAAACTGTGATGGATACTTACAACAGGAAGTAGAGCCCCCAGGCGGAGCCGGCGCCCCACACGTTGGGTGTGACTCCTCGGTAGAGACCGCGGACCCCCTCTGTGCTGAAGATGGTCCCGAACGCGTTCAGCATGCCATTGTAGTGTGGCCGGGAGCGGATCACGCCGTCATCCACTGCAGTACGGAATCAATGTCAAAATAAACACTGCTAAATAGTGGGGATAATTCAATCATCTGCCAGTGATCTGGACACCTTGTTATAGCAACTCAAATCTAGTCAGGGATGACAAAAGGTGATCAAGTTTCAACTATATTTAGCGACATTTTGATTTATTTTTATAGCATTTTGTCCACATATGTTCATTATTAGGTACCTACTCAGTAATATATGCATAAGGCATGTACAGATTACAGGCTCCAGCCCCAGGAGAAACAATTCATTAAATCTCCAGCAGTTCAGAATCAAGTTTAGGCAGTGGGTATGACTACAATCGCTGCAAATTAATGCATCATATTTTTTACTTAAGTGTCAAAAAGCAATATTTTCAATGAAAATCATTCCGTACACCATCCATACCTGCAAATCTGATTTTGATGAGATCTAGAGGGTGCAGAATCAGAGTAGATGCAATGCCACCTGCCATGCCTGCAGTTAAGTGTTCATATCTAAGAGATGATATCAAGCTCCTGAACATTGGAGTTGGTTTCTTCTGATTCACACTAGCCTCCGATGCCATGATTGTTTTCAGCTGTTCTAATGGCAGCTATAACCTGCCAAATCACCTAAGTGTGAGGGGAAAATATGATAAAAGCTTTCCTTATAAAGAAAACTATATGACAGATGAAGCCTGTCTGCATGTCTCTTGAGCATTCTTGAATATTGAAGAACTTGTCTTGCTCATGCTAAGCTTCATCCTCCACCACGATAACCTTCTTACGTCGCCCAGAGCACAATAACGATTTGGTCACAATACAAATGCAACCTTGTTTTCTTCCAAAATTAGCGCCAAATTGAAATTCACAATCTAACACGCATATGTCGGCACTTTTCCACAAAGCACGGACGACAGCACACGCAGACCGCACCTCTCCGCCCACGGACCTCGACTGACAACGCGCTCGGTGACTGACGCATATCGACGCAGGCACGCCACGATCGCCGCTTTTCCTCTCGTTTGGCAGCCTGAAACTCCTTCATGCGGCAAAACTTTTTCTTCAATTTCCGTCACCAGGATATGTGCTGAGTGCTGGGGAAACAGGAACTGTGCCCGTGCGATTGATCTGCGGTATATAGGGCCTTGATCTGCATTAGTGGCCTGCGGAAAAAGGTGCTCGGATCAGTCTGAATAGATAGGTTCATAGTTTGAAACAGCGCCGTTGCAACGATGCTGCCTGGCCACAAGCGGCCATCACAAATCAACTCAAGGATGCGTCATTCGAGATTGCCTTATTCATATCTCCTCGGCAGACGTCTGTGTGATTTGTGACTGCAAATAGGTCACCAATCCATCCATGTTCTACACATACTTGATGTCATTGTTTGGAATCGTACATGTTTCCAGTCTCCCTTCTACAACTAGCCAAGAGAAGTGTTGTGCGATATTTGTATTCATGATTCCCATCTACTCCGCAGTCTCCCAGAAAATACTGTCGTTGTACTCAGCCAGCCCAATATAAAAGAACACAACCGAATAAGGCCAAACACATTGCGGCAGGTATCTCAGTCGTCTATTGCCCCGGACGCATTATGCTGCTGGTCGCAGTCGGCGCCGACCGCCAGTCGCCGGTCGCTGACCCCGGCCGGGTCAGGTCGGGTCACAGGGCCCCTCCGGCAGCGGGCAGGAGACGCTCCTTGGGAGCGGGAGCCGCCGGCGCCGCGGCCCTCACACAGCAGGCACGCTACAGACGAGCGGCGAACGCTGCAACGGAGACAGGGAGTCAGAGGGGCCGGGCAGAGCGCTACCGCACGGAACAAACAACAGATCATAACGTTACTGAATGGACAGAAAGGTAGGTTCAGAAACAACGGACGACGTTGTATCATTGTCGAAGTGGCGTTGAAAAGGCAAGAAAGACATCGCAATATATTATCATTACACGTCTGATATGAACTGTAAAATATACAGGGAAGCAGTAAATAGGTTAGTGGCAGGCTTGAAGAAGGCGGCCGTTGGCACTAGCGGGCAAAAGTAGATACATTTTACTAGCTTTCTCTGCTAGCGACTGCTATCACAAAAGCGAGCAAATAAAGCCGTATACATGGCTGGGGTTAATAATATGCTGGAAGCTGTCATTGCAGCACTCTACCGGGCTAGCCTAAGCAGTGAGCTCGTGAGCCAAGGACCAAATTACACTCGCGAGTGAGGACAAAACGTGACTGTCGACTCAAGAGTCAAGACGGTATAGGCAATACGTTAGTGCAGGGGTGGAATGGGGTAGGAGGCGTTAGCGACATAAACGAACTGATACCGGTTTAGAAGTGCTCCCAGAAATAATCAAAAATGGTTGGCAGAAACGCTGGTGACGAATACCTGATTTGACGTCCAATGTGCAGATTCAGAGGATGTAAATTCATTAAATTAAAGATACATATTATTATTTTAATTTGGTCCGAAAGGTTGTATAGCTGCGGAACCAGAAGCCTAAAAGCAGAGCTTGTTGCGTACAAATCTACAAGCGGACTACTTCACCCTGCCTAGCCGGCTAGGTGCGAGCTTAAATAGACATTACTCTACTGTAGCAGATAGCGATACGGTCCTCTCGGGTCTAAAGCGGCACAATCTCGACGTCACATTTTTTTCCCCGAATACATAATGATAGTTTACTGATGCTTTTGAGTTACCCCGAGGCTTGGAAGCAAATTAGTCGGCTATAAGTCAGCCTTGGCGATGGGTTTGTGACAATAAAGACGCTCGAGACACAACGAAAAGAGACCCTGGCAGCGTTACGAAGCTCGGCACTACTCTAATGACAGCTACCCAAGCTATCCACATGTCACATTACCCGGGAGAGAAGGGTCGCTGAACCACCATTTACCTCGGCTATACAAACATCACCAGGTCCTTACATTTCGCGCTGTCGAATATCTTTGTCAGATTGGCAAAGACCACGTCCGATTTCTGGGCGGCGTCCACAGAGGCAAGGATGCCTGAAATAGAGAAAACAGTGACAAAAATCTGCAGTGGATAGACTCAGGCATAGATAACATGACTCAGGGTTAGCAAACGGTCAGTTGTGGCTCCTACCCAAATAAATAATACAGCACATTGTGTCGAAGACCCAAGGGCGTAGAAATAGTGCAGTGATATTGATGGCAACAGCTAACGCCGGCATGTAGTTCCGAGCTGGGCTGGTGTATTATTCATTACATGACGGACATTCCTATAAGTTATAACACAATCCCATGCCCTCCATTCCCAGCACCTACATATCGATCCCTGCCCCCTCCTCTCCCCCCGCCCCCCAGCTACATTTGCTCGCCACGGGGCCTGTGACTGACAGTCGTACACCGACAGCTGCGTTCTAGCACCGATAGAGACCGACTGCCGCGCCGTGATCCGCTCCACATAATGCCACATGTGGAGATATGACAGCATTCCCAATCCCATTCCGCCCAAATCACCACCACTAAAGCTTTTCCCCGCCCGCTAGGATCGTCTGACCGTTCCAACGACACCGCCCTACCCTCTCCGCCCCAGCTTTTGAGGCCACCCCGACCGCCGGCCCTGCCCACCTCTGCCGCTGTAGTAGTCGCAGAGCGGCTTGGTCTGTTTGTGGTAGTAGTCGAGTCGCTTCTTCAACGACTCGGCGTTGTCATCAGAGCGTCGCATCAGCGGCTCGCCTGTGACCTGTCACGAGCGGACAGGAGTGTCAGTCAGAGGGTCGTGGGTCACTCGGGGCCGCAGCAGTCACGGTGGGAGTGACGGGGAGGGGATCGGGACACCGACAGAATGCTCTTGACGTTCTCGAAGATAACAGAAGATGACTGAAGAAGGAAGCTAACCAGCATAGCTATTCTAAATCATGACCAGATATGCCTTAGGACGAAAGTACCATTAAAACATCAAAACATAAAACCCGTATATCTGAAGTTCACCACGCATAGCGATAAAGTCCATGAATGGGCCGAGTAACTAAAATAAACACTGTCCGCGTGCGTCCGCCCTCAGGTGACAAGTCTCGCCCGGAACACCAGAGGTCAAAGGTCGGACGGCGATCGCCCCGTCAGCTCAGCGGGACCTCGGTAAGCCGAGCCGACCGCACACGGCGCCCGTACCCGACGCCCGTACCCGGCGTCAGGCCAGAGTCCGCCGATAACGAGAGACAATGACGGCAGCTCGCGGTAGCGGCGTATTACCGGAATTATCGGTATTGCCACAGCGCTCCCGTCACCCCGCAGACCAGATATGAACGAACTGCACCGTCAGCGTAGTCGGTAGCTGGGAGGCTGCGAAATACCGCTGAGAAAACATCATTTCAAAGGATGCATACAAATGATGTCAATTGTTTCCATTGCCGAAGTAAAACAAATTCACGAAAGAATTCGCGACATTTTTCCATGTTCCGTGTCATACTCGTATTTCCTTTACATTTGCTTTGAATGAATGAACCTCCCCCTTTGAATGAAGTTCCCTCGTCGAACGCCGAGACTATCTCCGCGGCCTCCCTCCAGCTGCTCCCCTGCGGCGGTACTCACGTCGTCCGTCATGGGGACGCGGGGCGGCGCGAACTCCTCGTGGTAGCTCCTGCCGGAGGCCCGGTGGATGAGCCGGCCAGTGATGCGGCGCACCAGCAGCGAGTCGTCGATGCGGAACTCGACCACCGAGTCGAGCGGCTTCTGGCGCGCCTCCAGCAGCTGGTCCAGCTTCTCGGCCTGCACCACCGTGCGCGGGAAGCCGTCCAGCAGGAAGCCGCGCGCGCACGGCGCCGAGTCGAGGTTGGAGTCGATCAGGGACACCACCAGCTCGTCACTCACCAGCTTGCCTGTGGACGGAGACGAGAGTACATGGTGGTTACTGGGGTTTGAGGGAGCTGCTGCGGTACAGCAGACGACATAGGTATTTTGATGAAATTTGGTGGTATCATACCACTGTATGGCATGCAGATTCACTGACAGTAGCATTTATGAACGCCAGCTACGCATCGACTGAAAGATCACCGATTCGGTCCGGTTGTGGAATACAGTAATGCCCCGACGATCTACCGCGGTAGTTTCGCCGTCGCCCACTGACTGACCGGCGTCCATGGTGGCCTTGAGCTCCTGTCCCAGTTTGGAGCCGGACGCCACCTCCTCCCGCAGCATGTCGCCCGTGGACAGGTGGCACACCCCGTAGCGCTCCTTGAGCAGCGGCGCCTGCGTGCCCTTGCCAGAGCCGGGCGGCCCGAGCAGGATGGCGCGGATGCCGGCCTGCGAGCGCTGTCCGCGCGCCGCGGCCGTCTCTGGGAGCACCTCGGGCGCGGGCTGCACGGCGGTCGGCGCCATCCTCGGCTAGTGGCTGCCGGGGGGTAGGGACACGATCGTCAGCCAGTGTGTGCATGGGGGGGAAGGGCGGGGGGATTGGGAGGCTGGACTGATCAGTTTGCATACATTACTGTACTAGAGGAAAGGATAAATGGATATTTCAATAATCCAGGTGACTGCAAGTGGAAAATCTCAACCAGTACCTAGCATGTTGGAATAGCATCAAGCAAAATTATTGCTCAATCAGATAGGAGAGGGGAGAGATGGTTGGGTGGGATAGGGTGGGTGGGAATGATGGTCCAGTATGTGTGCATCATATGCAGGGCTCATGCAACTAACATGCAGTGTGATAGCACCAATCGTTTTCAAAAAAGCGACCCAAAAATAATAATAGTAGGAAAATATTACCTAGGTACTCAAAAATTTATTGGAAAAAATGTAAGCTCCTACACCAAAGTTAATGTAAAAATATTGCCATCAGAGTAAAAAATAACATTGTGAAAACCTAGCTAACTACTTATGATTAAGCCAGAGCAAGTTATAAGCTAGGTACTAATCCAGTTCCGAGCTACGATGCCTGTTGCATTTATGCTCCAATTCGAACCAAACCATATCATTCCAAACTGCAACCATTCATGATACATGTCACATACTAGAGGTACCTACTATCACGAGTTTGACCAGTTCCACCGCACGTTGAAATTTTGCAAAAGGCTGTAAATCTGAATCCGAATGGCAGTTTCAACACCTCATCATAGGAATGTTATCCTTTGCAGCCTTCAAACTCGCAAATATTTTGGCTTTTGAATGATTCAAAGTGATAAAGAATAGAATGATACTTTTCCTCAGGAAAAAATCAATAAAAGCAGCAAAAACCATCGTAATTATTGGAAAACTCCTAACATGTGTCCTCACCTGTCAAAGACGAAAGTAAAGAGGGAGACTGAAATTTTGCCGGCTAAAGGGAAAATGTGTAGACATAGACGGCGATCGTGAGACATTCCATCGTTAAAGTTGATGACGAAGCTGCTTGGAAAATAAAATGACAAAAAAATAGAATATGTATATATATTTTGCTCAAATGTCTTTGTTTTTGTTATATGCTTCATTTTTAATCAAACAATAATACATAAATGACTATGACATGAGTTCAAATGAAATTAAGTTGTTCTAAATTTAGAAATATTTTAGACATACGTCATATTTTGGGTGAAACAAAAAGTGATTTGGTAGCTATTATAGAATTGCTTCGCTTCGTTTTCCTTCATCAACTGTGAATTCCCTTTCTTTACCGATTGCGTGACTGGGACGCCGGTGAAAACAGGGCGCCGGAGGGCATATTAGTCACGTGACATTTGGAACTTCTCCCCCTCCCGTGGCCCTTCTACATGCCAAATGTCACGTGTGAATTTCACGAACCTTGATCAAATCGCCCCAGGCGCCCTGTTTTCACCGTCGTCCCGTGACTGGCCCTGGCCTTGGCCTATTTCAATTTGCGCTCGCTTTATGGAGTTAATAGCGGAAAGTAGATCAGTTTTAGGCCAGGAAGTGTTTGTGTGGTCACCTTGGGGACTGGCTCATGCTTGATTTATTTGATATGCATTTTCCGAACAGAATTCACCGTTGCAGCTCAGGCCAATAATTGGTGTTAACAGTAAGGCTGATCTTTGTGAAGTAACAGGCCAAAACCATATGGGACCCCTGCATGGGATTTAATATTTTCTTGCTTAAAAATGTTCAAGAACAAATCTGGATATTCACGGCTTGGGTCTCCATTGAGGTATGTGCTGTGCCGAGGAATAGCTCAATGCTGTGTTACAGTGCCTGCCTACCAAATCCAAATTGAAATCCTGAATCAATTTAATAATCTGCATTTGTCCTAGTCTGAATCTGTTTCTCCTTGACTTTGAGTGACATTTATATTAACTTAACATTGGTAGCATTAGTGATGATATGTGCTTGAGAACTGTAGCCTTTTAGACCAGGAAACCATGTTAACGTGGGCCCAGAATGACCTCGCAGTCGGCGCGCCCCTAACCCCCAACAAACAAACAAACAACCATGTTAACATTTCCATCCATATTCCATACCTACCAAATGCGCAGATAGCTGCATTGTCTTGCCCCTGTTCCTGGTGCCGTTGTGAGTGCATTGTGGCAATTGTAACCCTCACTACCCCATCCTTTGACAATGCCAAATTTCTCTGTGAGCAACACCATAACCCATTAATCTTCCAAATCTTTCTGCAGATGGGGTCCGAGCACTGTGTACTGTGCTCTAACCCTCATCTCATTGCCATGCCCCATACAGTTTTGTAACCTCTGTTCCATCCAATCCACCGACAGGAGGTCTGAGTACTCTGCGTACAGCGCTGAGTCTACACGGGACTCCAACGGTCAGACGTTCCACTTCTCGTCGCTGCCGGTCGACACGGCCGATGACGAGCTGGTGGAGGACACGCAGTTCGAGCTGCGCTCGCGGGCCAGCGGCGCGGCGCTCTCCTCGATGGCGGCGCCGGCGGCCTCGGCGACCGGCAGCGAGCGGACGCAGTACGTCACACACGACGTCTCCGACCGGGACACACTGCAGACCATCTCGCTGCGGTACAGCGTGCCGGTGAGTGGCGGAAGGCGAGCAGGCAGGGGGTGAGCTTCGGGGGAAGGTACTAAGGGGGTAGAAATGGAGAGGGGTGCTTGTTGCTGTATTCCATGAACAATTCATTGTCAGTCAGCCAGTGGCTCATGGCTTGTTCCATCCGTTCGGTCGGTTTGCTCGCCGCCCCTACTGTGTAAGATGTTCCTCAGTGCAATCATTGATCGAGTTTTCTCTCCCCGATTAGCCCTGACCGAGCTGCCGTCCCCCAGATCGCGGAGCTGAAGCGGGCCAACCAGCTGTACTCTGAGAAGGAGCTGTGCGCGCGCCGCTTCATCAAGATCCCGGTGTTGCCGAACTCTGTGCTGACGGAGGGTCCGCCCACCGAGCAGCTGGTGTGTCTGGAGCCGGCGGACAGCGGCGGCGGCGGCGGCCCGGAGACGTCCGGCCGGCTGTCGCCCGGCTCGGCCGACAGCCGCGGCTCGGCGGCCAGCACCGAGGTGCGCCCGTTCGGAGACGGCGTCCGCGAGGGACACAAGCTGCTCAAGAACGTGGACCGCGAGCTGACGGCCGTGCGCGCCAAGGCGGACGAGCTGCGCGCCGACGGCGTGCTGACGGGCGGCCCGCTGGCGGCCGACGTCGGCGCCGGCTCGGCCTGGGTGGCCGGCGCGCCGCGCCAGGGCGGCGTGTGCTCGTGCTCGGGCGCCGACTGCGGCGTCCACTGGCTGTGCCTGCTGGCGCTGGCGCTGCTCGTGCTGGTCGTGGTGCCCGTGTGGTACATCGTCCGGGAGTACGAGACGGACAATCTGGGGCACCACCACCACGAGCGGACCACGGCCGCCAGCGCCACCGGATTGTGAGACGGCTGACACCGCGCGGTGGCGGCGCTCCGGCCTCCGCCGGGACTGGGTCTGTCTGGAGCGCAGCCAGAGGTGAGTTGGAGCTCCATGGTGAGGAGACCAGACCTGGGCTCTGACACTGGGCATTCGCCGGTCGGCTGAGGAGCGATCCGAGCCGCCCCTCCCTGCTCATAGTAGTTTGGTGGTAGCGCGGGGCTCAGAGGGACAGACGGGCGGCTAGTGGCGTACGAGCGTCGTTGCACGGCTCTAGTCAACGACCTTAAATGTGACAATGGGAACGAATGCGGCCAAAAAGCACTTGTGACTGACGACAAGTGCTTTAATTTGATAAAAATCTATATAAACACGGTGAAGGGCGCATGCTATGCGCTTTGTTCTCTGGAACGGGTCGGGTGTAATGTTAGGTATGCATTTCGTGGTACTTATCAACCCGCTTTTCTTTCACATCACTATGTCATTTTCTTCGCCATCGGACAGGGTTTAATAGCTTACTTCGAGACTGTCAAAGAGGTTTACATTTCTGTCCTTTTCGAGCCGGTGTGCAGCTGCATTCCAAAGGCAGGTCACAGTGATATGCGACGTTTATTAATTTGGTCCTATAATTACACCCCTTTTCATATAAGACCATGACCCATGTTTGGCCGTACCCTTGCCACCCCACCCCCCACCCCTTAGCGAACATTGCGCCCCCTCCCCCAGCCAACATTGCGCCCCGCCCTCCCGTGTCCCTGGGGACCACGTCACCCCACAGCGCCACTTGCTGAATGTGTCACTAGTGCAATGTAGACTACAGACGCAGTTAGGCTAGTAACTGAGTTTATTCCCGAACTCGACTACAGAGAGGCTGTCTTCCATGCGCGCCGTTCATACCTATTTTTGTACACCGGTGCGCAGCGACTCACACCATGACTCGCGACTCATGAACCAAGACTCGTGAGTCGCGTCATCGCCCCTGTTAGGACCAATATGGTCGGTTTCCCGGGAGTTCTGTGTAGCAAGGCACGTGCCAGGTAGTCCACATGTGTCCACCTAGAGACGAATGTTAACGACTTCGTGCACACCTGTGCGAGGCCGTGTGGTATTCAATGGTCGACAACAAAGACGTAGGAGCCTGATAGTGGAGTCTGGTAGGATGTGAAAAATGCAGAGGAATAATTATCCACGTTGAACTGTTTAGCCGATGTTCGGGTGATATATTTTGGAATTTCAGCTGTGGCAGATGCTGATGTGTGTTTGCGCGAATGAAGTGTCCGATTCTGTTTTGGAGAGGGAGTGTTGCGGATACTAGCGGCGTTGTTCAAGACATTACGACTTTCACGTGCTTCAATAGGGTGCTTTAATTAGAATCTTTCTTCTTTTCTTGTTACTGCTTTACTGACCCTTCATTTCAATTTTGTGGAACATGTGTCACACCGACTTATTATTGCCGCCTTGTTTGTCGCGCTCTGTCCGTGTGTGATAGGTGGTGGACCCGTGGGTATCGCTGGGTTTCAGTGATGCTGTTTGTCACATAATCAGTTGTCACGAAACGCAGCCTGTGTAGCGTGTCGGATACTGTCTTTCCGTTTTCTGCGCGGAATCCGCCACGTCTGCTCAGTTCTGTCGCGGGGCCGCGGTATGATTATTGATGGGCAGTTTTATGCTCTCTGTCGTCGTGTGGGTGCCGTGCCAAGATGTGCTCGTGAGGCGGCTGTTGTCCGGGTGCCGGGTGTCCGCGGGGAGGTGCCGTGTGTCGGTCGCTCAGTCGGCGGCCCTGCAGAGCCGCCGGTTTGTCGATGCCTCGAACACGTGATCTGACCGTCCCACTCTGTGGCCCAGTGAGAGCCACTGCACCCCGACTGATATTGCTCCGTGCAATACCGGGGGCCCCAGAGGAGTTACATGGTGAATACATATCTCTATTAACGTTACCGGAGGCGTTTGTGTGCGTGGGAGTTTTGGAACGTTGGAGAGGAGGAACTCCATTCGTCCTGACCTGCTGTGCTGATGATCCGCTTAGAACCAGAAAACGTCGCTTTGGCTCGTCTCGCCTTCCGTGATTCCGGATATTCATGACTACCGGACAAGAATCAATAAAGACGTGGAAAACTTTACAAATATATAATGCAATGACATCAAATATGAGTAGCTTTTAGCTAACAAACGTATGAAGAGAACAGTTTCAGCGAAAACCACGTCACAGAAGCTGCTATGCTTGCTCGATCGATAAACCCCACTTAAATAAGTACTCGTCAAAAGACAAGAGAAGACATCCGAATATCCACATATTCAGATCCCATTGACCACGAGGTGGCAGCACATTTCACAATCACCTTACACGTCTAAAAACTCTAAAAGGCACTTAGATAAGCTCGAAGCGCGTTTTGGCACATCGTTCCCGCCGAGTATCCCTCGGTGGTGTATCTCCCGACTCGAGGTCCGGGCTGCGGCGGGCTCCCACAGCAGAGCCGTCTGGCGCGGCCCCGTCAGGGCGGCTCCCAGTCCCTCAGTACGGGTACATGGAGACGGCCACAGATACCACGAACTTGGACGTCTCCTGCCAGCCGCGCACCTCCTGACTGTAGGTGAAACCGTCGATCTCCAGCCTGAAACGCAGACCGGCGTCAGTGCGCGGCGGCGGGACGCGTCGCCGGCTACGGTGCTGCGCTACACCTCTCAGAAAGATGCACTGTGGTTAGTCACAAGGCCACAGTATCAACTCCACCGTCTACGTATGTGAGTAGGGCAACTTGCAAAACGACAAACGACATGTAATCCAAGGGCAACTTGCAAAACGACGAAAACACGTAATCAACATTCACAGATATATGTACAGGCATGCCTTCTGATCGTCTTCTGCTAGTCTACTACACCACAACATGACATGCCAAACAGAAAACAACACGCAGCGTGCACAGACGAAACCACACATAAGGGTAACGCACAAAACCGCTGACCTTCCGCGTCGACCAATACTCAGGTGCATACCATGCCATCCCCATCGTTCCCTCGGCTGAGCTCGCGCACACCAATCAGAACCCATTGATCCAACCGAGCCCGTCGTTCAGCTAATCCCGAGTCCAGAATCTCCAATCCGGCGTTCACCTGACCTGCTGATCTGCGATGGCTTTCTTTTCCAGTGAGCCAACTGGAGGTTGAGATTGGGTCTTTCTTATTCGCCTATCCGCCCGTCTTTCTTACCTTTCTATGTCTCACTTTCACCGGCTCATTGTCCCATCTCTGTCTTACCTGTACTCTGTGTCTCACTCGCCTCGATGTCTCATTATCGCCTTCTGCTCAGCCCGTCTGTGTCTCCCCTGCCTCCCTTCCAATGTTTCACTCTCACCTGCCTCTCGCCCCGTCCCTATCTTACCTGTACTCGGCTCCGGCCGGCAGCGGCCGGGTTGTGTACAGCACCCCTCTGCCGTTTTTCCGGCGCACCCCGAACGGCGCCCCTCCCGAGCGCTGCGCCAGCCTGTCGGACCACGGCCGCGCAGTTAACGGAGAGCGCGACCACGGCTGCCCTTCCACGGGCAGAGCTGGGGCCGTGAGCTCAGCCGAGCGCCGAGGGCCCGGTCTATAGAGGGGCGTGGTGCGCCCGGCCGGCCGAGGACGGTGCGGGGGCGCGGTCAGTCCACCGGCAGCGGGAGGCGCCGCGACGGGGCGGAACAGGGGCAGGGTGAGTGCTGCCGGCGCCGGGTGGTACAGAGACGCGGCGGGCCCGCCGGCCGGGCCGGACCAGTAGAGGGGCGCAGTGAGGACGGCTGCCCGCCTCCGCCGCCGTACAGGCACCAGGTACACGGAGAGACGTGGGCACAGGCGGGGAGCGCTGCGGTCCAGATGGCGGGTGGGGCGGTAACCGGGGCCAGGGGGACGACGGGGGGTCCATACAACACACCAAGAACCGTACAATGGCTACATTTGAGAAAGTCAGAAAAGGTTTAACTTGAGCTTCAAACTGAGGTCGTTAAACATGTCAAGCTCTTCAGCAATTACACCGAGCATCTGGCAAACTAAGGATTTCACTGAAAACAATCACCAATCAGGCACATATGAAATCCCACCCCTCACTATCCCTCGGTACGTCATCATTGTTACCTGAAGAAGGTCCTCTGGACGTGCCGTCCGGGGTTGGTGAGGTCGCTGACGCGCAGTTCGACCACGTCCTGTCCGGCGCCGACGCCGGCCGGCAGCGCCAGCAGCTTGTGGGACAGTGAGCCTGAGTACCAGGTGCCCGGGATACACTCGGAGCGCTGCCGGCACCGCTTCAGGCACAGGCTGACAGGGAGGGGGGGGGAGGCGGGGTTAGCGAGGGAGAAGGCGGTGGAGAGAAATCTGAACAGAACAGAGCATGACAGGGAAATCGCCATTAGGTGCTCTTCGACACAAAACAGCTCTTGAGGGGAAGTACCACCGTGGCACCAATTTCGAGATTTTATTTGACTTCGTCCTTGGGAAGCCCACGGGCCACAACGCTACCCTTCGGTCCGGTCATAAGACCTGCTGTGCCCGACTGACCTGCTGTACACCCCACTGACCTGGTGCCCGGCCCACTGACCTGATGTAAGGCCCACTGACCTGGTGTCGTGCCCACTAACCTGGTGTACGGCCCACTGACCTGGTGCCGGGGTCACTGACCTGGTGTCGGGCCCACTGACCTGGTGTACGGCCCACTGACCTGGTGCCGGGGTCACTGACCTGGTGTCGGGCCCACTGACCTGCTTTACGGCCCACTGACCTGGTGTGGTGCCCACTGCCCACTGACCTGATGTATGGCCCGCTGACCTGCTGTACGGCCCGCTGACCTGCTGTACGGCCCACTGACCTGGTGTGGTGCCCACTGCCCACTGACCTGATGTATGGCCCGCTGACCTGCTGTACGGCCCGCTGACCTGCTGTACGGCCCGCTGACCTGCTGTACGGCCCACTGACCTGGTGCCCGGGTCTCGCACGTAGCCGGCCGGACAGCTGACGTCGGCGCAGCTGTAGGAGCCCCGCTTGTTGAAGCACGTGTGGTCGGCGGCACACGTCACGCCGTTCTCCGAACACTCGTCGATGTCTGCCGCAGTAACGGCGGAATGTGAAAAAGGTGCAGGAATGACGTCGGGACGATCGGGCAGGGCGCAGAGTAAACGGTCCACCAGCTAATGACTGTCACACAATCAGTTGGGTTTGATAATTAGCCATCAAACTCACACTCGATTACTGTGCAGGATTGTCAACATTAAAAGCTAAGAAACCCCACCCACTTCCAAAAAATGATAGACAGTGGGGTGGGGTGGGGTGTGGGGGGCTCATGGAGGCGATGAAGTTTATTGTGCAAATTGACATCCTCGGCTGGCCCCGTTTCGAGCGTGCCCTCCCGTCACCACTGACCGTCACAGGTGCGTTTGTTGGGGTTGAGCCGGTAGCCGGACGGACAGGAGCAGATGAACCCGCCGTCCAGATTGGTACAGTTGTGCTGGCACGTGCCCGCTATGTCACACTCGTTTATATCTGTGACATAGACAGGAAGGTCAAAGGAAGTCAACAGCATATTATTTTGTACACCCTAAATCAGTGCTACCAACTGATCAACGATCCACCTTGCTCAACATAATCCACTTACAACAAAGCCATTACAGGCGGGCCGATAGTCTGAGTCAGAGGTCGGCCGGTCAGACGAGTCTTACCACCCGGTCAGACGAGTCTTACCACCCGGTCAGACGAGTCTTACCACCCGGTCAGACGAGTCTTACCACCCGTCTGACTCTGGCAGTCGGGCGAATAACCGACCTGTGCAGGGGAATCCGGGTCCGTCCGAGCGGAAACCGGGCGGACAGATGCACCGGTAGGAGCCCTGCAGGTTGCGACACTCCTGGGTGAAGTGACACCGGTCGATCATCTTGGCGCACTCGTCAATGTCTGACGGTCAGAGAGGGCAACCAGTGAGAGCGGCCGCAGGTGATAGGAAGGGGATGGGAAGACGCAGCTGACTACGAACAGGAAGTAATGTTAACATGAACAGTAATTCAGTAGCATCTTCAGACCGTGAGCACGCGTGCATGTGCCCACCGTATCGATGGCCAGCATTGGCAACGTCGGTACCGGAACGCCGAAGTCCGTCATTAATGATGGTATTTAATTGGGACGGGACACCAAAACACGTTCTCAGGATGGATAAAAGACATAACCATATCACTGTCGCAGGATGACGCAAACTTATATCGAATATCACTCAAGTGATTAGTGAGCCCAGCCGTTCACTAACCGACACATTCGCCGGTGCCGGTCAGCTTGAAGCCGCGCTGGCAGGGCCGCACGCACTTGAACGAGCCGACTGTGTTGACGCACTGTTCGTCGTAGTGGCAGTTGTGCATCTTGGCCGCGCACTCGTCAATGTCTGCGCACACAGGAAAGGAGGACGGGGAATGTTCAAAGGGTGACAATAACCGTCACTGGGTGTTAGTACGAGTAGCATGCTTTGAACCGGATCAACATGTCCAATTGAGCAAGTGGACAAAGTGCAAGCCAATTGTTCGCAATTAACAAAAACACATCAGATGAGACATGTCCTCTCAGAAGACGGAACCTTTACAAGAATCAATCAAGGTTGTTTGGGCTCTGGAAGAGGACGTCGAGGTCTATGTTGTAGCCCATTTCTTTTTTTGAGTCACGCGTTTTTCTACATCAGTTTGATTTCTCTTGGGTCAGTCTTGTCTGTCTGCCCGATGTTTGTCGGGCAGACAGACGGGTTCTGTTTGTTTACAGCTCTATTCGATTTGTGTTCTTGTCCAAGCTCAGCCGATCACTGCCCGCTGCTCGCTCCCGCTCGCCACTGACCGGTGCACTTTCCGTTGGGCAGCAGCCGCAGCCCCGGCGGACACGTGCACCGATAGCTGCCCGGGACGTTGATACACGAGTGACTGCACGCGCCCAACATCTGGTTACACTCGTCAATATCTGCAACAGACGGAGGGAGTAGGCTTTCGTAGACCACCTCATTAGCGGGAGGGGGGGGGGGGGGGGGGAGGAACGAAAATTGGTTCCCGTGAAATGCTACAATCTGGCAATGTGAGACACTCACCATCCCTTCATGACAAGAAAGACGTCTCAAGGGATGTTTCTTTGGAGATACTCCAGACAGTTTTTTTTGTTTGTTTAAAGTTCAGGCCAAAATGGAGGAAACTGAGAGTCTGACGAGGTAATTATATTTTCACAACTAAAACGAGGGCCGAAGTTCTCTCCCGGAGTCCCGGCCGACGCCGTCCCGTACCGACGCATCGTCCGCCGTCGACCAGCTGGTAGCCCTGGTAGCAGTCGCAGCTGAAGTTGCCGCGAGTGTTGTGGCACAGCTGCTCACAGGGAGAGGGCGAGCTACGGCACTCGTCAATGTCTGCGGTAAAACAGGGACCAGTTAACAAGGACAAATGGCTGCGGCAGCACATGGATACACAGCTGCTCACAGGGCGACGGCGCGCTGCGGCACTCATCAATGTCTGCGGTAAAACAGGGACCAGTTAACAAGGACAAATGGCTGCGGCAGCACATGGATACACAGCTGCTCACAGGGCGACGGCGCGCTGCGGCACTCATCAATGTCTGCGGTAAAACAGGGACCAGTTAACAAGGACAAATGGCTGCGGCAGCACATGGATACACAGTTGCTCACAGGGCGACGGCGCGCTGCGGCACTCATCAATGTCTGCGGTAAAACAGGGACCAGTTAACAAGGACCAATGGCTGCGGCAGCACATGGATACACAGCTGCTCACAGGGCGACGGCGCGCTGCGGCACTCATCAATGTCTGCGGTAAAACAGGGACCAGTTAACAAGGACCAATGGCTGCGGCAGGACCGGACACACAGCTGCTCACTCGTCGAGCTGCGGCATTCGTCTACGGGACCCGTTATAAGAATCGAGGTATCTCTCTCAGGTCTAACGGTAACCATGCATCCTGCATTCAGCATTCATTAATTCATCCAGCCATTCATTCATAGCTCATTCATTCATTCATTCATTCATTCATTCATTCATTCATTCATCAATCATTGACTCAATGATTGATTCATCACTTATTCCTTTCATTCATTCATTCATTCATTCATTCATTCATTCATTCATTCATTCATTCATTCACTCATTCATTCATTCATTCATTCACTTGGTGCTGATGGACCATTCATTCACCCCAGCCGCTCCCCTATTCCCCAGGCGCCTGCTCCCGCCGCCCACCGTTACTAACCGAAGCATCCGGCGGCGCCGGGCACCTGGCGCAGGCCCGGGCCGCAGCTCTCCACACACCGGTAGCTGCCGGGCGTGTTCTCACACTGCGTGTCAGCAGGACACTGAGCCATGCCCCACGCGCACTCGTCCACGTCTGTGGGAGAGCATAGAGACGCGGGATGGTTAGAGTAAATACATTTCAATTTAACGTGACACAGTAGCATCGAATGGCTGCGGGGAAGAGCAAGCCGTAGTCCGCCACTGATGGGACCGTGTATCAATGAATGATCTAAGGTCATTTATTTTACGAAAAACGGGATGCCCCGCGCCTCACGGACCAGCCCCCTGGGAGGATCGAACTCCCGACCCCTGGTTTACAAGACCAGTGCTCTGCCACTGAGCTAAGGAGGCGCACGCTCTCCACCCGGAAATGAACGATGCAAATGTAATAGATCCACTGCCATGGTCATGCCAGCGAAATAATTTTCACATACCCCTACTTACAACACAAATATGATTATTTACGAAATCCCATCTACGACAGCAACTCTTGACGATCAGCAGGATTACGGGATTATCAGGCAACAGTCCTCGATAATTTGATCCGTCCTAATAGGTGTCGCTAGCATCACACAAAGAAGCTATACAGATGTCGCGCAGGTCGACGACGGCCATCCATCCCGTCAGAAAGCTACTAACTCGGATCATCCAGCAAATCGTGGGAGTTACTGGGTCAACCACATTCACCCCCCCCCCAAAAAAAAATCGTTCTCCACCTCTCTTTACAATAGCACTAGCTCATTCAAATCGGAGACAATACCGGCCGCTCCCCACGCGGTCCCCACCCGTGACCTGAGCGCTGACCTGCGCAGGTGCGTCGGTCGTGCCGGACCGTAAAGCCGGGCGGACACTCGCACCGGAAGCTGGAGACGATGTTGACGCACTGGTGTGAGCACGGAGAGTCGGCGCACTCGTCCACGTCTGGGGGAGAGGAGTGTGATGAAGTGGTCAGCGCAGATGGAATGGTAAACACCATGACTCATAATCACGGGTGGAGAATTGTGCTGGACTGGGGGTGCTCGAGCTCTTCCAATTTCACGCCGGCTTGGCTTTGGAGCCGCGGCCGGGCGGCGCGGGTCAAGGTCACCGCTAGGCGGCGGCGGATTTGCTGCGCCCGAGCACCCCCAGCTGGTCACAATTCTCCACCTAGTTATGCTCATAATCATTCAGGATTAGACGATGAAGGGTGTGGTATATCAATACCGGAACGAAGTATTTCTTGAACAGTTAGGATTTATTAGTTAAAGGTTATAGAAACCAGGTACCCTCTGAAATAATGCAAAACGACTCGCTGCATAGCATAAAACGGAAAGTATCACGATCACAAACACCCACGACACGAGTTGGTTTAACCGGTCCAAATTGTCCAAATGGTTCACCCACCGACGCCCTCTCCTACAACTGACCCTGGCAGAAGGTGACGTTTCTGGGTCGGACCTCGAGGAAGCCCTCGGGGCACTGGTCGCCGCCGGGCGCCGACAGTGACGTCACACGGAACGTCACGCGGTTCTCGGTGACGTCATGGTGCAGGTCGGAGCTCTCGATGTCGAGACTCTGCACCAGCGTTCTGTCATTGAGGAGACGACGGGTTAGGGTCAGCTGATGTTATAAACGAAGTCTTTATACAATTTGCTTTATTTATAACAATTAATTGGTCAATTATGTTAGCATCGCCTGTGTGTTAGAGCTCCCTGACGGTCTTACTTCATCTGTCCGCGTGCTCCATCATAGGTGACTGTCTCGTTGACGACAAACGGCACCAGTCCGGCGCCGGCCTGGTAGTACTGGGTCGAGTGCGCGTGCAGGTCACCCTCGCCGGTCTGCACGAGGTCACCTGTAGACGGGACGGACGGGGACTGCGTGAACTGACCGCTGATAACACATAGGATCTCCGACGATACACGGAGCCAGTCAGCCTTTCTATTTAAAACAGTGATCACGTGAGCGAACGCAACAAGAAAACCAAGAATGGATAATCCTTGCAACCATTATGGGATCCAGTTTTTTTCGTATCCTCCCAACAGGTCCCGGTGTCATGACCTGGACCGTTGAGGAAAGCCACGGCACCGTCTCCTGCCTGTCCTCCCAAACTCAGCGATAGCACTGACCTCTGAAGTGCGCCGGCTCGACGCTGGCGCCCGGGGCCATCCGCGGCGTCTCGGGCAGCTGACCCTTGATCTCGGTGTCATATGTCAGCTGGCCCTTGTTGTCGATGCCCAGGCCGATGTGTGTGATGCTCAGCTTCTCACCTGCCGAACAGTCGAGGACGGAGCAGTGGGGTGATAATTCACCTGTAATTGGTGCATTGAAAACGCAGTGACTGCTCGACCGTAGCCTTGTAAAACACTTTCCCCTTCTTGTATAATGTATATTCCAAAGACTATCATAAAAATCGAATAAGGTGAATAAATGGTAACATTCCATTTCCTAACTACTTGCTAGCCACCAAAACTCTGCCCGCCCGGCGCATCCCTCGTGGTCTCCTCTATCAGCCACCTTCTAAATCTATCGCGTCTCACCGGTGGGGAACATGACGTCGCTCTGTTTCCTGAACATGCCCGCCGACAGGTCCAGACCGTTGTTGGCGCCGTCAGACCGCTGAGCCGCCAGCCACGGGACGGGTGTGAGCAGCGGCAGTAGAGGCACCAGGCCCGGGGTCTGACGGCGGAGAGACGGGAGGTCAGTGGGAGGAGACGGGTCACCGGGGGGCGGGGTGAGCAGCGGCAACAGAGGCACCAGGCCCGGGGTCTGGCGGAGAGAGGGGAGGTCAGTGAGAGGGGACGGACCACCCGCCAGGGAACAGGGGTGAGCAGCGGCAGCAGCGGCACGAGACCTGGAGTCTGACGGCGGAGAGACAGCCGGTCAGTGGGAGGGGACGGGCCACCGGGGGACGGGGGTGAGCAGCGGCAGCAGCGGGACCAGACCCGGGGTCTGACGGAGGAGAGACAGAAGGTCAGTGGGAGGGAGACGGCCAGCCAGGGAACGGGCGTAAACAGCGGCAGCAGCACCAGATACGGTGGACCGGGAGACGGTAGAAATAAATGAAATAGTCGCATACCATCGCACCTCGCAGCATCACTAAAAAACATGAGATCTTCGAGAATAACTCGGAGATATGAACCATATCAAGGAAACAAACCTTTATTTTAGAGATGCTACGTGAATTTCATAAGTCGTCTAAGCCAAGTCATAAATCATAAGCCGAATAAAACGATGCCACTCAGTCCCGAATCCCGCCTCCCCACCGCTCCCACCCAGCACGGCCCACTCACCAGTTTACCGTTGACGCCGGTGATGAGACTCTCCAGCTCGCCCCGCTCCAGGTCCCCCACCACCACCGTGTTCACCCGTCCGTCGCCGATCGGTGTGGAGTTCACCTCGCCCATCACCGTACCCACAGCCGAGCGGAGGGGCACCGCGCACTCGGGCAGCACACAGGGCATAGGCTGGGGAGGAGGAACAGAGCGGGTCATACACCACAGCCGAGCGGAGGGGTACCGCGCAGTCGGGCAGCACGCAGGGCAAAGGCTGGGGAGACAGAAAACAGAGCGGATCATAGTAACACCACAGCCGAGCGGAGGGGCACCGCGCACTCGGGCAGCACACAGGGCATAGGCTGGGGAGGAGGAACAGAGCGGGTCATACACCACAGCCGAGCGGTGGGGTACCGCGCACTCGGGCAGTACGCAGGGCATAGGCTGGGGAGACGTCAGGGCAGAGGTGTCATGACCAAATCTCAGTCGCATATACGAAAGAAACGTTGTTAAAACAACATTTTTACTTCATCGGCAGCATTTAGACGTAAAAATCGCAGCACGTACCCAATAAGCTCGACTGAGTGCAAGTTCTCCAGGCCACATACCTGCCGGCACGGTGTGAACTTGTCGCAGTCCCTGTACCTGAAGCGCACTCCAGTGCCGCATGTCACCGAGCAGTCGCTCCAGTCTCCCCAGCCTGAGGACAGGGACGGGGTAGAACGGTCACAGAGTGGTGGTGGTGACCCGGCTGGTTACCGCACGCCACCGAGCGGCGAGCAGTCGCTCCACTCACCCCAGCCTGGGGATGGGATCGGACAGTTACTGAAGGGACAGCTACCCCACATCACTGAACAGTCACTCGTCTTCCTAGCCTAGGGACGGGGTCGCATGGTTAAAGAAGGTTGAAGGTCCGTGTCCAATGATCATTGGTAATTCAGCTCCGCTGCAGGCTATCCGCTTTCTCTTTCCTCTCTTTTCCATTCTCACCCTCGACCGTTCTCTTAATCACTCCCTTCCTCTATTTCCTCAGCTCACCGCCGACCACCGGGGTATGCGTAGCTCTCTAACTCACCGCTGTCCACGCGCAGCTCGATCTCCTGTTTGAGCACGGCCCCGGTCCGGTGGTCCACCAAAGTGCACGTGTAGCGGCCGGCGTGTCTCTCAGCCACTGCCGGCAGGCGGAGCTGCAGCTCGCCCGGCGGACCGCCCGGCTCGGCCAGGCCCTCGGTGGCCAGCGAGGTGCCCTCGTGGGTCACCCGGACCAGGTGGTGGTCCGGCTGGTACCCGCTGAGACGGCACAGCGGCGCCGCACGGCCGGCCGGGACCCGCACAGTCGGGGAGGACGGAGACCAGCTGGCCGCCACCGGCGTGGATGGCTCTGGGGGACCGGAGGGCGGCCGTCAGACCATAGGCCTCAGATTATCAATAATATTTCGTTCGCGTTACAATATTACAAAATTAAAACCTATTAATGAATGTTTTACTCTGTCGCGTTTAAAAGCAATGTTTGATATTCATAATGCAAAAACATACAGCATTATAGATAAGGTCACGATGTCATGTTACAAAATAAGGGTTAGACTCCCGCACTTCCTCACAACCGTGCCGTTACCAACAAACAGTCACCAAGAGCTAGAGAACCCTCACCCTCGACGGCGATCTCCACGGTGGCCATATCGGTTCCGATCACATTTTTGGCGATACAGGTGTATGTTCCGGCCAGTCGGGGCTCCACGGCGGCGACTCTCAGACTGCCGTCAGCCAGCTGCTGGAGCTCCTCTGTCGAGGACAGGACGCGGCCCTGGCGCTGCCACAGAATCACCGGCCGCGGCCAGCCGGAGGCCGTGCAGGGCAGCGTCAGCGGCGAGCCCGCAGGCACGGCTGGGGAGGGGGCAGAGGTCAGAGGTCACAGGTCAGAGGTCACAGGTCACACACAGACAGACAGGCCGTGCAGGGCAGCGTCAGCGGCGAGCCGGCCGGCACGGCTGCGGAGGGGGCAGAGGTCACATGTTAGAGGTCAAGGGTCGCAGGTTACAGGACTCGCAGGTCACAGACAAACCTCTGAGGGGCTTGCAATCCTAAGTAAGAAAACAGTTACACTCGTGAGAGCTGCATGCTACAGGTAATGAAATGTTACATTATAGGAGCTAGCGAGCAATAAATCAACCATTTTACGTCGATAAATTAAAGTATGTACCATTGCTAGCATTAACGGCCTGAGTACTTAATTATCGATATATCAGACATCACCCCTTCCTCCGCTCAGTGACTGCTCAGTGCTCACTGACCTGCAGTGGCCGGTGGCCGCTCCATGATGTGCGCCGGCCTCTCCACCACCAGTTTGACGCGGCGGGACGAGGTGCCGGCAGCGTTGGTGGCCAGGCAGCGGTACAGACCGGCGTCCGACGCCGCCGGAGACGAAAACACCTGACCGGACACACGCAGAAGTAAGGGTTATACAATATACATACGCAGAAAGAACAGTGGAACAATGGCGATCATAATACGGCTGATGGTATACGATGAGCAATATATTCGAGGAAACCTACTTCCTACGACTGCTTTCCCTACGCCCAACCTACGGCTACTTCCTTCCCTAAAGAAGATAAGAATATTGCAGACTACAGCAGCCCATTCCTTCCCACACAAGCCTCTGACGCGCTCCCGCCTGCCTCCTCAGCCACTGACCAGCAGCTGGCCGCCGTCGTGCACCGCGGCGGCCGCCTCGCCGGTCAGCTCCTGGCCGTTCTTCTGCCACCGGATGACCGGTTTGGAGTCGGAGTCAGAGCGGCAGCTCAGCTGACCGCGCACTCCCTCCCGGAGACGAACCTCGTCCGGCATCGGAGCCAGGCGCGGCGGTCCTGGAACATACGAGAACGAGGGATGGACAAATACAACTGAGTCTAACTTGGCACATTATACTCGTAAATTAGCATAATGCCTAAACATAGGGCCAGGCAACATAAACATCGTCATTTTAACACCGTGAGATTTTGGGCTTGGGCATCGCGCGATTAGTATTCCGTAGGTATTCTGGACTTTAAGGCAGCGTTTATTACGTTTTTTTTTCAAAGTAACCCCGAACAACGCAAATCATCAGAAACCATCGTAATACGTACGTCGCCATGTCCTTCTCCGTCCTCCCGCAATCGGCCGCTGTTCACTCACCGAGTCTCTGGAAGAGTGTCACGTTTCCGCCGACCCTCCGGACGGCCACCTCGTTCCTGGCCTCGCACGTGTAGATACCGCCGTCCTCCGGTCCGGCCAGGTGGACCGACCAGGAGGTGCGGCCCGGCTGAGGGGCGCGCGCCGCCACCGGCCGGCCGTCCCTCAGCCAGGAGAGGAGCGGGAGCGGTGCGCCCTCGGCCGCGCACTCCACCGTGAAACTGGGAGAGACACAATGCCGTTAGGACACCACCCGCATATCAGCGCAAGGAGTGTCAGAGTCCAAAGGAACGAACAAAAAGAAACAAATGAGCATTCCCACATGGGCCTTTACTGAACACGAGTTTAGCTCCGAAAAAAATACTGTTCATTCTGATCGGTCATGTTATCATACAATGTTCATTAAAGTCAGATTTATGCGTCTTAGAACCAAATGCCTACATTCTAGTACACTCCGCCTTATTCAAAGCACGTGACGACCTGTCAACTCACTTGCCCATTGTGGGGACGAGCAGGTCCTTGGGTGTGATGGTAAACCTGGGTGCCATCTCCGCAGCGACGTTGAACATCTTGGCCGCCTTGCCGATCGAGTTGATGGCCACGCACATATACTCTCCGGCGTCGCTGAGCTGTCAACGTGGTGATTGAAGTAATGTGGCAGTGACCGGTTCCATTGAACGGCACAAAATAACGTGTAAAATGCACTGGTACCAGAAACCAAGCAACACGGATTAAATCAGCGCAGATCCTCTCAACCCCTTACCTACCTAACAAATTTAATGAAATTGAAGATCCCTCTCTGCTAGTAGCCAGTTATCTCCGCCTCCCTCCCCCAAACTCCCCTGTCCCCACGCATTGGAAGGGATCGACTCTGAGCTCGCCGTCTCTGACGGTGACCCGTCCCTCCTCCCTCCCTCCCCTATCCCCACACACCTGGAAAGGCTCCACTCTGAGCTCTCCGTCCCTGACGGTCACCCGTCCCTCCTCCCTCCCCCTCCCATCCCATCGCACCTGGAACGGTTCCACTCTGAGCTCGCCGTCCCTGACGGTGACCCGTCCATCGGTGACGTCTTCCAGCAGGGTCTGTCCGTGGAACCAGCGCAGTACGGGCGGCGGCCGGCCGCTGGCGGCACAGCGCAGATGCAGCGCCTGGCCCGGGCGCAGTGTCGACTCGGGCGGCGACGGAGAGCTGATGGAAGGCCGCGCTGGGAAAGTTTGGGGAACCGGTCAGCTGGGTGAGCCAGAAAACACGTCCGTGACATCGAAGTTTGAGAGTAAATGTGTCACAACATTTCATACAAACTCTATCCTGCACTAAAATATAACATGGCGATAGATTCGTAAGCAGCTTTCCGTTCACCTGTGATGAATCATAACGTGAAGAACACTGACAGAAAATACAGCCAGAGACAGATCGACAATCACCTCCTTGACAGCCGCTCGATTTATCGGCGCCGTGGCCGTTTCCCACTCACTTGTGACGCGCACTTTGATGGCCTGTTCCCGCTGCACCTTGCCGGCCTGTCCGCGGCACACGTACTGGCCCTCGTCAGCCGCCGTGACGCCGTCAATCACCAGACTGTTCACCACCACCGAGCCCTCTGTGCGGCAAATAAAGAGACACGGGGCGTGAGACACACAGACAGATACAGGGCGTGGGGACAGACACAGACCAGACTAACGACCGACATCGAGCCCTCTGTGGGCACAGACACACACGGGGCGTGAGCACACAGACACGGGCCACAAATCACAAAATCCTAACACGTATACGACGTTCTCTAATGATAACACGGAGTGATTTTTTTGCGGACCATCGGGTGTACGTACTGGTTCTGACGGCCGAGTTGTCGTACTTGCCGGTTTAATTGCCGGTCGAGCGTGGCTAATTAATGTACGCACTGGTTTTGACGGCAGATCTCAATCGAACGTGCTAGTTTGGACGGCATAACTCAGTGGTACGTACCGGTTTTGACGACCGAGTTGTCGTACGTACTGGTTTTGGCGGCCGAGTTGTCGTACGTACTGGTTTTGACGACCGAGTTGTCGTACGTACTGGTTTTGGCGGCTGAGTTGGCGTAGCGCCGCTCGCTGAGGTCCAGCTGGCTGTTGTTCCTGTACCAGACCAGCTGCACCCCGGAGCCGCTCTCCGTCTGGCAGCGCAGCGTCAGCTGATCGCCCTCAGATGACGTCACAGCGCCGCCGGACGGCTCCACGTACAGGTCTGCCGGGACGAGAAACAACAAAGGTAGAAGATGGATCCGACAGACGCACTTATGAATATCTGCAAGTTAGAGGCTTGAAATGACTTTTCACAGAAGCTTGATTGGCTTGTTACCGCAACTCAGGAAATTACACATCTTTAGAGCGCTTCTCATTATTGATTTAGTGTAATTTCGTGCGTTTTTTATAGCGTTCTGCGCTAGAAAATGTGACTGTGTTTTCGAAATTTTATCCAACCAAACGGCTTTCTAGCTGTTGACGTTTCATGCATCGTGGGGTCACTAGCCACCATTCGCACTACGTTTCGCTGTTAGTTCTGCCTTACCGATGGTGTCCTTGACGTGCACGTTCCAGACGACGGCCTTGACCTCTCCCGTCTCGGAGGTCGCCTGGCAGCGGTAGCGGCCCTCGTGGCTGGGACGCACCCGGGGAACCTTCAGCGACTTGTCCAGAACTTAAACAAAGAAAACAGATCCCAAGCAAGCTCACACATCAAAACAATACTTCAGCATCAAAATATTAAAATATGAGCAGCATAATCAAATGAAGTGAGAATACTATATGATATTCATAAAACACAAAAGCACAAATTAAGGCAATAATACAAACCGAGGCACTGGACACCTACACACGATGTCGATCAATTTAATACCTTGAGGGTCTATACCATCTACCTCATCAGTACTTTACTTCGACCCTCTCTGGCCCTCAGGTTGCATTATTTGATCCTAACTCCGTCCTAGCTAGACTGACCTTTCTCCAGTTTCCTGGCGCCCTTGGCGTCGATGGACCACTCTGTGCTCTCAGTCGGGCCGCTGGAGACGTCAAACTCGGGACAGACGAGAGCCAGCTGCTCGCCGACCACCAGGTACAGCGACCGCTCCTCCACCTGGGCAGGCGCTGCCGACAGCAGAGAGTAAATACAGTCAGACAGCTGTCACCAAACGTGGGGACTGGAGTCACACAGCTGTCACCGACCACCAGGTACAGCGACCGCTCCTCCACTTGGGCAGGCGCTGCCGATAACGGAGTCAGACAGTCAGACAGACCTGTCACCAAACGGAACTGGGGATATACACAGCTGCCACCGACCACCAGGTACAGCGACCGCTCCTCCACCTGGGCGGGCGCTGCCGGCAGCGGATACGGTAACAGGGGGGGGGGGGGGGAGTCCGTGGCGGGGCTGCCACCAACAGCAAACGGTACAGCTTTATCTCCTATGCAGTTTTACATACATAAAGTAGTCATGGATCGAGGTTCACTGATATAGATGATCGACAGAGCACGCTCAAACGCAGGTCGATAACGAAAATCACCAGCAAAGTATATTTCTGCCGCGTACTCACCGGATACGACGAGCCTGATGAAGCGCTCGGCGCGTCCGGCGTCGTTTTTGACCAGGCAGCGGTACTTGCCGCGGTCGTCGGTCCGCGCCCGGGTGAGCTGCAGTCCGTGAGAAGTGAGCTTTATCCGGGGCGAGCCGAGCCGCACCGGTGAGCCGGCCTTCTCCCAGCTCACCTGTCAGGCGCGGGACGGGAATGTGTTACAAAACATGTCAGCATATAGCACTGTATTTATTTGTATTTGTATTTATTCAACAGACCGTCAACAGGCACTGGACCCACTAAAAGACGGAGTCACAAGATTAAAAACAATAAATATGGCACACACAGGCAGCATACACACGCCCGGATAAAAAACGCAGATACACATGTAAATAAAATAGAAAACGATAAACAATACAAGGAAATAGGGAATGAAGTGAAAATATGAAGAAAAAATGTGTGAACGAGGTGGGAAAGAAATCATGATACAAGGTAAACCAGAATAACTGAACAAACAGTAAATATGAACACTGAGAGATAAGCGATGTATAGGTACTTTAAAAACACGTAAAAATGTATAAAGTGAAATGAAAAATATAAGAAAACATTAAAAATAGACATATTTAAAATCATATAAATATAAAATCAATAAGAATCACCTACCAACTGAAGGAATGAAACCCGCATTTTAATTTTCATTCATTATATACTGTAACACAGGCTAAAATTGTTTGTCCACATTCGTTAAATAATACAATAGCAATGACCTAGCAAAAAGAAAAGAAAAAAGATCAACGTACGTCTCAGGCCTTTCCTTGCAACTAAATCAACTGCGATAGCCTGCTATATATTGCTATATATTGCCCGATCAGCGGGCAATATCAGCGGGCCCGATCAGCCCCACCCTGCCAGCGGAGTGTGGACGTACCGAGGGCAGCGGCGACTTTGTGACGCAGGGCAGCACGGCGTTACCGCCCAGCGCGACCCGGACCGTCTCAGAGGGCGGTCCGGAGATCACCGGGGGCTCTGCGGGGAGACGAACAGAGAGGCATTACTGGTCACCTGGACTGGCTTATCTAGCTGGCATGTACAATACAGTGGCATGACTGTTCTGTTGCAAGGAGTTGCAACAATTTACGTCGTAACTCGTACATCGGTTTAACAAATTTGATGAGTAAGGACCTTCAAGCAAGGCGCATTGGCCGCTAGCATGTGATTACTAAAATAAAAAAAAAAACGCCATCGTCACTCGAAAACCAAAAACTAGCTGTATCCCAATACAACCAGCCGTGTTTCCCGGCGTCTTTCACTTCTAGCCGTACCGAGCACATCGAGCACGACCTCGTGCCGCGCGCGTCCCGCTTCGTTCTCCGCCGTGCACGTGTAGACGCCGTCAGCGGACACATCCACGGGGCTGAGGTGGACCTGCGCCTTCCGAGACACCACCGAGGCGCCCTGGAACGGGGGACATGGCGGCGAAAGGTGGACGAATAAGCGGGTAGAGAGCACGTCGCTACAATATGTACATTGCGATAATATTCAATCGCTACATGAGACACACAAGGTACAGGCATACATTTTTTTCTTCGTAATGGCTCAAAACAGTTTCAGACGATCTACGAATTGAATGAGAACCAATGAAGTTCGTTGAATGGTTAATGAAACAATTCAGTCGAGAAGTTAAGATCTTGGTGACATGTGCAGGCAGCTCGTTAGTTCTGTCAGCACCCACCTTGTACCAGGTGACGTTGGGCGCGGGCAGCCCGGTGGCGTCGCACGTCAGGGTGACGTCCTCCCCGGCGCGGGCGGTGACGCGGTCCGGCGCCGGCGACTCGAAGTGCGGTGGGACCACCACCTGCACGTCGAACTTGTGCACCGCCTGGCCGGCGCTGTTCTGCGCCTCGCACGAGTACTGGCCAGAGTCCGACACCGACACACTGGGAGCGGGGGAGAGGTAAGGATGTTTATAGCCCAGACCAGATAAATCCTATGAAACACACCAGATAAATCAACACTCTAGGCGGTTCATCGCTGACCTTTCATATAAATCCAGAAGTAAAAAAGGTGCGCATTTTCTGATATGTAGAATATCAGCATAATAACGTCTCACCCCAAAATGCCATGCCCGACAATAGATAGTCAGATAGTCACAACAGCCAGACGCATCCTTTCCGTATCTACTAATGCCACGTTAGCTCCTATCTAGCCTCAGTTCCTTGTCAAACCACCAGCCCTTCAGCTTCCCCGTTCCGCTCACCTGAGCACAATGAGTCCGAGCCTTCCGTCGAATATGACGCCGTCGCGTTCAGTGATGGGCCGCATGTTTTTGAGCCAGCGCAGCGGCGCGGCGCCCTCTATAGGACAGGTGAGCCGCAGAGGGTAGCCCACCTCGGGTCGGACCGACGAGGCCGGCGGAACGTCCGCCACCAGACGAGGCGGCACTGCAGAGGAGTAGAAGGGGTGAGAGAAGGTTAGGTGGCGGTGGCAGATTGAAACGTAATAACTGCTGCAAAGAAATTAGTCAATTAACAGGTTTATCAAATTCTCAATGTGACGGGTTGTGAGGTAAATTATACCAAATCTACGAGCCACCAAGCGAGATCACGATTTAGAAGTGGGCAACCCTACAGACAATAGATGGGTCGCATGAACGGTTCGTATCGACATTCTCTATCATCTCAGCTTTGTCTTGTAGTTCCCCGAGTGTCATTCAGTCGGGAGAATTAAGTCCCATACTGTTTATTTTAAGCTTGATCGTCACTCACCCTTGATGCGAATGTTGTACTTGGTGACTCGGGTTCGCGCCAGGCTGGACGATATGCACTGGTACCGACCACCATCCTTCTTCTGCAGCAAACAATAGGACGACACAAACTCAGCACATTCAGACACACATAGACACCAAGTGATTGGTTTCGCAGCGTCGTGACTTAACCTGCACGTTTTCGATCTGGACGTGTAACCTGCTCACTGTTCACGACCATGCACATCCATATCCTACCATTCAGTGCTGCAAGTCCTCTCTCCCTCCTTCCCTCCTCCCTACCCATCTCCCTCCTCCCCTCTGGCCTGCACGTTCTCCAGTCTCAGTTCCGTCTCCCCTCCGTCCCCTCCTAAGCCACACAGTACTGAAGGCGCCCGGCTCCTCCCCTTTACCTGCACATTCTCCAGCTTCAGTTCTGTATCACCTCCCACTCGCCGCCCCCTCCTCAGCCACACGGTACTGAAGTCGGCCGGCCCGGCCGACCGGCAGCTCAGTGTTACAGTGGTGTTGACGTCCGCGTCCAGTTCGACTGTATCCGTCTGGGTCAGCGGCGTCCCTGTGGAGGTGGGGGGGGGGGGGGGAAGACTATTACACACCAACACAGTGTTACAGTGGTGTTGACGTCCGCGTCCAATTCGACTGTATCCGTCTGCGTCAGAGGCGTCTCTGTGGAGGTGGGAGAAAGTGAAAAGGGGCAGTGACCGTCAAACACGTTTCGTAATATCCACGGAGTTCGAGTACCATGACTGCAAAAGAACAGGCATAAAACCCGGCGAAACATCGACGATGCAGGCATCGCAGACTCTAGCATGTCTTATTAAAAATTACCTTCGACATCCAGTAGAAGGCTGAATATAACAAGTAACAACCGGTCTGAGCGATTCATCTCCACCGAAATAGCAGCATAAAAAACTCATATCAACAAAACACAAACAAGACCCAAAATAAGCAGCAGTCGTAGAATATTGCATCCGACCACTGCCGTGCCCACCCGCCGCTCCGCACCGGTGACGTGCAGGCTGAACCGTTTTCTGGCGGTGCCGGCGCTGTTGGCCGCCACACAGACGTAGCTGCCGGCGTCAGCGGGCGCCAGCTGGCGCAGCGTCAGCGTCTGGCCGGCGTCAGACAGCAGGTCCGGCTGACGCAGCACGTCGTCGTCCTGGGCCGTCAGAGGTCAGGTCAGGTCAGGTCAGAGGTCAGGGATCAGGGATTGGACGAGGGGTCAGGTCAGACTTAACAGGTTTCAAGTCAGAGGTTTTGGCCGGGCTGCACGGCTACGATGCGTTAAGTTAGGTCCATTTCACCATTCCGCCGCTAGATGTCACTACAAGTTTACGCCTGAAGGTATGCTGTACCGCATCGCTTGAAATCCTGCGATTCACTGTTCAGTGTTCAGACGTTTGACTGAGCTCTCTGGCATCAAAACCTATCCGCTATTCACAGCTACCATAGTGCATTGTAAAGAACAGCGTCTCGTCGCTCCAGTGTCCCGGTATGAGGTCACTGTGACTGACCTTGTACCAGGCGATGGTGGGCGGCGGATGACCGGACACCGGGCACCGCAGGCTGACCGACTCGCCCTCCCGGCCGCGGACCGACTCCGGCTCGTCAGAGGAGCCCTCCACCGACGGCGCCACTGTAATAGAGGGATGGTCATTGGTCAGTCAGAGAGGACTGACGGACTCTCCCTCCCGGCCGCGGACCGACTCCGGCTCGTCAGAGGAGCCCTCCACAGACGGAGCAACTGAAATATACAGAGGACAGGACGGTCAGAGAACTGATCGACTCGCCCTCCCGGCCGCGAATCGACTCCGGCTCGTCAGAGGAGCCCTCTACCGATGGAGACACTGAAATGGACAGACAGTGGGACACTTCATGCATATGGCTAATCTCAAATGTCTCTTGACCATTTCCACAAAAAGTTCGGTACCATAATTATTAATTATGCAACGATACATCACTCTGGCAGTACAGTTCAGTTCTTCTTGACCTTCTGCCCCGCAGTCGTCCCCGTCCTCACCGAGCACCCTGAGCGCGGACCGTCCTCTCGTTGATCCGACCGTGTTAGTGGCCACGCAGGTGTACACGCCCAGGTCGTCCAGGGAGGCGGCCGTGACCAGCAGCTCCCCGGTCTCAGCCAGGTGTGCGTAGTTGGCCACCACGCCGCCAGGTGGCAGCGAGAGCGCGTCCTCGGCCGTGTACCACACCCGGCTGCAACAGCGGTGACGCGTGACGAAGTGAGTTTTCTGCAGTACATATGGACAAGCAGGTAGGGCAGACTTTTCTGCACGAGCTCACAGAACAGTACAAGCTGGTGATAAATCAACGCAACCAACCAATGACAACATTTAGAAATGACGAGATGTCCGAAGGTGTGTGGGAGGGGGGGGGGGCTACTCACGTGGGTGGCGGGTTTCCGGTGACGGCGCAGGGCAGCCGGACCGTGGCGCCCGCCTCCACACTGCTCTGTCGCGGCACGGCCACACCCGGCTGCGTGAGCACGTCCAGCGCGAACGTCTGGGTGACGGCGCCGAGGGCGTTCTGCGCGCGGCACTGCAGCTGGTCGGCGCCGCCCGGACGGACCGACTGCAGCAGCAGCTCGCGGGCAGACGGGAACTGACGGCGAACAGCAGGGGAAACGGTGAGACAGAGAGAGGAGATCGCTCAGCAGGCGACTGGTATTCTAGCGATACTCGTAGCGCTGCAGACAAATAACGAGCATTATGCATCAAATAAGCCGCTATTCTTAAAAAAGTATAGATAGAAGTCTAGTGTTGATGCACCTAACCCTACCTTCCTCTCCTTTGTCCTTCCTTGCAACACACTGACCGTGACGCGCTCCGTCTCCGATATGAACGGCTCCGAGTGGTTGTACCAGATGACGGTCGGCTCCGGGTTTCCCTCCACGTAGCAGGTCAGGGAGAGAGGCTGGCCCTCCTCCACCTGGATCGGCTCCCGCAGCTCACTCTCCGGAATCGTCAGACGGGGAGCGTCTGCCAAGAAAGAAAATATGAAATGGAAGGCGGGTGTGTAGAAAGGGAGGGCGCATAGAGAGTGAGACAATAAAAGCAACGAAGCAGGAGCCAGGAGAACGCTACCGAACCAGCGCTGGACCTCGATAAAAGTATCCAATTCTTATCTAAGGAGCAAGCGAAAATGATCAGCAAAAATAAGGGGCCACAAAGACGGACTTACCAGCCAAAACATCTTTGAACTTTCTAGTGTTCACCAATCTTACCGTTGGCTACCAATAAAACGCAAGACATCGTCATCCCCTTCCTCTCACACTCACAGAGCACGCCCAGCCTGAAGAGGTAGCTGACGGAGCCGGCCTCGTTGGTGACACGGCACACACCTCCCCTCCCCTACCCCATGACACTCACAGAGCACGTCCAGTCTGAAGAGGTAACTGACGGAGCCGGCCTCGTTGGTCACCCGACACACTCCTCCCCTCCCCTACCCCATGACACTCACAGAGCACGTCCAGTCTGAAGAGGTAACTGACGGAGCCGGCCTCGTTGGTCACCCGGCACACACCTCCCCTCCCCTACCCCCTGACACTCACAGAGCACGTCCAGTCTGAAGAGGTAGCTGACGGAGCCGGCCTCGTTGGTGACGCGGCACATTATGTCTCCGGCGTCGCTGTCCAGCGGATAGGTGAGCTCCAGGGCTAAATTAGAGGCCAGGTAGCCGGCGCCGGATAGAGGCTCGCCGTCCCGCAACCAGTCCACACGGTACTCTGACGGCGGCACAGGAGCAACAGGGAGGTGACGTTATCACAAAGAATCGACACTGAGATTCACGTGGGACAGCCTTCAACCGTCATAATTCCTTTTCCAATATTACATTTGGTACGACCCGTATACTTAATTCCGCTGTAAGCGACGCATTTCTTATGGTAGCTGCATCCATTAGGACAGGCTGAACACTCTTACCTCCGATATGTTCGGTGTCCACGGGACAGGGCAGGACGACGGCCTCTCCGACGCTGGTCACTATGGACTCCTCGTCCTCAAATGTCTCCAGACGGGGCACCTCTGACGGGAACACGGACAGCGGTGACGTATTGTTAGTAATGGCTCCTCAAATTGAAAAGGCGAAAATGTCCAGCAATTTCCATGGATCTCCTGATTTATCGCTTACTATCCATACTTTTATAGCACCTAAGGAAAAATGAAAAGAATGAACCTCACCAATCAATCGTACACAAGCCTGCGCGGATTACTCCGTATCACTCGTCACTCACCGATGACGCGCAGGTCGACTGTGGCGCGGTCGGTGCCGGCCCGGTTCTTGGCGAAACACTCGTACTCGCCGCGGTCGAACGGTCCCACGCTCTGCACGGTCAGGTGGTTGCCGAGCGCGTGGATGCGCGCCTCAGTGCCCACCTCCTGGCCGAGGCGGTACCAGAGGACGGACGGCGCCGGCTGGCCGGTCACCGCACACTCCAGGTGCAGATCACGACCCTCGACACCCACCGAGCGAGACGGCAGCGAGACGCGCGGCGGCTCTGTGGGAAGGGAGAGGGAGGGAAATTGCATCGTACTATCAGCGCAAACAACGAAGAATATGTTTTTGGTCTGTACAAATGTCATGCTGAAAATCCTATCGCCCTAATTGATGTTCATAACAATGCCAAAAATGAATGCAACCAATGACGCCGTCTAGCCCTGCTGTAGTTCTCAGGAGCACTCTCCAAATAGCTAGGGCTGGAACGGCACTCACCGAACAGCTGCAGTTGCAGGGGCACGACGAGCAGACCAGCCTTGTTAACGGCGTAGCAGGTGTAGTTGGCGGCGTCCGAGGGCCCCACGTCCCGCACCAGCAGCGAGTAGCCCTCAATCTCCACCTGATGATACCGAAAGAATGGAGATGAGTCAATGGTGGATTGGTCAGCCAGCTTATCTACACTTATGTACCTGGCCAGTTTGTGACACGAGACGTGTCTCGAAAATATTTACACATTTTCCCATGTTGTTGAGTCTGATTGCGATAGCAGCATGGATCACCTCTGATCTGAACTGAGCGAGAAACATAGAGTCGCTGCAGGAGCTTTCAGATGCGTGTATGCACCAGCCCACCCGATCCCGTACCTTGGCCAGCTGTGACTCCAGCTTCTGTCCGTCCTTGTACCAGGTGACCTGGGGCGCCGGGTGACCGGTGACGTCACAGGTCAGGGTCACGTTCTCCCGCGGCCGGGCGTTCACCGTGTACTCCAGCTCCCGGCGCAGCGTCGGGAGCGCTGTGCGATAAATAAGCGGCAGGCTGAGTAAAACTTCAAGAAATTGAGGTTTTCTAATTATCACCGCAAATTCAGTCCAATCAAGACGTACAGTTATCATGCTAGTGACAGAAACCGTCACTGTCTTCATTTTTTGCAATCATTACATCGTCTACAGTCACTACTAAAAATCATCTAATTGATTATGGAATGCGTCTTTTGCAAACATACACCAAACCGACCTTGGAAACCCTCATGGCATTTTCTGAACAAATGTTGACGTCAAAGAAGCCCGGGAGACTACATATCCCCCCGCAGACCCCTCCGACTCACAGTAGACCTCCAGGGTGTAGTCCACCGAGTCAGAGCCGAGCGAGTTGCTGACTCGACACGAGTAGCTGCCGCTGTCTACCAGTTTGGCCGGCTCCAGCAGCAGTGCAGAGTCCGGGTCGGTCGCGGCCACAGTCTTCACCACCTGCCGGTCAATGTATGGTGTAGAGATTGGGTAAACGGTAGACCAAAGGACGTCACAGGTAGTCACAAGGGCGCAAGATAATCGCCCGAGTTATTTCCAAAGGACGGCATAGAATATGGCACATGGCGCCAAACGCATTACAATCACAAGCGAACAGAATAACGGTCTCATTTAGACAGGTAAAAGGCCGCTTTCTATTATCTGAAAATAAGCGAAATGTTCACTACCATTCACTAGCCAACTAATGTCTTCTGTAACGCGTCTTCAGTAATTCTTCACAGCTTCCATTATACTTACTTACTTACTTCCTCGGCGGCAGCTTCGTGGACGAACGGGACCCGAAGCACCGCGCCCATGTCGTCTCAGCATCCCCCGTCCCGCTGATGTCAGCCAGCGTCCTCCTGGAGATGGTCCCACAAGCCAGCTGACACGCCAGCCTTCCAGTCGCTCCTGAGCGGCGAGAGCCTCGCGCCCATCCTCGCTCCAGCCCTCTTCCATGCATCCTTTCGACCTCTGTGCTTCCGTGGCTCTCGAGTTGATTGACCTCTCTGTGTCTTTGCATTAGCAGGTGTCTGACGTCAGAAGCTGAGAGAGTGATTCGACTACTCATTCTGCTTGCGCGCGCTGCCAGTCGATCAGCCGTTTCGTTCAGGTCGATGCCGGCGTGGCCGGGGCAGTAAACCCAGACCGTCTCGCCCCCAGCCATGACCCACCATTCAGGAGGAGACCAGCCGGCTTCCAGTCTACTCAGTAGCGACTGTGAGTCGGTAGCGATGACTAACAGGTCCGCGTCGCGTAGGAACTCCTGGGACTCGGTCAAACCGAGAGTCACAGCCTCCAGTTCGGCACGCATGCTTGAGAGGACGAGTCCGCAGGCACCGGATGAGCAACGGGTGTGCTCATCAGAGCGCAGGAAGGATCCCCAGCCTGTTCGGGCCGGTTCGCTGGTCACAGAGCCATCGGTAGCCAGAATTAGCGGTGTCTGATGCTGATCGACGAGCGATTCCAACAGAGATTCGAATTCCGCGTTCGCCACGCCTGGAGCCCAGTCACGACATGATCGACTCAATGAGTGCTTGCAGATGACAGTCCATCGGCTGGCGACGTCAGAAGGTGTCCGCATGAATTGAGGCCGGTCACGAAGCTGGTTCCTGCCGCGCAGTTCTCGCACGGTGTCGCAGGCCTGCCTCACCCACCCCGGTCTGGCGAGTCGGCGCAGAGGGGCCCTGCGAGTCAGCGACCTGACGGTGGCGCAGAGAGGATGAGATGTCTCTTCGCCGGCTCTTGCAACGGCGTAGACGCGCTGGACCTGGAGCTGCTCAGGAACCGAAGAGACGCCTAGCATGTAGCGCAAAGCCGTGCGTGACGTGTCGCGGGTGCATCCGGTGATGATGCGCAGGGCCGACGTCTGGACGCGATCCAACTTTTCCAATGTGGTGGGACAGGCGGCCACAACCTCTCCGCCGTATGAGAGCCGACTGAAGATAAGGGATCGATACAATGTGAACATGCGCTGCTGGTTTAAACCTTTCCTCTGTGCGGTTTTCAGGGCGCCGAGTGATCGCAAGCAACGGGCCGTGGTTTCCTCGACATGTTTGCTGAAGGTTAAACGCCTGTCCAGTGTGATGCCCAAATGGGTTATCGTCGCGTCAACACGAATGGGCTGACCGTCATATCGGAGGACCGGGACCGGCAGCGGCGTTCTGCTGAGGGACAAGACGCATGCTGCCGCCTTCGCTGGGTTTATCTCCATGTTAGCTTCGCAGCAGACCACGCGCACATCGTCGAGGACCTCCTGCATCTGATTCGCGACTGTTGGCAGACATCCTCCGGTTCCGCACAGCAGTATGTCGTCGGCGAAGGTGTAGACTGTGAAGTTCGGAGGGACCGGCAAGGTGGCCAGTGGGAGCGTGTAGGTGGCCATTATAAATCTCCATCGAAGCCTTACCTGGCCGTCCTTAGTCCAGACCGCCTCCGGCGCGGGGTTCCCCGACCTGCGGCACTCCAGTCTGACACCGGAGTCGACAGGCACCTCCAGGGGGAAGGTACCGTCGGGGGCCATCTTGACGCCATCGCCCGGCTCCGCCCGCGCCGGAGCTGGGAAACGGGAGAGGGCGAATAAGAGAATGTATTTGGCGATAAGTAGTGCCCATGCTTGAGAAAGTTAAGAGCATGGCTCATTTTAACACAGCGGAGCCAAAGGTTCAAGTATTGGCCTAGAGATACCTAATTTCAATATCGAAACAAGGTTGGAAACTATCTCGTAAACATGATAGCGCATCTACGGCATTCGGCGTGCATTTACCATAGTTATCTACGGTGATTTTCTCTGGTAAGAAAAGTTCACAAATCAATGCATTCCTCACAACGCCAACACCAGCGCCGTTTCCCTCCAGCTCCTCCCCCGGCCTCCCCCTGGTCGGCCCTCGCTCCTCACTGAGCACGCTGACGGAGAAGTTTTGCTGGTCGGCGCCGGCGCGGCTGGTCGCCCGGCAGCTGTAGTTGCCACCGTGCTCCGGGTGGGCCCGCAGAATGTGCAGCGTCTGCCCGCCGTCCGTCAGGTGGTAGAGATCCGCCAGGGAGGGAGAGAACGCGGCGCCGTCCTGGGGACAGAGCAGGGAGATTATCTACAGCGCTGAGAGGATGGGAGACACTCGAGCCTCGGGTAGTGCATTTCCATACCATGCATCCATTTTTGCATCAATGGTCACAAAGGTTTTGGATTAGATGATCTAGGTCTCCTCGTCCGAACTCCATTCCGCGTTACTCAACGCTTAGCACTCGGCGAGCCTGGGGCGTAGGCTGTTCCGCACGACACGCGAGTAATGCGGCACAGCCTACAACGCAGTCTCCACTCCGACTGGGCGAGTCCGACTGGCTGATTTTTACTTTTTTACTCATCGATTTGCTATATTTACCGTGCCAATTAAAATAAGTAACACACGCAACATCGGAGTACCTACCGAAGAGATAAAACCGCGTATCCGAGTCGTCCCACCTTTTCCCAGACGATGGTGAATTTATCGGTGCTCTCGACAGAGCAGACCATTTCCACGGGCGTTCCCTGCTTGGCGTCTATAGTGGCGTTCACACGACGGATGTTGGGGGCACCTGGAAAAACAGCCGAATAGTTATATTTTACCGTCACGTACTTACACATAAGAATCCTAGTGCGAACAATGGACCACTAAACACCGAGGTAAAGAGGTCTATTCGTAAGAAATATTCAGATATCAGTGTAAAGCAGCGATGCAAAACAAACACTATTTTCTCAAGCCGCCCTTCAAAGACTCTTTAGTCTGCTTCACTATCCACTCACTGAGTACGGTGAGAGCGAACTGCCGCACCGCCTGGCCGGCGTCGCTGGCGGCGATACAGCTGTAGTTCCCTCCGTCGGTGGGGGCCAGGGGAGGGAGGGAGAGGGTCTGATCGCTGCCGTCCGGCAGCAGCGGCAGGCCCATACCGTCCCGCAGCCATAGCACCTGGGGAGAGGGAGGTACATCTGGTCAGTAATGTACGATAGCAACGGCAGGCCCATCCCATCCCGCAGCCATAGCACCTGGGGAGAGGACGGGGCGTCTGGTCAGTAATGTACGACAGCAGCAGCGGCAGACCCATCCCGTCCCGCAGCCACAGAACCTAGAGGGGGCGGTACATTTGGTCAGTAATGCAGGACAGCAGCGGCAGACCCATCCCATCCCGCAGCCAGAGAACCTGGGGAGGGGAGAGGACGGGACGTCTGGTCAGAAATGTACGACGGCAGCGGCAGACCCATCCCGTCCCGCAGCCACAGAACCTAGAGGGGGCGGTACATTTGGTCAGTAATGCAGGACAGCAGCGGCAGACCCATCCCATCCCGCAGCCACAGAACCTGGGGAGAGGACGGAACGTCTGGTCAGAAATGTACGACAGCAGCGGCAGGCCCATCCCATCCCGCAGCCACAGAACCTGGGGAGGAGAGAGGGCGGTACATTTGGTCAGTAATGCATGACAGCCGTGGCAGGCTCAGCCCGCCCCGCAGCCACAGAACCTGGGGAGGGGGAGAGTACAGTAAGTACGTCTGATCACGAACGGCAGCAGGGGCAGACACATCCCGTTTCGTCCCCTAATGAAGCACCTTCGTCCTTAGCAGCTAACCTTTGGTGTGGGGAGTCCCTCGACGCGGCAGTCGAGTTCCACGGGCGCGCCGGCGCGGACCGTCAGTTCTGTCGCCGCCGACGGGGCCACGAACGTCGGCGTCGTCAGCACGGCGACGGTGGCGACGGCGTCGGCGCGGCCCTCGGGGCTGGCGGCCACGCAGCGCAGCTGGCCGGCGTCCGACGGATCCGCTCTGTGGAGAACGTGATGGATGAGCTATAATGTGTGATATTGCATGAGCAACAAGCCTACGAAAAAGATCACTTCACTAACAAGTCAAACTTTCTAGCAATTAGCGAATACATAATCAGGTGCACAACCACGCCGTTCGGCGTCAGGAGTCTTTACCTCTGTTTGTAGATGTGGTTGTCTGAGGCCATGTAGGCGGCGAACGGCCAGTCGGCGTCCGTGGAGCTGGCCCTGCGCTGTCCGCTGGTGAACAGCCAAGTCACCCGGTCGGGCTCCGGGTGACCGGTGACGTCACACAGCACGCGCAGCGGGTCACCGGCCAGTACCGTCACTGACAGAGAGATAACGACCGAGAATGGTCAGAATGGTCAACATGTCACTTATTTTTGCAAGCATATAACTTTCACTGAATCCCCCTAAGAAATTGCAATTACTATCTCACTTCGATGACACACTAGACACTACCACTCATATTCCGTCAGTGCTTTGGTTTTGCACCAAATATTTCGCCCCATGGAACCTCGAAGTCGCTTGGGGCTAGCTTAGTTCGAAGTCAGAATTAGTTGGGAAGAACGGGAACAAATTGGTTGCTAAGTAAGATAAAGTGCAAAAAAATAGCTGGAATTAATATAAAGTGAGTCTGTTTACACAACTTTCTAGTAAACGACTTTCTAGTACCTTTTTTAATGAAATGATCAAATCCTAAATATGCTGGTGTAGCGGTGGACAATTACGCGCGGCGACTTTCACCCTTCGCCTCATTCCAATGATTCGGATTCACTAACAGTTCTCCAACCCCACACTGACCATTGGAGGGCCGGACGGCGGCCGTGGGCGGCGTGCGCACGTCCAGCAGAGCCCGCCGCACCGCCTCGCCGGCCGGGTTGTACACGCGGCACGTGTAGCTGGCCACGTCCGTGGGTCCGACACGCAGCAGACGCAGGGCGCCCGACGGCAGCAGCTCCACACTGGGGAGGTAAGAGGCGACGGGGAGCGGAAGGGAGATTATCAAGGCGATATATATTATTTCGATGCTGATTGCTGCCGTTAAAACGGCAAATCATTACCAAAAATAATGGCCATCCAAAATATGAGATCGATGCAATTAGTCACTTATTTCATTCAACTGTAAGACCAAAAGGTTTCAATTTAATCGAAACTACAGAAGCGAACAGTTTCATCAGCCATTCTAGTCGACCCCACCTGCCTCCCGAGTAGACCTCACCTTCCTCCGGGCGTGACGAGCACCCCGTTCCTGCGCCAGACACGCTCTGGCGCCGGGTCCCCGGCCTCCGTCTCACACTCTATGGTAACGTTGTCGCCCTGCCGCGCAGTCAGGTACTCGGGGTATTCCTGCCCGGGTGAGGGTATTAGGTTACCGACAGGCGAGAGGCGTGTCATCGATTGGAGTGAGTCCGGATTTGAAATGCGCTAGGGTTGTTTCGTGGTGACGTGCGACTTAGCCTGGACTAGAGAAAATAAAGTTCGTGATAAAATGTTGTGTGACAGAATATCGAATGAACTAAGGTGCAATATATGGAAAAATCAAACAGCACACGAGACGTCGTCTGACCTCCACTCACGGCACCCAGCCTGTGCACCACTCACCTCTCATCTCTTTCCCCTTTCTCCCTCCCCATCTCATTTTCAGTTTGGGCGGCACCTGAGTAACACGCTGGTTAGTCAGCTGTGTCAGGTGGGTTCACTGACTCTCTCCTCTCACCTTCAGTCTGGGCGGCACCTGGACGGTCAGCTGAGTCAGGTGGGTGGCGGCTCCCAGGGCGTTCTCGGCTCGACACGAGTAGTCTCCGGCGTCCTCCGTCCGCACGGCCGGCAGCAGCAGCGCCCGCTCGTCCTCCGTGATGAACACCGAGCTGGTGTTGGACCACAGCTCCGTGCCGTCCTGAGGCAAACGAAAAAAAAAACACTAAGAACATATTATTCACGAGCGGTGTTGGACCACAGCTCCGTGCCGTCCTGAGGCAAACGAAAAAAAAAACACTAAGAACATATTACTCACTATGACATTCCTACAACATCCCGCAGGCAACGCGAAGGCTTCACCAGCCACTGGTCTTCATCTACCGTAGTTTTCCCTCAACCCGTCTCTTTACCCTGCTCCAGACGACCCGTGTGTCCGAGTCGCCCCTTTCCAGCGGACAGCAGCGTTTAGTTTCCCATGTCCGTCCCCTTACCCTGCTCCAGACGATCTGAGTGTCCGAGTCACCCCTCTCCAGCGGACACCGAATCACCACCGGTTCGTGCTCCACGGCCGTCCGCGCCGGGTCAGCCTCGTCCAATACCGGCGGAGCTGAGCAGTGGGAGACAGAGAGGCGTCAAAGGGGCTGCCGTTAGATGAAGCAGTGTGTAGATCGCAAAGGTTAACAAGCATTCAATTACGAATAAACTATGTTTCTATACAAAGCAGGATGGTCAGATAGAAAAAAGAGTGATGAGACACCGTCCCTTCGACTCTCTTCCCCTTAGAAGACGCGTCTCACCGATGACGGAGACGTACACCTCGCGGCGGTCGGTGCCGACCTCGTTCCAGGCCACGCATGAGTAGAGGCCGGTGTGCTGCGGCCCAGCGCTGGGCACCACCACCTCTCCGGGTATATCGGTGGTGAGCGGAGCGCCCTCCAGCTGCCAGGCGAGCCGCGGCGCCGGCCGGCCGGCGGCCGAGCAGACCAGTTCCAGCGGCGAGCCGGCGGCCACCGTCAGCGACGCCGGCAGCTCCGACACCTCCGGCGGCTCTGGGGGGAGACAGACGGACGTATGTCAGCGACACAGGCAGCTCCGACACCTCCGGCGGCTCTGGGGGTAGAGGGACGGGCGGTATGTCAGCGGGGGAGCGGGACACAGACACCTCCGGCGGCTCTGGGGAGAGGGAAGGGCGGTATGTCAGCGGGGGGAGAGGGGGCCGAGGGGGGACACAGACACCTCCGGCGCCTCTGGGGAGAGGGACGGGCGGTATGTCAGCGGGGAGGAATTTCGAATTAATTTGCCATTTTTCATTCAGAATAAATAACAGCCAACAACTTAAATAATTCTGACTTGACTCCTTGATCCCGCAGCTTACCGAGCACGGTGACGGTGACGGTGCGGCTGTCCTCTGACACGACATTGGCCGCTCGGCAGGTGTAGCTGCCGGCGTGGTCCGGTCTCAGCCGGTCAATCCTCAGCAGAACGCCGGCGGCAGACATCCCAGAGTCGGGGAGGTCCGACACGGCGGTACCGTCCTGTGCGAGGGGAAAACGGGACTCACAGACGAGATAAAAAACTGATGACGGTAGGGTAAGAAAACAAAATGACAAAGAGCAATAGGCATGCAAAATAGGTTTTATTATTTATCTATCTCGCAAATATGTCGGAAAACTAATGCAGTGGCCGTTAGTTAGTGGAGCGGCCTGCACATGTGTCAAAACCTACCTTGTACCAGGTGATGTCTGGCGCTGGGACTCCGACGGCCGGGCACCGGATCAGCAGCGAACGATGAATCTTCTCCCTGTACTCCTCCGTCTCATCCTCGAAATACACAGGCACTGGGGACAAAACGAACAGCGAATTTCAAACATGACGTCGTTCAAACACTTAGGTGTCGAACACCCGATGCTACATGCCAGTTATCGAAGCGCAGCCGATAGCACGTTAACGTTTAATGATTTAACAACCATTAACTATGAAATCCGATGAACCATCCCACTAACTTACCACACCGAAACCTAATGAAGGGAAACGCGAGATAGTATACCTACTCCACAATTGGGTAAAGGTGAGTGGGTGAGTTCATCTATCACTCACCGAGGACCTGGACGTCGTAGGTGAGCTCGCTGTGGCCCGCTGTGTTGGAGGCCAGACACGTGAAGTCGCCGGCGTCAGTCCGAGATATCGACGAAATCAGCTGCGTGAAAAAATGAATAAGTTACCTGCTGGCTGCTGCTGCAGATGAACAATAAAATGTAGGCATTGCAATGCCTACATTTTACATTTTTGCATTGGGACGGATATCAATTAACAGTTTTAGCATATCCAGTGAGTGACCAGCTTACCATTAACAGTCATACCAAATACTGCATGCAATTCTGTAACAATGGCATCACGACATAAGATAAATAGCACCATGGTAACTCCTACCCACCAGCCTCTCCGCCACCCCCCCCCCCCCATCCCGATTCCCGACTGACCAGCGTCCGGTTGTCGTCCCTGAGTGTGTACTGGAGCTCGGTCCGGTCCAGCGGAACCCCCTCGTGGAGCCAGGTGACGCGGGCCTCCGGGTCGTCCCTGGTCAGCTGGCAGGTCAGGGTCTGACCGTCCGACTCGACCACCGACACATCCAGGGAGGCCGGCGACACGATCTCCGGCGGAACTGGGGTGGGGAGATGGTAGAGGGTGAGAGGAGACGTTATTTTGTCCGTCTTTAGTCATTTCTATACGGCGATTTCCGGCAGAAACGGACAATAGAGACGAGACGTCAAGATAATTATAGACGTAGCAGCATGGTCATTGTGCAATCAATCCCAATGAACTTCAGTTATCAGTAAGACACTGCGGCCAACAGGATGCGGGAGCTGCTCTTCACGTATTCCCTGCAGCAACACATTCGCGGCCCCACCTACGAACCGTCGGGATCGACAATCGACGTGATATGCAGTAACAGTGAGGTAGTGCGCTCTGGATCGCTCCACTGTGACTTTAGCCCACATCGGTGGTCACGGGTGCTTGTGACGGTGCCAGATTACCGACCGGCGCGCTGTAGCTCGACGGCCCGGTGCTGGCGTAAACTGGACGTGGCAGAGGCCGGCCGGCTGCTGCAGTGTGTAGACTGGTCTCCGGTGTTCGAGAGTACCGCGCCGGAGGCTCAGTGGGACTACTTTGTGAAGGCGGCCTTACCGATTATTGACAATCTCGCCCCCGCTAAACGGTTCAAGGCTCGTAACCCGACCGCTCCCCCCGTCACCGAGGCCACAAAGGAGCTCATGGCGCGGAGACGGGCGGCTCTCCGTAGCGGTGACCGGCCCCTCTACAAGGAGCTGAACCGCCGCGTGAGAGCAGCCATACGCCGAGACACCAGCGAGGAAATACATCGGCGCATCCTGGCCAGCGGACGGAGCTCGATGTGGCGCACCATACGACCTGTCATTTCAGCCAAACAGCCGACCAGACCGGCGCCCGGCGCTGATGCTGACACCATGAACCGATACTTCGCCAGTGTCGGAACCGTGACCGCCCGCCAGGTGGATACATCGGGTCCGGAGCTGCCGGTGCGCCTGGCGCGCGTGTCTACCGGCCGGTTTGTGGTGCGCACGGTGACACCTGAGAGTTTGGTGGCGACCGTGGCGCAAATGAACGGTAGCTCGGCGTGCGGTGCCGACGGTCTATGCGTGCGGTTCGTTAAGCTCTGTCTGCCGTATATATCACGTCATCACACATATTGTGAACTCCAGTCTGGCTTCCCACACTGTACCCCTATCCTGGAAACTTACCTATATTCATCCCATCCAAAAGTCACCAAAGTCCACTGAAACATCCAACTATCGACCCATTTCGATCCTCCCAACTATATCCAAGATAACGGAACGAGTAGTATACGAACAACTGTTCGAATACTTCTCGACTCACCACCTACTCCCACCCTGCCAGCACGGTTTCAGAAGCGGTCACTCTACCGACACAGCGCTGCTGACCATGACCGACCGTATATTCGAGGCTATGGACAACCGACAGGTGGCGCTATTGTGTTTGCTAGACATGTCTAAATGTTTTGACGTGATTCCACATGACCGGCTGCTCACTAAACTCATGCAGTATAATGTCGATGTGCGCTGGTTCGAGAGCTATCTGTCGGGACACTATCAACAGGTCCTCATAAGCACACCGGATGGGGGTCGTACGCTCTCGAGGCCTCTACTGAACCCGATAGGCACGTATCAAGGATCTGCGCTGGGTCCTTTGCTGTACGCTGTCTACGCAGCGGACATGCCGCTGTACCTCGATGCAGATATTGCCCACGACCGCTGTCTCGTGCAGTATGCTGACGACGTGCAAATGGCAGTGTTTGGTAGGCCCAGTGACGGTGAACTGGTCCCTAGACTAGAGAGGAACCTGGAAGTGTTGTCATTATGGTTTCGTAAAAATGGACTGAAGGTTAACGCTAACAAAACACAGCTGCTCGTCATTGGAACAGGTCAAAATCTCCGCTCGATGCCTCCGACACGGGTTCAGTTTATGGGGGCTACGATTACCGGTTCCGTCACTGTCAAAAACCTTGGCGTAGTTTTTGATAGAAATATGACTTTTTCGGCACATGTGGACGACGTTGTGAGACGATGCACCGGCTTACTAAGCGGACTTAGCCACAGTAGGCACGCGCTTCCACCGGATACGCTCGCTACCATTGTACAGGCACTCGTCGTCTCATCGGTGCGCTACTGTATTAGTGTATATGGTGTGTGCGGCACCACACAAATGGCGAGACTGCAGAAACTGCTCAACTTCGGCGCACGCGTTATTTCAGGCCGCCGCAAATACGACCACATCAGTGACGTGTTGAGAACGCTGAAGTGGCTGTCAGCAAAAAATCTGCACCTCTACCACTCTCTGACCATGTTAAAACAGATTTTGTCAGCTTGCCAGCCTGAAACCCTGTACAGTAGCCTCGTGACCCGGGGTAGCATTCACCGCCGTGTTACCAGACAGGCTGACATGCTGGAGAGACCTGTAATACGGACGGAATCGGGACGCCGACGATTTCTGTTTTCTGCCGTCGCGGGCTACAATGAATTGCCGCCGAGTTTCCACAACATGGGAACGCGAGAGTTCAGGCTAAAACTCCGCAAACATCTTCTGGCAAAACAACAAAACGAGTAGCGCGATGTACAAATGTGATGTGAGCTGAGTGTGTGTGCGTGAGTGTGTGTGTTAGTTGTGCAACTGAATCCCGATGTTCCGTTTTTATGACATGTCAATCATAATAGCCATGTGTTCATGGACCGATTGCACGATGTGAATACATACATACATACATACATAAGACAGCTAACCATAAAGGAAACACAGTCACTATTAGTTCACATTTGTTTGCCAATGGTAGCAAACAATCAATGTGATAGTTCAAAATTCAAATGCACCGGTCAATAAAAAGTTATATGATAGAAGTGAAAAATAAGGCACTGGAAGGAATTGTAACTACAAAACAAACATTAGCGAGAGAGAAATCAAACACACAACATACATTGCGTCGAAGTATGAGACTCAAAGATAAAAGTGCAGATGTAGTGCGGACTATAAGAAGCTTTGGATATCAGACTACTAAAAAGAAGGAATTGAAGCGCAGGACGCAATGCGACACAAGGACAGAGAAGACAAGCATACCTATAACGCTGAGCTGCGTGTCCCTTGTGGCTGTTCCTGCTGAGTTCTCGGCCACACACGTGTAGGTGCCGGCCATCTCTGGCGAGGCCATCTGGATGGTGACCTCGGCCGTGTCCTCGGCCTCGTACAGGTGGGGGATGGAGAGCTCCGAGATCGGCACACCGTCCTGGCATGGGCAACGGCTAGTGTCAGTGGCGGAGGGAGTGAAGGAGGGGATAGCTGGGTGAACGCCTTGGGTGAAAGGGGGAAGGACAAAAGGGCTTCAGGAGGAGGGATGGGGACGGAATGAGGTGGTAAAAGAGAAGGAAAAACAGAAAAGAAGATGGCGAGAAAATATACAAAAGAAGAGGCCATCACCATTTCAGACACAAATACATACAGCATTGCCACCACTACCATCACCACCACCTCCAGCGTCCACCTTCCTATTCCCCTGCGACCCCTGACCTTCCTCCAGAAGACGAAGGGCGCCGGGATGCCGGTGGTCTCGCACTGCAGCGTCGTCGGCTCGTGCTGGTTGACTCGATGCTCGGCAGGGCTCTCCAGGATTGTCGGCGCCTCTGAGGAAGGGAGACATGAATTCGTAATAAAGACAACAAACTTCAACGTTTTCTGGGTTGATAAAGGAGAGAAAAATAAAAGTGAGGACTAATAAAAAAGCGGTCTTGACACCGTACCGGTAAAAGATTAAGCCTTTTACCACGAAATCACACACAATCGTCTCTGGCGAGCCGCCGCGGGTCACTCTCACCACTCACCCGTGACGTGCAACACCACCTGTACGGCTCCCCGGCCGTGATGGACCGCCCTCACCACTCACACTACCTCCGGCCACCTCCCGCGCTCACCACTTACCTGTGACGTGCAGCACCACCTGCACAGCCGCCCGGCCGTGCTCGTTGGACGCCGTGCACGTGTAGAGGCCGTCGTCGGCCGCGCGCACCGGGTCCACGGTGAGCGTCGTGTCGCCCGGACTGAACTGCTCCGACCAGTCTTCTCCGTCCGTCGGCTCCGACACCGCCGACTCCGCCGACAGGTCGGAGAGACTGGAGGCGTCGATGTCCCGCCGCCGCCGACGACGACGGGTGGCCTCCGGTAGGAGCAGCTCGGTGGCAGTGCCGAACGGACTGCCCGGGAGGTCAGGGGGCCGCTCTGGGGGTGTGATGGTCTTCAGGAGCTCACCTGGGAGGGCGCAGGGTAGGAGAGGTGAGCGGGGTGATCTGGGCCCTGTGCACTATCATGGCAGTCAGTGCAAGGCCCAGCTGAACTTTTATACTGTTTGAGTGGCTTAAACGGTACAGTAACATTTGAAAAACATTCTAAAAGAGGCAGGTCTGTAAAACAGAATCATAACATATGGCTAGGGTAGTTAAATAAACTATCGGCCGTCGGCCTTAGGCAGTGCCCGTACCGTCTTTGGTCCAGGTGACTGTTGCCAGTGGGTACGACTGTACCGGGCACCGGAGAGTGACCCGATCTCCCGGCGTGACCGAGCGTCGCTGGACGTCCTCGCTGGTCACCAGGATCACCGGCGCTCCTGGAGAACAGACGGAGGGTGTCAGCGGTCATACAAGATCACCGGCGCTCCTGGAGAACAGACGGAGGGTGTCAGCGGTCATACAAGATCACCGGCGCTCCTGGAGAACAGACGGAGGGTGTCAGCGGTCATACAAGATCACCGGCGCTCCTGGAGAACAGGAGGAGGAAGTCAGCGGTCATACAAGATCACCGGCGCTCCTGGAGAACAGACGGAGGGTGTCAGCGGTCATACAAGATCACCGGCGCTCCTGGAGAACAGGAGGAGGAAGTCAGCGGTCATACAAGATCACCGGCGCTCCTGGAGAACAGGAGGAGGCAGTCAGCGGTCATACAAGATCACCGGCGCTCCTGGGGAACAGACGTAGGAAGTCAGCGGTCATACAGGATCACCGGCGCTCCTGGGGACACCGGTAGACGGTGTCGGTTCAGATAAATTGATCTTCCAGCCTAAATTCAAGAGGGTCGACTTGCAGTACCGATATACGATGCGATTCGCGTGGCTTGTTTAATATGATTCAAACTATGCTACTAACCACGGCCGTCCTCATACCATTGACGGTGAGAATGGTCCTCCTACTCGCTGTGCCGAGTCGGTTCTTTCCGACACACTTGAACTCTCCGGCGTCCCGAAGTCGGGCCGAGTCGACGAACAGTCGCTCCTTGTCGTCGCCGAGCAGAGGGTAGTACACAAAGCCGGGCTCCGCCCAGGTCACACTAGAAACGAAAATTGGGGGAGGCAGCGTAAAGGTAACGAGTCGCTTCGCCTTCATTTAATACCGATGAACAGTTAATAACGACAGTACACTATTGCAACAGACTACGAGCATAAACAAAAATAAGTTTTTCCTCCAGTCTTGTCATTTTTCGGCATTCCAGCCGCCCCGGGTGAGAGAATGACGATGGACAAGGTGGGAGGGGTGATCTGGGCCTAAGGTTGTGGTCTTACGAGTATGAGGTTGTGGTGGCCGGTGGGCGGTGGCCGACCGCATATGAAAGGGATGAAAAGATACTACCTACACTCTACAGCCCAACAAAACATGACCCGTTCGTGGCACCGAGCCTCTGATTGCCGTAACCACACACCATCGGCGACCTACCTGACCACCTGCTGATCGTCCTTGTTCCAGGCGTATCTGGGCCGCGGCGCACCCACCACGGAGCAGTTGAGGGTCACCGAGTCGCCCCTGTGGACGGTCACGTACTGCGGGTCGGGCCCGGCCGGCCGCGGCGCCACCTCCACTCGGACGGGGAACTGGCGGGTGATCCGACCGGCGCTGTTCACCGCCTCACACGTGTACGTGCCTGCCGGGGAGAGCGGGGCGGGTTCAGATGGGTCCAGGAACAGGGCATTACGATACGAGTACATCATATATATGAGTATGTACATATCCGCTCTTCATCGCTAGGTGAGGTAACATAACTCATAGATGTTTTTAAGACTATTTTAACACGATTACTTATGTCACACGACGATAATGTATCATTGAGTTGGCATATGTAATCTCAGGCGTTCACAATTTGTAAAGTCAATTCACTGGTGAATATAGGCGGTGCAGGATTTGCGGACGTGACGTACCGGCCGTCTCGAGCCGTCCCCAGATGGTGAGTTTCTCTCCGTCGGCGGACACGATCATCCCCCGGATGGAGTCAGGCGAGATCGGCTCGCCGTCCAGGAACCACCGCACCTGAAACATATAGGGATGAAACACTCGAAACAGGTAATAGCGCACCTGGAGACAGGAATTACGGCACTACACCAACGTATCAGCTGTTCTGTGTGAGTGGTCAATATTCGAGAGCCGACGGGTGTCGCTGATCTCCGCACAGCACAGCTTCTGTCATCAAAGCCCGCCAGTCCTCTGCCACTGTCCTTACCTGCGGCGTCGGGTGTCCGTTGACCTGACAGTTGAGACTCAGCTGCTCCTGCTCGTCTAGGATCTTCTGCTTGGGCTCGAAGAAGGGGTCGGCGAAGCGGGGCGGCACGAGCACCTCCAGTTCGGCACTGCCGCGCACGCCGCCCGCCGCCGTGTCGGCCACACACGTGTATTCGGCTGGCAGAGGCGCACCGTGGGTCGGAGGGTAAGGACGGGGTACGGTCAGAAAACAGCAAGCACGGAAAATGTGCCGGTTTGAGATGAGCTTTAGGGGAAACATAAAAACACAAACCTACACACACATATATTGTCATGACAGCTGATCAGCGTTGATAACGTAAGTGTTTTCCCCATTTCCCACCAACCTTTTTCACGTTTCCCTTTGCCGAAAAATGACGGTGTTGACATGCTAAATGTTTTTAAACGCTAGCTCGGCTAATTATTACGGCCCGTCTCATTCCGCTATCCTGATCCCTCCACCCGATGGTCCTCACCGGAGTCCTCGGCGGTGACCTCTGGTATGCGGAGGACGCGTCCTCCCTCCCCAATCACCACGTGTGTCTGGTCCGAGCGAGTACGGACCAGCGGGTCGGCGATTCGCTCCCCGTTCTGAAGAGAGACGAGGGGAGGTGGGGTGAGCAGCTCGGCCAAATATTATCACGGCTAACACCATTGCGGTAAATGTAATATAGCACAGGAACGATTCGGCTTCACTGGTACTTACATACATCTACACAGCCTCGCCACTGTCAAATATATCTGTCAAATAATTGCTTTATTTAACTGACCCAGAGGCTGAGAAATACCAAAACGTAAATGAAGCCTGTTGTGTAACGGCCGAGGCTGTTGTGTGACGGCCGAGGCCCGAGACTGGGTGACCTTGACCGGCGGGCGGTCAAGGCCGTGTCTGGCGCGGCGGTGCGGCGCCGGGGCGGAGGGCAGTTGTCAGTTGTGAATACAGAGCCGACCGAGAAGGGCGTGTCGGGAGCAGCTGCCTAGCGGAAGGTGGAGCTGGAGCAGGAGGGGAGTGCGAGGGAGAGGACACAACATTGGCGACGAGGATCTGTCTACTGCAGGCATTGGTAAGCGGCCTCACAGCGCTATGGAAACCGGCGTTATTCCACCGATTGCTCCCTTTGACTGTTCGGACCCCGGGAAGTGGGAACAGTGGAAGATAAGTTTTGATTATTATCTCGTGGCATCAAATGTTACCGACGAGGCTCGGAAGGTTGCGTTGTTCTTGCACATGGGTGGGTCTGAGTTGCAAGAGTTGTTTCATGCCGTGTCTGACCCCGCCGTCAAGATAGAGTCGTTGAAGCAGGCCATTGACGTGCTTGACGGTCAGTTGTTACCACGTAAGAACGTGATTTATGAACGGCATATTTTTCGCAGAGAGGCCCAACGCCAGGATGAAGGAGTTGATGCATTTGTGGCCCGCCTCCGTAAGTTGTCACGGACTTGTGAGTATGGCCCGCTACAGGAGGATATGATACGGGATCAGCTGGTAGATAAATGTTCGAGCCACAAGCTCCGTTGTGCCTTACTGCGTGAGCCCAGTCTCACCCTTGCTACTGCTGTTTCCATTGCCAGGACGATGGAGGAGGTTGACAAGCAGGCGGAGGTGATGGAGAGTGGCGGAGGCCAGGAGAGCGGCTTCGCAGAGGCTCATGCCGTCCGTCACAGAGGTCAGCAGCGGCTCGCCACCGGGAGTCGCAAGGCAGATGAGCCTTCCGAAGGTGAGAAGCAGAAATGTTTTCGGTGTGGCCGGAAGAATCACGACTCTGAAGATTGCTTCTTTCAGGGCAGAAAATGTTTCAATTGTGGGAAGCTAGGACACATGGCAAAGATGTGCCGAAAACCGCGGCTTGATGCTAAGCGCTCACTGGCTAATGTGGTGTCTGAACATGAGGATCATGTGTTCGGAGTCACGTCTAATTCTACGGCTGCCCGGTTCCCAGTGCAGGTTGGTGACGCTGTCTGTCACGTGTTGATCGACTCGGGAGCCACCTGCAACGTGATGGGGGAGGATACGTTCAGAGCGAATTTCACAGGCGTTGAACTCGAGCCCAGTGGCATTAACTTATACTCTTATGCCTCTCGAAAGCCAATGCATGTGCTTGGCAGGTTCCAGGCCCAGGTTTCTCATGGTGACGAGAGCACGTCTGCAGTATTCTACGTCGTTCCAGGGCGCAATGCATTTCTTCTGGGGAAGGAGACGTCAGAGAAACTGGATCTACTCCGCGTCGGTCCACAGGTGAGAGTGGTGACATCTGACAAAAAGTTTGTTGGACAGCATGAGGAATTGTTCGCAGGCCTCGGAAAGCTGAAGGGTTTTCAGCTACAACTGGCAATCAACCAAGAAGTGAAGCCGGTTGCTCAGCGACTGCGGCGGATCCCGTTCTCCAGCCAGCGGTGGAGGCCAAGCTGGATGAACTTCTTCAGCACGACATCATCGAAAAGGTGACTGGGCCAACCCCTTGGGTGTCTCCCATTGTTGTCATTCCCAAGAAGGACGGCCAGATCAGACTGTGTGTTGACATGCGTCAAGCAAATAGTGCTATTGTCCGTGAGCGACATCCCATGCCTACCATTGACGACCTGCTTCACGAGATGAATGGTGCAGTCATGTTCTCAAAACTGGATCTCTCACAGTCATTCCATCAAATAGAGCTGGACCAGAGTTCTCGAGAAATCACCACGTTTGTCACCCACAAGGGTCTCTTCCGATATAAAAGACTATTTTTTGGTATATCTTGTGCCCCAGAAATCCACCAGCGCATCATACAGCAGGTCATCAGCGGATGCGAAGGTGCCAGGAACATCGCTGACGACATCATAGTCTTCGGCACCAGCATGGAGGAGCATGCCCAGCGGCTGGAGTCGGTGCTGCAACGCCTCTGGGAGGCGGGCCTGCGTCTGAACAGAGAGAAGTGTTCGTTCGGACTGCCGGAACTGACATTCATGGGGTATCGTCTCAGCAAGCACGGTATCTCTGCTACGGATGAGAAGGTCCGAGCGATCTCCAACGCCAGGGAGCCTCGCACGGCGTCTGAGGTACGATCCTTCCTGGGACTACTCAACTTTGTGGGTCGTTTTCTACCTGACATGTCGACGGTTTCAGCTCCACTCCGGGACCTGACGAAGGCGAAGACGACATGGCGGTGGACTTCAGTGGAGCAGAAGGCGTTCGATGAGCTGAAGAGACTGATCGCGCAGCACAGTACACTGGCATACTTCTCTGCAACGTCAGAAACCAGGTTGGTGGTTGATGCTTCGCCTGTGGGTCTGGGAGCGGTTTTGCTTCAGTGTCAGGGGGGCGTATTTCGACCCGTTGAATACGCTAGCCGAAGTCTGTCAGATGTTGAACGTCGCTACTCCCAGACTGAACGGGAGGCACTTGCAGTCGTTTGGGGGTGTGAACGTTTTCATCTGTACCTTTTTGGCATTGAGTTCGAGCTGATTTCGGATCACAAACCTCTCCAGGTCATCTACTCTCCAAAATCAAAACCGCCAGCTAGAATTGAACGTTGGGTCTTACGCCTTCAGCCATACAACTTTCGAGTCAAATATGTGCCTGGGAAAGACAACATCGCTGACTCTCTCAGCAGGTTAACACAAGAGTCTGCGATGTCTGGAGATGACGGCGAAGACTTCATCCGCTTCGTTGCTGCGCACGCTGTCCCAGCGACTTTGACGCTCCGAGACATACAGATGGCGACATCTCGTGACGGCGAGCTTCAAACGGCTCTGAGGTGTGTAGCTGCCGGCGATTGGCGTCGATGTCCCAAAGGGTACGTGCAGGTTAGGAACGAATTGTGCGAATATGATGGCATGCTGATGCGAGACACACGCTTGGTCGTTCCAGCAACCTTAAGGGCTAGGGTTCTGGATTTAGCGCATGAGGGTCACCAAGGGATTGTTAAAACGAAACAAAGACTGCGGAGCAAAGTATGGTGGCCGGGGATCGACGCCGATGCTGAGCGACGTGTGAAATCGTGTCATGCGTGCCAAATTGTGTCGCCAGGCAACCCACCAGAGCCTGTCATCGCTGGAGACTCACCGAACGGGCCCTGGGAGGACCTTCAGCTGGACCTGTGTGGACCGTTCCCGAGTGGTGAGCATCTGTTGGTCATCGTGGACAAGTTCTCCAGGTGGGTGGAAGTGGATGTGCTGAAGGATACTACTACTGCCGGTATCCTGCAGTCCCTGGAAAGGACTTTTGCATGTCATGGGTTCCCACTCAGTGTCACCTCCGACAATGCCAGGAATCTCACCTCACATGAGTTTGAGGAGTATTATAGAATACGAGGCATTCGTCATCACACAGTTACCCCTCTGTGGCCACAGGCGAATGGGGGAGTAGAGCGGCAGAACCGGACTCTTCTCAAGACGATCCGTGCAGCTGTGGCGGAGAAGAGGGACTGGAGATCGGCACTGGTGACGTTCCTGATGGCGTACCGCAGTACGCCACACCCTGCTACAGCCGTCAGCCCTGCTGAGCTCATGTTCGGCAGGACCATTCGCACCAAGATGCCGGAGATTGGCAGGGGACAGCCTCGTCCTGCCACTGATCGCGTGCGGGACAATGACCGACAGTATAAGACGCGAGCAAAGGTGAACGCGGATCGCCGCAGGCGGGCAGAGCCTGCCGAGTTGAGCGTTGGGGACTTGGTGTTGGTCAAGGTTCCAAATAAGTCTTCTAAGTTGTGTGGGTCATTCTTTCCCAACCCGTATGTTTTGTTGGAACTGCGTGGGACTCAGGTACGTGTTCGCCGAGGGGATGGAAAAGTGTTCCGCCGCAACAAGTCCTGTGTCAAGCGGTTCAGGTCTTGCGAGAGTGATGATTTTGTGCCATTATCTGTTACCGATGAAGACTGCGCTGCGTCGCAGAAGGTGGTACAGCCGAGCCACCATGCCGTGCAGGATGCAGTTCCGAGTTCCGACGAAGACTGCGCTGTGTCGCAGAAGGTGGTACAGCCGAGCCACCCTGCCGTGCAGGATGCAGTTCCGAGTCAGCGCACTCGTAGCGGCCGTACTGTAAAACAGACACAGTTCTACGGCCATCCAGTTAAGCATTAGTTTTGTTGTTGGTGGAAAGGGAATGTTGTGTAACGGCCGAGGCTGTTGTGTGACGGCCGAGGCCCGAGACTGGGTGACCTTGACCGGCGGGCGGTCAAGGCCGTGTCTGGCGCGGCGGTGCGGCGCCGGGGCGGAGGGCAGTTGTCAGTTGTGAATACAGAGCCGACCGAGAAGGGCGTGTCGGGAGCAGCTGCCTAGCGGAAGGTGGAGCTGGAGCAGGAGGGGAGTGCGAGGGAGAGGACACAACAAAGCCCACGGCATCGCGGACCCAGTTATGCCACATGGTCTATCGCGCCCTCCCTTGACTTCGGTGGCATTCGGTCATCGGTGACCGACCTTGAACCACTTGATGTCTCTGACGTCTCCGGAGATGGGGCAGTCCATCTCAAACGTCTCTCCGTCGATGACCTGTCTGTCAGAGACGCCGGCGTCGTTCACCGTCACACCTGGGTCAGAGACGGGGTGGACAGTTCGGGTGTCAGGCGTGGGACTGTGGTGCGCCTGATTATGGTAGCGCTGGAAGGGCATCGGCAGGCGTGAGACCAATGTGGTAAAAGGTGAGACTATGCAAGTGTTTGGTATTTCAACAAACAGTGAGTTAGCAAATTATGGTTACGCGAAACAAAATATGAGCGGACAGTGGTAGAAGGTAATCAAGCTGTTGAACGTAAAATGAACATCCAGCAACATATCAAAGGTGTGTTCGTAAGTGCAGATCCGTGATCTCTTACTGATGACGTCCACCTTGAAGTCGTATACGGCCTTTCCCGCCGGACTGGTGGCGTGCAGGGCGTACTTGCCGGCGTCAGAGGGCGAGGCGTTCGGAATCAGAAGGTCGCCCGACTCCTCCTGTATCGCTCCTGGCCCGCGCAGACAAACGCATGGGTTAACACTCGCTCAACCTCAGTAAAGCTGCCTTCACCTACACTCGCATCAAGTTATCGAGCAGCTAATTTATCCACTGCAACACAAGTGCCTTAACAATGTCACCGATACAATAAGCGTCGAGCAAAAACGTCAGCTATGCAATACATGGTCATCATTCCTCAATTCATCATCCTCATTTCACCAGAAGCATCAGGAAAGAATACACGATAACTGAACAACAAAGCGTTGGAGCGACTGGTTCTAACCGGATTCCGGCGGCAGTGGGACGCCGTCTTTGGTCCAGAGCAGGTCCGGCCGAGGGGCGCCGGTGATCTGAACCTTCAGACGCAGCGGCTCGCCCGTCCGCACCGCCAGCTTCCGGTCGAGGTCGGAAGTAACCACCGGTGGCTCTGTGGAAAATATGCACGCTTTTAGTGAAGGAAAACAATATTAGTTCAATACCTACTTAATTAAAATTAGGGGTTTGAAAACACCGACCAGCACGGCGGGAGAGCAAATTCGCTCACTCGTCCTAAACACGAGTTCATCCGTTAAAAACGACGTTTTCACTACCCTGCAATCCCCCTACGGACGTCCCTCGTCCCCGCCCATTTACCCAATACGGTGACGTTGGTGAGCTTGGTCAGCGAGCCGATGGCGTTGTTGGCCCGGCACTTGTACAGGCCGGCGTCCGAGTGCTGCACGTTGTGGATGGTGAGCGAGTCGTCCTCACCGCGACTGGAACACGTCACGGCAGGGATGGACTTCAACGTTATGGGAGGCTTTGGGAGGCGGGAATTCAACCGCTCACTCATGGTTTTCTCATTGCTGCACTTAGTTTTGGGTCCGCATAAAACAACTGTGAATGTGTGCGCTAAGCCGTAAAGACAAGGAACCGAATGAACACATTTCGTGACCTTGACATTTAAAAGTAAAGTTTTCTTCAGAGGAATCGCTAGGCTCATTATGACTAATAGTGGTCAAAAAGTCAGAGGTCTACTTATTTCAGCACATCAAACTGAAGCACATGACCTACCTAACGATCGTCGTCTCCCTCTCACCTGTACTTTGTTCCGCCGCCGCGAATCCTCCGTCCGAGACGGAGCCAGGTGATGGCCGGTTTGGGCCGACCGCGTACCACGCAGCTCAGGGTCAGGTCGTCACCCAGGGTGGCGTTCACATCGTACGTCCGACGAGACGACTTTGGCGCGTCTGCGGCGCAATGAACAGGGGCGAAATGTGTGATATTCGATAGCTGACGGAGAAATGCTAAATCATTTAAAGCAGAAAGCCCTTCGTTAATCGTAAAAATGTCACATCTTTGAGGGATAGGTAGGCATTTCGTGTACGACTGAGCATTAGCAAGCATCTGTACACAAAGGATTAGTTTGATAAAGAAGCACTCACGTTTGACATTGAGCTTCAGTGGCGCGGCAGCGGTGCCAAATTCGTTGCTGGCCTTGCATTGGTACGTTCCTTGGCTCTGCTCCGAGGCGGTAAACCTGCAAGACGGAGCGGTAATCACATAGAAGCAGAGTTTTATTTATACCTCTGTCTCCATTCTTTATCTTCGTAGTGCATTACGGTACCACCAATAATCTATTGATCGTCTGGCTTCATTTAGGATTCCAGTATGATTTAGTCCACGAGTCCAATGAAGTCCAAATAAATACTCCCATAAACGTTTCCTATGCAGAGAGCACCATTGTACCACCCGTGTCTCGTCCTGAACGTCACCGTTCCGTACCAACCTGATGCCGCCGTTGTCCAGCTGAGTGCCGCTGGCTGGCGCGCCTCCCGACCTCTCCCAGGTCACGCGGGCCACGTCATCGGGGCGCAGGTCACAGAGAACGGTCACCTCGTCCCCCTCGGTCACCGTCAAAGAAGGCTCACCGTCCTCTGTGGGAAGGTCAGGTCAGGTCAGGTCAGGTCAGGTCACAGAGCACGGTCACCTCGTCCCCCTCGGTCACCGTCAGAGAGGGCTCACCGTCCTCTGTGGACAGGTCAGGTCAGGTCATAGAGAACGGTCACCTGGTCATGGTGACGGTCAGAGAAGGCTTGCCGTCCTCTGTGGGCGGGTCAGGTCACAGAGCTCGGTCACGGTCAGATGCCCGCCATGAACCGTGGACAGCACAGGTCATGCAAAAATACGGACAGAACCGTGTAAAAAGCTCCCTCATTTACTTGTCGGTCAACGAACTAAGTTCAATCAGGAAACGGCAGATACCTTGTCTTACAACTAGTCACGTCTCCCTTCACTTATAAAATAACAACCGCCTCTGCTTACCGAGCACCACCTGTCCCCGATCGGTGGCCAGTTCCCTCCTCTCCAGTCTGGGCTCCCTGGTCGGAGTGTCCTCCACTCCGTACGGAGGAGAGGGAGAGGGACGTCCGTCCGACGCCACCACGTCCGCCTCGATGCCGACAATGCGCGGCGGCGCGTGCACGAGCAGCGGCCGGCGCGCCGACGCGGCGCCGCGCGTGTTGTTGACGTGACACGAGTAGACGCCGGCGTCATCCTCGGTCACCGCAGAGATCTGCAGCGTGTTGTTCGGGTGCACCCACAGTCTGAAAACGGAAAGAGACGGGTGATGAAGATGCAGACTTTTGGAAAAATGAAAAAAAGATTAGCCTAGAAATGAGCGATGGGACGCATACCTACTTTTGGATAAATAATGCAGAAAATATGAGCCAATGCGAAACATTTGCCAAGTTTTCACTAACTAAGGCGTCTTTTCAAACTGCGCGGACGTCTAAATAATGCCATTGAAACTCTGGAACACATGCTCTTTGAATGTGACAAACTGAAAGACGATAGAGTAGCTGCTCAAAAAATATACAAAACTATCTTGAACAGAACGCTACCAGCAGTAGAACTTATCATCATCGCCGATAAGCCACAAAGCTTGATCATCCATTATATCTACCAAGCTCGTGTGCGCAAGGAACTCACTGAGAATATAACCAAGAAGAGTAACTGTTAAAGAGTCCTCCCAACTATGATGTCCTGAAAATTTATATCATCCAGACAGCTAACATAATTGGAAGACGATCAGAAATGATCCTGCATCTACTAGATGGAGTCGACGAAATAAGTCTAAAGTCTAAAGTCTAAGCAGCATCCCTCCTCACCTTCCATCCAGCGGTATCTCCAGCTGGCCGTGTTTGACCCAGATGACCCGCGGCACCGGGTCAGCGGTGACGTCACAGGCCAGGAACACGGTGCTGTTCTCGGGAACCTCCAGAGGCTTCTCGTCAGAGTCCTCGATATCGGGAGCGTCTGAGAAGCGCGAAAAGTGAAAAGGGGACCGTCACTTGTGAATAGATTAAATATACGATGAAATATGATTGCAGATTTAAAGCGGCATAAAATTTTGTCCTCACAAGTTTAACTGGAATCGATTAGAGTTAGGAATGGTCGCTTAGTATGAGATGTAAGTACAGTCCACAGCAGAAGTAATGTGGGGTTTCAGTCATGGGTATGTTCTGCTTCTGAAGCTTAGGAACGATTAACCAGACTACAATGAAACTTTGAATGTAGCTTATATGTATCGTCACCCTTGCAGCTGCAACTTTAGCTATTGACATCTTCTTTTCGATCACTCCGCATTAAACAATCGCCAGTCAAAGCCAACCGTTGAGATAGGTAAAACCCCACATTACTTCTGCTGTGGACTGTACGTACGCACTCACAGTGCACGCTCTAATATTACGACTTTCGAGCTGCACTTACAGTGCACGCTGACCCTGGTGGTGCTACTCACAGTGCACGCTGACCCTGGTGGTCCTACTCACAGTGCACGCTGACCCCAGTAGTCGTACTCACAGTGCACGCTGACCCTGGAGGTCGTACTCACAGTGCACGCTGACCCTGGTGGTCACGCTGGTCGTTCCGGCGGCGTTCTCTGCCGTGCACGTGTACTCCCCGGCGTCCCGTCGACGGGCGGCGGTGATCCGCAGTGTCCCGTCGGCCCGCAGCCAGCGGCCGCCGCCCTCGACCACCGGCAGGCCGTCGTGGTGCCAGCGCAGAGTGGGCGGCGGGAGGGCCGAGAGCACGGCGCAGGGCAGGGAGAGAGGCGAGCCCAGCTCGACGGAGAGCCCGGCAGGGACGTCACTGAGCACCGGAGGCACTGGAGCAGACGGCGGGGGGGGGGGGGAGATTAAACATAGTGGCGAGCGGAGGAGCCTTTCAGTGTGATTTACATCCTCTATTACAATATGTTAAAAACGATGTCTCTCAGACGTGATTCTAATTGATGGTTGATTAAATGCTACGTCAATTACAGTACGTTCTCATCAAAACAAGACCTTGTTTCTGGTCTGTCAACACACCCGTTTTCGTGCTAGGACACAGGCTAGGAGCAAATGCGACATCATCCCGCACTGACCGGCTCCGCGCACGGTGACGTTGACGGTGACGGTGTCGGTTCCGTACTCGTTGGTCGCCGTACACGTGTACGGACCGGCGTCATCCATTGTGGCGTCTGTGGAGGGGAGGGGGAGACGGATGTCAGTCAGTTGTGAGACTATCATAGCGTATAGTCGACTACAGAATGATGTTCCACTCCTCAGAAGCTATCAGTTGACCGGAGCGCTAAGTTGTGCCGTTTATCACGCAATTAAGCGTGTCGATTGTGAGCATTGGGGCAAAGCTATAATTTGTGAACTCAGCCCGTGTGATGCGGCACAGCCTACCACTTCAGGCAAATAATTACCTGCGAAAAGTGGAACATCATTCTGTAGTCGACGATTGTCCACCGCCACCCCGCCGCCGCCTGTGGTACTGTGTTTCCATGCATTGCTGGCTGTGTAAGCGTAATCTGCACCCAAAGTGCATGACGGGTGTACAAACGTACGAATACACAGACCCATATTCATTATACTACTGGTGAAGAATCTAGTGAAATCAGCCATGAGTGCCTAGGGCCATCCTGCTCCTTTTATCCGGAGTCAAAGCTCAGAGCTCCCGTAATATCGCACTGAAATTTCGCCCCATTCTCACTACGCTCTCGCCACTCACAGTCAATGTTGAGAGTGCCGGCGTCGGTGACATCGGTTAGCCGCTGCCCGGGCCGGCTCCAGCGAACGGTGGGCTCCGGGCTGCCCACGGCCACACAGGGCAGGGTGGTCGAGCCACCGTACGCTATCGGCACGTCTGAGGGAGGACAGGGCGGTGACAATACAGCTGTTAAACCGTGGACGGCCACACAGGGCAGGGTGGTCGAGCCGCCGCACGCTATCGGTACGTCTGGAGGGAGGACAGGGCGGTGACAATACGTGTTACACGGTGAACTACCACACAGGGCAGGGTGGTCGAGCCGCCGTACGCGATCGGTACGTCTGGGGAGGGGACGGGGCGGTGGTAGGTATTGAGGGATGTAAAGTACACATCGTCTGGGAAAGAGTTGGTTATTTGGACGTAAAATGTTTTATTTTAAGTGTGAAGGAGATGCATCATTGTCTTACAGTGTACCGTGCAATGTTCCTCTTCCAAAAAGGGAGCAGTTGTCAATGCTGTTCGTCGGAAATGACACCGTCGATCATCTAACTAGAAAGCCCTCACGGCTCCTCTACCCAGCGTAGTCCGGTACCATGACGACCGGTGCCGACCCGATACTCAGTGACCCTCGGACAGTGACCAATCACCCACCGTAGTCCCGCACGATGATGACCGGCGCCGACCCGATGTTCAGGGTGACCGGTGCCGTGTCCCGGCCATAGTCGTTCTCGGCAGCACATGTGTAGGTGCCAGCGTCGGAGCCTTTGACGGCGAGCAGGTGCAGCCGGCCGCCGGCCACCTGGGGAGGCGTGGAGAGGTGGTGACGACGATTTAGGTATCTATTTTATTTATTTCACATCGGGAGGTAGCTTCGCAACATACAGTTGCTAGTCCGTACCTGGATTCAATTGCCTTCAGCAGTGCGGAATACTGTTTAACTGAGGTAGCGCACAGATGACAGCCATCACATAAACAAGCACACATTGACATCTTCCACTGCGATTGTCACGGGACTAGCGGTTCGTGGCAACCAAAGGGCAACCGGAACACTCGTTTATGTTTGTATGCATAAAGACAGACAAAATAAGCAGTGTCGCTACTGAAAGAGTAGCTGTTGATCATCTGATGAAACTAGTGTTGATGAAGCGTTTAACATGAGGACCACACACAGAAGCAGGCCTGAGTTACACCTCGCCTATGCTCTGTACCTTGACGAGTCCGGAGGACTGCAGAGGGACCGATGACCTGAGCCAGGTGACGGTCGGGTCGGGGAGGCCGGTGACGTCACAATGCAGCGTCACCTGACAACATCAGGGGCGCCCGAACGGCACAAGTGATGGTAAATGTGTAATACAGAATAGACGAGTCGCATCTGTTCCTGAGGGACACTTTATAACTACTGCATGGCACTGGTAAAATTCATCCTCAGTCCTCACAACGAACAGAACAAGATACAAGATATTGATAATATATTGATGCTAGCTGCTCAGCAGTTTCCAAGACCCACGACAGCCGTAGTGAATTTAGTCATCAGCTCCGACGACGCTCGAAGTCATACTCACCGAGGCTCCTATGGAGGCGACGAAGGGCTTGTCGGGAACGGATACCCGAGGAGGCTCCGCGTACTGGATGTACAAACTCTGGGTGGCTGGAAGAAAGAACAACAATACTGTCATAAGACGTCGATCAGTTTTGAACGTTATCACGGTACGCCCGTCCCTGCCGATATTTCAAATAGCGACTGCGTAGTTTGAAGCCCAACTGAGTGCGGGTCTCGGTTACTCAACGCAGCCGTGCTCGTTTCTTAAAGTGTCTCCCCAGCAGTACGTCCTGTCTCTTGAACTCACCGCGTCCGTACTCGTTGGTCCCGGTACACGTGTATACTCCCTCGTCGCTCTGACGGGCGTTGTCTATCCGGAGGATGCTGCGGTCGGCCTGCACGCGCCCGTCTTCCGATACAGACTGTGGGTACACCATAATCACGTAACGTAATTAAAACATAGAAACGTGGCTCTTTTACGAAATATGGTTGCCTATCACTTTTATGAATGTGCGTGTGATGCGTCTTAAAAACGAAGGAACCACCCTCTTCTGTGATTATTCAACAGCTTGTGCCTTCTCTAATGCCGCCACCACGGTTCAAGTCCCTCTCTAGCAGCCCCTCCCCGCCCACTCACGTCAATGACGACGTCGTCGTAGCCGCGCGTCCACACGATGTCGGGGTGGGGCTGGCCGTACGCCTGGCACGTGATCACCACCTGCTGGCGGGGTAGGAACACCCGACCCGGCGTGCGCACAGACACCTTAGGGGGCGCGTGCACCGACAGAATCGTCTCCGAGGTCACCTCGCCGCCTGCGGGGGGACAGAGGAGGCCACAGGAGGTTACGGGAGGTCACGACTCACAATAGGTCACCGTTCATATCATTTGATTTCGTCAGGAAAAGTACAGAGGCCTTAGCTTCAGAAAAAGCCGTTCCCTGATCTGAATTAGTGGAAGGGCACCGACCACTGGCCTGCGCCATCGGTCATACACCGTCATCCATGACTGGCCTGCATTGGCGGCCGTTCGCTTTTCACAGACCTGCGTTGGCGGCGGTGCACTGGTATCGCCCGCCGTGGTTGATGGTGGCCGCCGGGATGTGCAGGTAGTCGGTGGTGCCCGGACGACTGATGGGCTTCTTGCCGTACAGCCACTCTGGGGAGACACGAGCGGTCAATGGAAACCTTTCGGATAGTATGAGCGTCACATGCGTTCAGATAACTATCACAAATCCAATAATTACCGTCAAATCTGGTGCCTCTTTTTAGATAAATTAAACAGCTTCACAGAGCCCGCTTACGAAACCACGTTGCGCTACACCACGGGCCTAACAGCCTTATCTGTTCCTCGTTAACGTTAACAAACGCGATACAGCCAAGCCGCCTCACCGGCATATGTGAACTAGCCTAACCTATCATAACCTTAACTCGCCGGCAGGTCTAGCCCAACCTTTTTCTTACCTGCGCGCCTCCAGGTGACGTTGTATGGCGTGTCTGATGTGACGTCACACCTCAGGTAGACCGGATGACCATCCAGCACGGTCACGTTGCGGGGAGTCTCCACCACTGGGGGCGGCGCTGTGGGGTGTAGGTATGGCAGTCAGTTGAGCAATGTGCATTGTGCAGTTGAGCCGTTCGTATGTATGTACATACACTACTGGCGAACATGCGTCCTATGATGAACGATATTCAGTGTATGACAAGATAAATGAAATGCGTCATGTAAATGTTGCAAAACATTGGAGCACATCTTAATCTGTAATCGACAGCAATACCTACACTCTTCGCTCGGTCTATTTGTTTCAGGTTACACATGGTGGCACTGGCTCTCACCTAGCACCTTGAGGCGCACATACTGGGAGGCCTTCCCCAGCGCGTTGCTGGCCAGGCAGATGTAGGTGCCGGCGTCGGCCTCGGTCACGTTGGACATCTGCAGGTTCAGCACCCGAGACTGAGACGACTGGCTGCCGACAGATGAGGTGAAAGTGGAATGACAAGCTCACACCAAATTATGGCACTACAGTGCCGCGGGTCGTCTCACTATAACAGTGTTTCGGGGGGCAAGACGACAATACATTACATGTGCCGGAAAAGCAATTTACTGTGAAATAGCTCTGTTTGAGCTGATAGTACAGAACCATCTCAGGATCACCCAAAGCACTCACCTGTAGTTTGTAAAGGCACTGAACGGCTGGTACTCGAAGTGCCACCCGGCCCTCATCGGCAGGTACGATCGTACCCGGCACGGGATGGACACGTTGGCCCCCAGGTGACCAATGACCTCCGGCTGAGCCTCCAGCACGGGCTTACCTGAGACAACACGAGGGGGCGCGTGAGGGCGGCGGTGACAAAATGCAGTCATGTGTGGCGGATTCATTTACAATGAGGGATGGATCATGCTAGTTCAGTAAATCGCTGTCTATTCAGACGAGCAAAGAACAATAAAAATAATTTATCAAACGAAATCACATTTACCAAATGCAGCACGACGTTTCAAAATGGCGACAGAGAGAGCTGCAGCATATTTTTAGCAATGACAGCTGATAGTCCATAGGTATGTACGAAAGGGTGACGTATGATATGCCTTAAATCACAAATTAGATTTACCCAAGGCACTCATCTATCTGCAGCAGCCTGCAACTGGGAGTCCCGTACTACGCGACACAGTAATGCGGGGTACCGGTAATTCCAGACAATAAACATGTGCGAATCGGTAGTGATATTTTCCAGCCTCTGCAGTCGTTAAGCCCCACATTTTACGATATGACGGGTAGTTCACTTCTGAACAGATTATGATAGAGATCAAACATGCCACATCTATCACATCATGGCGCACATAACTAGTGATTTATCTCCGAATATAAACAGCCCCGGTTGTTTATCTCGTGTGCCACACCGTTACCAAGTGGTCACTGGATCAATCGGCGCACAGTAGTCTGCTGGGCCGTGATTTCCGAAAGAACGCCACCTCTGTCACGTTGCCCCCCCCCCCAACCCCCGCCGTCTTTGCACGGCCCGGCGCCCGGGGGTGACCCTATCGTCACGTGACGTGGTGATCAATGTAAACACTAGGCTCCGATCGGGGTCACGGAATGTTAATGGCGAGGATCGCGATAAACGCTACCACGTAGTATACGGGGCCGGGATGCGGGTGTGTAATACACAGCGTGAGACCAGGTGTGGGGTGGGAATGCAAAGAATAATGAGAGGAGGGCTCGAGGTAGTAGGTACAGACATGACATGAGTCGGGTAGAGTTTGAGTACGTGGATATGGGACAGGGCATGAGACGGTAGATCAGATGTGAGACGTACCGATGCTGACTGCCGAGACGGCCGATGTTTCCCGCTGCACAGGGGCTCCGCTGCTGTCCGTACCGTGCACCTGGAAACGTGGACATCTACGGTCAGACAGAGCGGAGGCAGAGGAGAGTAGCCAGCAGTTACTGTCGGTAGGTATATGGCAATGTTCTAACGTAACCCCAGGCACGAACTATAAAACGTGAAATCAAAGTCCAACATCAGAATATCATAACAGAACATGCTTCGAATACCATGTCATCAACGATCCACTATTATAAGTAACACTTGATATGCACACCGATCGGCCCTCTCACCAAACCGTTGACCTATGCGCTGACCTTAACCCTGAAGAGCTGCTGGCGGGGCGGCCGCAGCGGGCCGCCGCGCTGCACGCCCTGGCCGTCGGGCGGCCCCAGCAGCACGGTCCGCAGCACGGCGCCCTCCAGTGAGACCAGCTCGGCGTGCCGCAGCCGCAGCGGCCCGCTGGCGTTCACCGGCCGCACCAGCAGGTAGTTCAGCTCGTCTGGAGGGGAGACGGGGGAAGGATGAGCCTATAGAACTCAGCTCACTCTTAAGTGTTGATTAAAATTAGAAAGAAAAGTGTGCCCCGCATAAAGCGTTAAAAAAGCAAATTGTAGCCGCGCCTGAAAATTACCTTCATTGGCAGGTTTCTACACCAAATTCAAGTTAAAGGCTGACCATTTTTTTTTTTCTAAGTAAGAGTCATAAAAAGGTGCAAAATAGTAATCACTCCTATTCTCCAGTGGCATGACCCCTTCAACGTTCGCTACAACCGCTGGCCTAAGCGGTTCCACACTGTCTACACTGACCATCTGCCGGTCTATCCAGGGCGTCCTCCAGGCCGGCCTCCGGCTGCTGGGTGAAGCCAAAGTCGAACGTCACGCCGCTGATGGCGGTGGCCCGCAGACTGAAGGCCGAGTCCTCTGTGTCCACGGAGACGCGGTACCGACCTGCCGGGGAGGGAGCACACAGTCTGAGGGCGGGCCGTGCTGAAACAGGCACTCGGCGCGTAATGACAGGCGGACGAGACTGAACGAGAATCTCCTGATACTCCGGTAAATCACGGTAGGTAGGCACATACTCTGGCCTCAAACCATTGCGGCAGCCAAGCTGGAAGTTGAAGAACGAGCAAGCGAGATCAGCAAAGACAAAGAATCGCAATAGGCGTGGTTCCTAGTTTGAAGTGACCTACCGATTAGCAGTGGAGGTGATTGAGAATAATAGGGGCAAGGCATTTTTTATAAGATGCCGATGCCATAAGTCAAGAAAATAATGCAGCTCTTTAAAAAACTCATTTTTCAATCAGTTTCCCAAATAATATGCTTTTTTGCTGCAAAAAAGTAAGGCATCCATCACCGTTTACCGCCGCAAGTTTTAGAATATCGCAAAAGATAATGACCATCATTTACTGAAAGTAGAGAAGGTTGGCGAAATCGATACGTGTCATATTTGTAGACATAACGCTTCAACAAATAAATCGGACAGATTCTGGTTTGTTTTGAAACCCTTAACTAGTAGGATGTTCAGGATGTCTCGTGACCACTGGGCTGGCTAACGGAATAACTCGGGAGCCGTGAATCGTGCCAGAACACCGCTCGGGCGAACAAAAAGCAGAGCGTGATCAAGGTAGCTCTATGTGAAATAATCTGAAATGTTAAACTTCGTTCAAAGTTATCACTGAGCACATCTGCGAAAGTTCATAAGTTCAAAGTATCGTCAGCCGGCGACATCTCCAGCCATGTTGGACGTGACAGCTGACATATCCAAACAAACCAGCAGGAATCAATGACTGTCGGTCCGCCGGTCGGGTCCGTCCGTCACTGTCAGTGCCGTGGGGACAGGCAGACGGACCACCGAAGAGGCACTCAGTCCAGCCCAGCCGGAGATCACAGCCCACATCATAACAGTAAGAAGGATGATATCCTGAATAGTGAATATTGTTACGGTCCTCTCCATGTCTTCGCTCTTTCCTCAACGGTCATCGCCTCGTTCCTGATCCACTCTGTCTCTTCCCTCTTCATCACATATCTCCCGTCCTCACCTCCCATCCCTTTTAGTTCGCTCTGCCCTGTCCGCTCGCTCGTATATACCCGCCCTTCTCACCTGGCCGGGGATTCTTGATGTTGACGACCTTGACCTTTGGCAGGTCGAGGATCAGGTCACCGGTGACACTCGTCTGGTTCTCATCATTGTGGATGGTCACCTCCGGACGGTTGCCTGCGGGCACACAGAGTCACAGTAGTACAAAAATCAAACACAGACAGTAGGGTATGATCTACGAGTAAGTCTAATTGTTATCAGCCGTAGGCTCCATGGTAGCTACCGGAAAATAATACAGTAAAACACGTTTAATGGCACCAAGATTAGCACCTCTTCACGTAAAATCAAGCAAGGCTAAGTCACTGTGCCCGTCTTGGCAGAGTGAACTAGCAACTAGCTGAGTTGCTTTTCTGTCGGTCCCGCCACCACGCCCCCACTTTCTCTCCCCATCTCCCCTCCTCTTTCCGTCTCCTTTACCCACCCGACACGGAGACCGTGAACTCGTCCAGACTCTGGTCCACGTGAATGTTGACAGAGGGAGGCGGGGCGCGGTCCGACTCTGCGCCTCTGTCGTCCCCATCGGTACTGGTTAGCTGCGGGGGAGAGTGGTCCACCGCGGCCAGGTTGACCTGCCGGAGGTCAAGGTCATGTGACGAGGTCATGACCAGATGGAAAGAGATAAAAAGCGATGTGAATGAAAAAAAAACACATTAAGTCATGTCATTAAGATTCCTCCTTATATGGTAAAATCAATGCCAGACATGTCGAGTCATCGGATATTTACATCAAGTGCCAAGCGATCACCGTCATTGCGTCAGTCCCATGTGTCGCCCTGTCGTTTGTCGATGTTCGATGTTAAACGCTCTGACGTCTGACGGCTTCAGACGAAGGATCACATCCCCTGACGGTCCGTCGAATTCCCATGCCCAGTGCCCATGGCCCCTCCGACCCGTCTCGATACGAACCCCTCTCCTCGACGAGCCCCGCTCGGCTCATCGTCCGTCGATTTATAGCGTGAGTGATGACCCAGTGGCGAGATTAAATACACAAAGCGCCGCACCGCTGCAATTCAAACACACTCCGTCTGCATGACAGACTGCAGGGGAAGTGGAGCCGATTTAGCCGCGGTGTACGTTTCGCGGGCCGTATGGCAGCTAATGTGACGAAAATGCCATGGTGATTGATGGAATCTCGCAACGCTCGAGCGAGGGATGGAATGTGTGAAGGAGCAGTCAATAGATGCACTCCAGTCATAAGCTTCTGACGGGCTATTCCTAGCGAGAGAGCTCACTGGAATCGGGCAGAGAAGCGAAGCGATTTTGTTTTGGTAGGTATATGAAGTTTACCGTTTAGGAGACAACAACACAAGCAAGCATCCCACATTCGACAAGGTTGAAATATCGATCTAAAACGCCATCCATCTCTCGACGCCTTCGGTGTATGATATACACGGAAGCCCCTGAAAAATAGAACTTCAAGGAGGGAGCGATTTAGACACGGAGAACACAGGCAAAACGAGCTCATCCGTTAGGCAGTGAAGTAGAAACACCCGAGAAATTGGTTATTAGCTGTTCACATGCTGAGTGGTGCAGAAATATGATCAAACATAAGCACCTACTTACACCGATCCCGTCACCTGATCCAAACGTCCCTCCAGTCTGCAGCGCCCCCCCCCCCCCATTCCCTCCCCTCTGCACCGGTCCGGCCGCGGAGCAGTCTCCAATAACCGCGCCCACCGCCTCTCCGATTACAGCCGCCGCCGCCGCGGCGGCTCGTCTTACCTTCATGGGTCGGAGCGACTCGCGCACGAACTGCAGCACCTGCTGGACGCTGTCCTTCTTCAGGTGGAACACGTGGCCGGCTGTGATGGCGGCGATCCGTTTGAAGACGGTCTGACCGGGACCGTCCGGGTCCGAACAGTCGCCGGTCAGCACAAACACGATCTGCCGAGGCGCCGGGGGGCAGCGGGGGTCAGCGGGGGTCACGCAGGGTCGGTGGGTCGGTGGGCGGGAGGCTGCACGGGGGTGAGGGAGAGTGGTGACACTGACCAGATCAAAGCAAGAGAAATCAGGATAAAAAAACACTGCAGTACAGAGTCATCAGACCGCCACGTTCCTTCACAAAAAAACGACATTTCACATAAGCACAGGTGCCCGTAATCTGCACGTTGCTGGCATCCCTGAGCCTTACGTGCGGCTCCTTGTCGCTGATGAGCGAAATGATCTCCTCCAGCATGTGGTGGTCCTTGGCGCTGGCGTCGGTGAAGACGTAGATGTGCGATCCCGGCAGCGCCTCCTCCAGTGCCAGCTTCAGACCTGGCGAGATGGGCCGATCGATTGAGGAAATCAATACAAGAGATACAATGGCAGCGTGTCTGTCTTTTCAAGCCCAGCTAGTAATTTTTGCCAGTGACTGATCGAGCAGTGCCTGTGCTGTCAGACAATCACAAACAACAGTCAATGCTCTGTCTGCACTCTGCAGTTCCCAGTTGAAAAAATAAAATACCAGGACACAGTTTCAGGCTTTAGCTATTCTTAAACAATTCCAAGCTCAAATATTCCTAGTTCAGCATTTCAATTAAGCGGCGGACTCAAGTATAAGCATAAGGTATAACAAATCCTCAATTTCCGTGAAACGGCACGTTTTAGTTGGGGCCGATGACGCATTATCTAAACAAACAGCTGCCCCGACGCGTCTCATTTCCTCGCGACTCGCTCTTACAGTCAACGTTTCGCCCAAATATACACAGCCTGTTTACTTCATGCCTCCTGGCAACGGCGCTAATCACCGACGCTTGTGGAAAGACAGCGCCAGGCCCCTGAAGGTGGTCAGCTCCAAGACGTTCCAGTCACGGTAAGAAAACTTTTAATTGTTCATTAAACAAAGAAAGATATGCCAGGATAGGATAAAATCATGATCCATCCGGAAGATTGGCAGTAACGTTGACAGAAAATTGCTATCAGCGACACTGCGGTCGAGTCATACCTACAGCCTTATTATAATGAATTCATGATACAAACGAAATTCTAACATCACAAAGCAGCACACGAGCCATACACCGACTGGACACTTGTGCAGAGTGCAGCCGCGGACGGGCGGAAGTCCCCGCCATCCGTCCCTATCAGCCGGTGACCTCACGACTACTTGGACTGACCGCCGCCCCTCTGATCCACCGTGTTTATCATTTTCCCCGCGCGTGGGCTGCCACCGCCGGTCACCGCGTCGTCCGCGGCGCTCCCATGTCGGCGGCACTGTGTTTATACTCGGGGATAGAGAAGGTAACCACCGATCAGCGCCGGTGGCCGCAGGATGAGATACATACGACCAGGGCTGCGGAGTCGGAGTCGGAGTCGGAGTCGGAGTCGGTCGGAGTCGACAGTTGTGACCGGAGTCGGAGTCGGAGTCGGAGTCGATTTTAGAAACCCGAGCCGGAGTCGGAGTCGGAGTCACCGAAAATCTGTCGACTCCGCAGCCCTGCTAGGTCTGCGGAGTCGGAGTCGGGAGTTGGAGTCGGTCGGAGTCGACAATTCTGCCCGGAGTCGGAGTCGGAGTCGGAGCTGGTTTTTGAAAGCCGGAGTCGGAGTCGGAGTCGGAGTCGCCGAAAATCCATCGACTCCGCAGCCCTGCATACGACTGACCGCATACGCACCGTTTGAGGGAGTGGACTACAACGCTAGTTACTTAACACATGGCGGCTTTAATTGCTGCCCACGAAACCCTTTGAGTGGGGGTGGAGAATAAGACGGCGGAGAATTAAACGGCAGACTGTCGGCTGTATGTGAAGGCCGCGTGTGACGCAAACAAGATCCAGTTACAGCTGACTCCTTCCGAAAACAAACACCGGAATGGACCGTGAAGGACTAAGTGCGGTGTCTCCTCTCTGGCCTCTGCAAAGGCTGCAATCAGACGGAGGTTTCCGGCTGGGGAGTTTGCGGGTATTCCGACAGCCGAGTCCAGCACGGCCAGTGATGGCGTAATAGCTGGGACAAAACCGCCCGTACATACATCATTATACCGTGACCGGAACATGGCGTAAACAGTTCCTAAACATGCATGCCAAAACACTTAAATACATCCACATATTTTATCCACAGGACACCAGTCACGCACCCCGGTAGAGAAGTGAGCCTCGTCTAAACTCACCGGTGTGAGCGCCATTTCCGGGCAGTGCCCGTCCCAACTCACCTGTGAGAGCCATTTCCGGGCAGTCGCCGCCGTCCCGGAAGTCCAGCATCTTCAGGCTGTTGTGGAACTGGTGGTAGTCGTCGGTCACCACCGCCGGCCCGATCACTGCCGGGCCCGGATGAGAAACACAGACGGCGTTAGGAGATGACCGATTTTAAAATGAAAGGGGTGACTAAGAATGTCATCCGGTCGTATAGGGGCACTGTAATACCAAGCGGTTTCAAGTTGGAGCATCGCGTCTCGAATGCTCAAAAACAAGGTGCTGATGAAGTATGAAACAGAAAAAAAGGGTCCGGTCGTATGTTTGGCTGCATTCATAAGCAATGGACACTCGACATATAATGACGAGAAATGAGGAAGAAAACATGGCTCCGAGGTCAGTCTACAGGGTCAAGAGTAGACTCAAGATGTCATTCGGTTGTGAACAGACTAAAGCTATAAGTACGTAACGGAAGCATGTCCCCAAGGACTTCGTGACTCCACGACCGACTCCACCGCTCCCAGTAACCTACAACCCCTTCCGTTCCGGGGGTGCCTAAGACGTCACTGCGGCCGATATGGCAGCCGGGTGACGTCACCGGTCACTTCCGGGTGACGTCACCGGTCACTGCAGGCTGCGTGACGCCGCCGGTCCCCTGACGGAGCCGACTATCAGCCGCGCTGAGCTCACTGATGAGCTGCAGACGCCGGGTAGGTATCAATACACTAGCCGCAGGCACCCTCCCCTCTCGGATGGGAGTGACAGGGCGCGCTGGGTGGGCAGCCACTGGTACCTAAAGCGCCCCGGGAGTACGGGGTATAATGTAGGTACCGTACTTGGTGATGGGTGCGCAATCAAATCAACGATGACGTATGTTTCGAAATATCAGGGTACGACATCAAACTCGGTCAACGTAAAATATAGATCAGTCGGACATAGCATACGACTTGCGGATAGGGAACTTCTCTACTAATACAATACCTATACACGGCGAATTATTAAAATATCTTGGTTGGAAACGCAAAGCTGATAATGGCGGCATATATGTATGAGCGCAGGTTGCCTTCGACTAGACACCTGTCATTCCGTCTCGCCAGTCCGCTGCCGCTGCCGAATGTCACAGCTGTCCGCTGTCAGCTGTCACAGCTGTCCGCGCTGCTGTCTGCTATCAACTGTCGGCTGTCTTCCGTACCATGTGATTGGTACATACCGTCCAGTGGCAGACGGACGCTGTCGAGTGTCGACTGACATTGCTGTCACTGTCGGTTGTCGGCTGTCCGCTGTCAGTTACCTTCCATACCGTGTGGGAAGTACCGTCCGGTGGCAGACGGACGCTGTCGACAGTCACTGCTGTCATGGCTGTCCGCTATCTTCCACACCATGTGATAAGTACCTAAGTACCGTCCGGTGGCAAACGGACTCTGTCGGCTGACATTGCTGTCGACTGTCACTGCTGTCGTGGCTGTCCGCTGTCCTGTCAGTACCTTCCTTACCGTGTGATAGGTACCGTCTGGTGGCAGACGGACGCTGTCGACTGTCACTGCGGACACGCCGCGAGCCGCTCTATTTGCTCAGCGACACCCAACACCGCTCAGAGGCGCGGCCGGACGTGCGCCGGGAGCCGGCTCGTGCGGAGGGCCTGAGCGCTGCAGCACTGCGCCCTACTGCCGCTCTGCGCCGGTTCGTGCAAGGCCGGCTCGTGCGGAGGTAGGTACTAAGCGCTGCAGCACCGCGCCCAACTGCAGCTCAGCGGTGGCAGTTGGCCCGGGCCAAGGTACTGATCGAGCTGCAGCACCGGCCACCCTCAGCAGCGGATGCTCTATCGCCCTGGCCCGGGAGAGAGCACAGCGAGCAGCCGACACCATCGCAGCTTGGGCGACCCGCTGGAAGATGGTAGTGGCGGGTGAGAAGACCCAGGCCATTGTCCTCTCGCAATGGGCCCAGGATGCCAAAGATGTGACGGTGAAGGTGGCAGGCGCCCCGGTGAAAGCGGGTCCCAAACTCCGCCTCCTGGGAGTGACGTTTGACCGCCTGTTGCACTTCGGCCCACACTGTGCGGAACTCCGCCGGAAAGTCAGGCCCAGGGTAGCCCAGCTCAGGAAGATGACAGGACGCTCGTGGGGTCTGGAGGAACGGCAACTAAGGACTGTGGCAAATGGGTACGTCAGGGGGGCGCTGGAGTACGCTGCAGCCGCCTGGCTGCCGGCGACCCCCCCAACACACGTGGAGATCATAGCGAGAGAGCTGCGTGCCGCGGCCCGTGTGGTGACAGGCTGCGCAGCGTCTACGCCCGTCCACGCCCTAATGTCGGAGGCCGGGATGGCAGACGCGCGGTCCCGCCGCGTGACGCTAGCGGCAAGAATGGTGGGCCTCGCCGCGTCCCTCCCGGAGGGCGACCCGCTGAGGACAGTGGGTGAAGCGGTCGTCCCGCGCCGACTACGTACCACCGAGGGATGGAGAGAGGTGGGGCTCGCTGCGCTGTCAGCCGCCGGGGCTAAAGACATCCCAGTGGAGACCCGACTACACCACTCCCTGCCGCCGTGGACCGACAGTACTGCCGTCCAATTCCATCTGGACCTCGGTCCGCGAGCCAGCCGCGCGACATCTGCAGAGACCCGCCGAGCCGCGGCGGAGGAGCGCTTCCGAGAGCTCCCGCCCGAGGCCGTATGGGTTTGGTCGGACGGCTCGGCGGAGGGCGGCGTGGAGAACGGTGGCGGCGGCGCGCTGCTCCGCCCACCAAACGGAGACGACCTGGAGGTACGGGTGCCGGCGGGCCGCTTCTGTTCCAGCACCCGCGCGGAGCTCACCGCGCTGCTGGCAGCTCTGGAGGCGGCCGCCGAGCTGCCGGGCTGCAGAGGAGTGCCTGTAGTCGCCTGCCTGGACTCGAAGGCGGCTCTGCTGCTCCTGGCTGGAGGCGCTGCGGCCCAGGCCTCGACACTGGGCGCCAGGCTGTGGGCCCAGCTCCGGCGCATGACGGCCGACGGCAGCACGGTCACGCTGCAATGGGTCCCGGCCCACTGTGGGCTCGCCGGTAATGAAAGAGCGGACGCCCTGGCCAAGGAGGCGGCCGCTCTTCCTCAGCAGTCAACGCCGGTGGATGTCCGTACTCTTACGCGGGCTGTCGCGCGGCACTCCAAGAGGAAGTGGCAGGCGGACTGGCCGGCCGGTTGGTACCGCACCGTCATGGGGGACCGCGCCCCCGCCCCGGTCCGGACCGCCACCAGGGAGGAGGCCGTCGACATCCACCAGCTCCGGTCTGGCCACTGGGCCCGATCGGAGCAGTACCTCCACCGGATTGGTCGAAGACCTACACCTGAGTGCGCTCAATGCGACGACAAGGAATGCCCTGCGGGCCGCTGCCTAGTCTGCTCTGAAGCAGCGGACACCCCGGCGCACGTGTTGCTGGAATGCCCGTGCCTGTACGGCCCCCGGCTCCGTGCGCTGGGCAACATCATCGGCGCGGCCCACGATGTCCGGCGCGACGACGTGGTGGCGGCCTTGGCCGCCGGATACATGGCCCACAAGAGCCGGTCGGCTACGCTGCCGCTCCGGCGGTAGCCGGGGGGTCAAACAACAACAACAACAACAACAGCTGCAGCACCGTGCCCAACTGCAGCTCAGCGGTGGCACGGGCCAAGGTACTGAGAGCTGCAGCACCGCGCCCTACTGCAGCTCGGCGGTGGCACGAGCCGTGCCGGGGCCGCATTTACGTCCGTCACTAAAACTCAGCGCGTGCGGTTTGGGCTGCGACCTGAATGAAACACGTGGTTCACATTCACAAGAATAACACTGAATGAATCCGCCATGCTTATTATCGGAGCATAACCAGATCAAACTCCATCCAATTCATATAATCATTGCACATATGCCTGAACGATTAAAATGGCACCATTCCTCTTTTAAAGAAACATGTTGTTGGTCTTTGAGCCATTGATCGCCATTTGAACCATGTCGCTAATTGGAGTTAACCTCAGAAGACCTCACATGACTTTGCAGTCTGGAGAATGCTACATCATACATGTGCCGCTTTTTATCTATAACGTAAACAATCGCTCACTTAGTCCAGACTTTGCCACCAGCCGCGTCCAGGCATTTCTACAGCATCCCTGCCGTTCCGAGCCGAGAGCACACCACTCTGAGCTGACCGATACAAAATTCATCTGTCCCGACTCCCGACCGAGACCAGACCACTGGTCCGGTATCCACAGCCCGGACTCTGTCAGCTGGGCGCACGCGCCGGGCCACGCGGTCAGGCGGGCCGCCCGGCGCCACGTGCGGTGGTGAGCAGCTCTGTTTTGGTGCAGGGCTCACTTCCACGGTCCGTGGGGAGCAGCTGCTCCGTGACCGAGCGGGGCCCGGCAATGGGTGTCCGCAGGGAGACTCAGCGACCTCAGGGGCTCAGTGCACAGTGCACACTGCACTCTCTGATGGTCGATTGCCGGACCACATCAGTCGATTTTAGAGACTTTTTTACTTGCTCCACACAGCAATGCCGGTACTTAAGAACCCATAACCAAGAAAAAAAAGAATTTGGCAGTTAGCTGACAGTGAGCGTCCCCTCTCGTCACCAGAAGTCGCGACTGACTTAGGTAAGTCGGTACGACAGCGCGAAGCAATCATTATTACCGGCCCCATGTCATGCGGTACAGCATACCTTCAGGCGCGAGACGGTGCTGCCATCTAGCGGCAAGAGTTGTAGACAGATCCCACGGGAATGCTACCTATGGGCGGGTGACTGCAGTATGTAAATGTCGGCCATAAAATAATGGACACTTCACACTTTGTTCATTGCCGAATTCAGTATCTAATCTCGAAGAAAAGATCCAATTCCACAACCACATTTTAGGAACGAACTTCAACGAAGCGTCACAGCATACCAAACCGGTTTCAGTTGCCTGGTATCACGATTGAATATCACGAACCTTCATGGTTTGCTCACCGACTGCTGCAACGGTGAAAAACAAAAAGCTTTATAACTGAATGTCCAGAAGCGAAAAATCTTTTGGGACCGTCAATCGCTCAAAAGTATACAAAATGCAGTTCCAAAATAATAGCAAGCATAACCATAAAACGAGCAGGTTAGATCCGGATATGTGCCAACTGTGCCTGAATCATACATTAAGCGACTGACCTGGGTCGTGGAAGGGCACCAGTATGAAGTTGTCGATGATGTGCGTCTCGGATTTCAGCGCCAGCTGCAGCACCTCCTCCACTCCGCGGATCAGCTGGCGCAGGTCGTCGTACATCGAGCCGGTCGAATCGAACACGACGCCGAGCGAGACGCGCCGCTGGCCGGGCCGCAGGTCGGTGAGGCTGCGTCCCAGGTGGTCCACGGCCCGGCCCACCGTGTGTACCCGCACCACTGTCTGCGGCAGGTCCGGCGCCGAGCCGCCGGCCGGCCCCGGCAGCACGGCGGCCGCGAGCACCGCGCACACGGCAGCCACCACCGGCGGCCGCATCGTCACAGCTCCGACCCGCAGCGCGCGCCGACGGCTTCTGAGCGGCCCGCGCGCCGCCGCCGCCGCCGGGACCCCGCAGGACCATAAACAAACCGACGCGCTGAGGAGCGGCGCGGTGCGGCGCGCGGGTGACGAGACCAGCAGACGGCGGCGGTCCCCGGGGCCGGCAGTGTCCCCGGGCTCCCACACGCAGACGGGCCTGGTGATAATGGTGACCGGGTGTTGATGTCAGCTGACCGCGACATGTCACCAATGGAGAAGCTGTCCCAACCGGATGACTGAGACGACGTAATCAGAACCGTAAGGGACGGATGATGGACACTGAACGGCATCAACCAAGAGATGCATTAAACTTGGCTGTAAATCTTGTCACACAACAACGTCATCTGGAACGTTCTATGAAGCAAAAGCCGCCAGCCGGCGCCTCACTACCACACCCGATTCCAGCTCACCTCTACACTCGACAGCCCTGTCCGATTCAGAAAGCCTCCATGGTAATTTCTTCGGCAGGCGGCGAGGAAGCGGCGGCGCTTATGTAAGCGGGCGCCGCCCTGCGCCCGTGAACGGACGCTTTTTGTGCGCTGCGGCGCTGATGACGGCGGCGAGTCGAAGGCCGGTGCACTATGTTTATCATCAGCCCCCCGCCGCGGGCACCGTTTCACAGGCGGCGCCGTTCATGTGATGGGGTTGGCGGCTGCAGCAGCCGACAGACGGGGCCGAGTGCGTGCGCCCACAGCGGGTCGGATCAGCACGTGTCGGGCCGCACTCAGAAACGGCTCGGTCGGTAAACGGAAGAAGGTAAGTTGCGGGACGGGACCCACCAGATGTGAGCGGTGATAAACTCGAACACCTGGGCCCTGTTTCACCGGTGATAGCAGCACGCTGCTATCACGTTTCGCGAGCTGACGTCATGTCATGACGCCATACTGCTGACGTTATGGGCAGTTCCGACGCACGATGGCCGCGACCTTGGCCGCGGCATTAAGTGACGTATGAGACTAATAGTAAGAGTTTACGCAGTCATTATAGTATATTTATTTTTATTATATATTTTTTTAAAATATGATGTATTTAAAAGAAGTTTGGTTAAAGAAAAATTTGGACGTAAACTTCGAACATTTAGTTGATGACGTAAAACAATATTGCGGCAATCGTGCGCCAGAATTGCCCCTTACGTCAGCAGTATGACGTCATCACATTACGTCAGCTCGCGCAATTTGATAGTAGCTTGCTGCTATCACCGGTGAAACAGGGCCCTGGCGACGGGGTGTGTGATGACAATGCATTTTTCAGTGAGCTCTTGAAAAGGCAGCTCCACAACATTTCTACCTAATTATCTACTGAATTCTTAGTTCTCAAGTCTCTTTTTCAATACAGCGGAGCAAAACAAGTCAACACTAAAAAGACGAGGGAATGTAATGTAATTGGAGCCAGTATAGGTAAGCAGAGAACCCTCGTCCCTCGAGCCGCGACGACCGCGCGTGAAAGACAGATTAATAAAACCTGAAAAAAAAAGAAACCCATTCCTTACTTTTCTGGCGCATGACGGGCCTCTCTTGTTCGTAGTTTGGAGTTCGAGGTCGGATGCACGGTCGAGCTTTTCAGTTAGTCCGGATCGGCCGTCCAAGCGTGAGCTGTGGAGCCAAGCGAAATTCGATCAGCAATGCGCTCCAGTTCAGCATTTTTATTCCTGACGATAATATGTATTGACATTGTGCTTTATGGACTAAAAGGTGAGCCCGGCGTTGGTGGATTTGATCCAGATGGTAGGTACCGTTGTCAAGATCAGTATGAACTTCCAGGATTTCTTGCATCTGTGGCAAAAACACAAAAATTGATTTCGAGTTGGAGTCCTATCTACGTACGACTACCCGCTCATCGTTATCTTACTCACGACCATCGTTCTCTTCTCACACTCATCGTAATCTCCCTAACTACCTACTCACGACCTCAACTAATTGGATGGTTTACTTTCTCACCTTTTAGTTACCTACCTTTGTTAGCCTTGTAACGGATGTATTGTGCACCCCTCCTCTTCAGTGCTTGGAGTTTTCAATTTTCAATTTTCAATCTCTTTCGAAACTTTTTTTTCGAAACGAATGAGTGACGCTCGGTCTTGGGCGAGCGCGAAATTCGAATACAAATTACAAACTCGCTCGCCGCCGTCTTGGTCTCCGTAATCGGTTCCTTTTATTACGTCATAGCACAAACGGCCCATTGATTTTGGCGGGCTCTACTTGTTTGTATCGTGAAACAAGGTGAGCCCTATAGACCTATACGTAACCCTATACCCGTTTCTTCATTCCTACTCCGGTTCCACCTGGGTTTGACCTGGGTTTACCGTTTACCAAAGATTCTTTATCTTACAGCCGGTTCATCCATACAACCTCCGCTGCCGCTGGACTCCACCGTTGTTCTAAAGCGGGGGTTTATAGCATTCGCATTTCATCGGCCCAGTTTTCATTTATGAGCGATAAAAAACGCTGGTGCGACCTATCTTGAAGAATTTTGGGTGCGACTATCTGTAACAATCTTGGGTGCGCTTGGGTGTGACCCACTGAGTTTTTTTTTGTTGTTGTTGTTGCCTGACCGATTTTAGCCAACTGCCGTCTTTATTTCTATGAACTCACCTCATAATGACCGATGCCAGCAAAAAGACGGCAATCGGCATCCCAGATGGAGGGCGGATCGCGGGGCGCGGAAAATTTGCGGTCAAGTGCCAAATGTTATTTGTTTAGCTATTCTTCCATGGACGACGGACGACCCATAGTGTAGCGTTCTAAGTACCGAGGAAAGTTTGCGTGCGTGTTGCAAGCCCCACTCAGGACCGCGCTTCTTCGTGTTGGTCATCATTCCTCCAAACAAACTCGTAGTGGCATGCCTTCAGCTGTGACCTGTGCCCGTGCCGCCCGCGCCAGTAGCTCAGGCACACACCGCCGGCACATGAGACACGGTTCGCCAGCTCCGGATTTCCAGCATATCGGTCGAACGTAAACACTGCCCGCGGCGCGATACGGCCGGGGCCTGCAAATGGAGCCGTCAGGCCGTGCAGATCATCCCATACACCGGCCGCTATCAGCGCCAAGGTCACGCAGTCATACGGAGACGGACACAGATTCAGTCATGTATTTCACATTCATGGCCTCCGTGCATGAAGGCGACAGCAACTCGGCAAGATGGCGTACATCAGCTGTCACAAAGAACATTCCCTAGCACCAGCTCTGCGGCGTCACACTGACACGTTACACGTCACACTACGGCGTCACACGTCACACTACGGCGTCACACAGTGACATCAAGACGTCGCAAAACAATCCAACAATCATCACAACACGGTGACATTATCCTAGTGTTATGTGAGCAGCTACCCGGCCGGACTGGCGGGCCCTCCAGTCGGCCCCGCGGGCGTCGGCGAGTCGCGGGGTTTGTCCAGCTTCGGGAAGCTGATGTGCCGCTTGCCGCTCTCCTGCGCCTGAAGGAACTCCACCTCCGACAGCGGGTCCTTGGAGGTCCAGTCGAGCTCCTCAATCTGACCCGTCTCCGACTGAGGCGCGTGCATCTGCATCATCTTGAAGTGCTTCAGGATGTCCTCTGGGGAGTGTAAAAGGTCATCAGATATGGCGAATGGGCGATAAGGCACGGCAACAATGCTGGCGATATGGTTAAAGGGACCCTCCCACCTTAACATTAGATTTGAGTTGAGATAGCCAAAATGGGGTCCCTGGCTCACAATTACCGGTTTCGGCACTCACAACATCGAGAAATGCCTTAAATCGGAAATATTGAATTTCAAAATTGCAGCATTTTGATTCAGAGGGGCTAATGCTTAGGAATACCCCTCTGAATGTGTGACGTCAGCGCAGATATCTAACGATTTTTAAATGTTTGACTAAAACGTTTTGTAGCACGCGGTGGTATATGCTATTTGCGCGCAACATCTGCCGCAAACGCCGCACTTCTAAAATAAAGTCGCTAGAAACAACGGAGATCCCAAAAAAGTAAACAAAAGTAAAAGTCTAATATCTTGAAGACCGGTGAATATTTTTCGGTGAAATTTGGTAGATATTCGTTTTCGCTCTTTCTGAACCGAGCGACATCACTTTCATGCCAATTCATAAACTTTTTTGAAGGTGGGAGGGTCCCTTTAATGCACGCGAACATGGAACATTTGGGCATGGATGAAGGGCCATGGATGAAAGATGAAAGGTTTTACTTAACCCATGATTAGGGGTTCCGATAAATTCTTCAAAAATCTCAAATACTCGACGAGTGATGAAGGAGCTACGATAGAGTAAACACATCGTCAAACATGAAAACACGAGTTTAGACGGCGGGTTTTCCGACTCACTTACTCCTGCCGCCCCGATCGCCACCCCCGGGGCCACCGAGTGGGCTATGTCACTGACAACATGTATCAATATTTACGCCCCGGCACCGCCGGCAGTTACAAGTCCAGCGCAAACAAACACGCCGGCCGCAGAAGTGCATCCTTGCGGGACGCGTGGCCGTCGCCGTTCCGCAGGGCCATTGTGCCCGGGGGTCGACATAGCGGGCTTTGTCTGGGGATCAATGCCCGCACCGGGTACACGGTAGGTAGGAAGTTACTGAGGACGTGTTACATTGGTGTGAGGGGTTCTGTCGAAGCCGTGCTACAGGGAAATGACACTCGGTCGGTGCTAATTTGACTGACGGGTTGCCGATGGCTAGGAATGTCTCGCACTCCCATTGCTTTATCACGGGTGAATAACTGAGGCATGTAGCCGTTTACAAACCGTTACGTAACGTAATAATACACAGCGTTTTTAGCATTACGTAAAAAAAATCATTCAAGAAATGTCCACAATACCTCACAGTTCACACACAAATCCGGCAGCAGTATGGGATATTCCATCACGTAGCACACAGCGCACCTTTATAGTAAACACCTGGACCTGTAAACACTAACATACCACACACCCGCCCCACTCCGTCTCCCGCATCCCGACTGTGCCGGTCAGGAGGTCACGGTGCGGGTCTCCCCTCCACCCCCCCCCCACACCTCCACTCCCACACTTTGACAGTGCCCAGTCGCACGTCCACACCCCTGCCGGATGCAACATCTCCGGTATCTTACCGACGACGCGCTCGTCCAGCTTGTGTGTGGCGGCGATGGAGGCGGGCGTGACCTGGTCGGGTCGCTCGGCGTGCGCCGACACGAAGCCGACCACGGTGCGCAGCGTGGCGCGGCCGTAGGGCACGCGCTCCGGCTCCGTGTAGCCGAAGGTGGGCAGCTCGGGCGGCGTCCGGTCCACCGGCAGGTTGGCCGCCCGCTCCCGCTGCACCGGCATGTCCTGAGAACGGCGTCAAAAGATGGATCATGGATGGTGTGAGTGCCAAGCGATCTGCAATATTAGAGGCCTTAATGACACAATATATTTTTATCAGCTTATATTTTAAATTTAAACCTCAATAACGGTTCATTGCAACATCATAAATGAGAAGTGAGTAAGAAAAGTAAGAGTGAAAATATTGTCCTTTACTTACTGGTGGCTCCTTTGATGTAACATAGACATTTTCAAGTCTCTTCAACAGTTCTGTATCTTTTTTCTCCAGTTCTGTTGCCAATTCTGGACGCTCTGAGGGTACAAGGTTGTTAGTGATCAATACATTGCACCCCCAAACAATTCAGACTCAACCACTCAAGCACTCAGAGATATCACTGAGATTATCTGAGCATTATGTACCTACAAAGTAGAGATCAAACTGTTCCAAATTGAAATAAAATTATTATCCTCAAAGGATCATCCATATAACGGGTGTGCACTTAGTTTCTGGAAAAAGATTGATCATCCGTATCTTTAAAACTATTAAAGCTATCAATACAATTTTTCGTACAGTGAACAATCATTCATTTGGGAATGAGCATGCCAAAATTCAGACCAAACCGACTATTTTTTCATACAGAAAGGAGCTTACAACTATGTCATGAACGCGGAAAAACGTGGCGGAATCTTCACAAAAATAACAAAAATTTGAGAGAAACAACTTCTCTTCCCACTGGTGCTTTCCAGGTATTGCTAGAAAGATTGCTTGTGCCATTAGAGGAACGGCACAAGCACGGGGAAGTGCGTGGCACATGCACAGTGTGCAGGTGTGTTGGTTCGTGGCGAAAGTGCCCCAGCAGAAGAGGCTCGTTCTGGTAAAAGGTATTCACCATCTTGTGAGTGTTCCCGATACGCTTCCCGTCCTCCCGTTTTCGATGTTTGTAAGAAAAATTTTAAATTGTGATATTGTATACCAAAAAGGGTAGAGATACCATGATCCAGCACTCGGCAGCCGATAAAAGCAGCAGAGGAGCAATGAGACATGGATCTGTAAGCTATCACGATAAATGCTGAGTGCACAGACGAATCAAGCAATCACCTGTGGATGCTGGAATTAGATCGCCTAAAAGAGAAATTTTATGTAATGAAGATGGGGTAAAACACCACCTCGAGAAGCAGGCGCTCACAAAATGTGGAACCATAGCCTGTTGACCACTTTCGACGCAATCTCCTGGTCAGTGGACCACCATATCCCCACGTGCGGGATCCAGTCATTATGTTAGCCCTATGTCGCCAATGCCGAAGTCGATATCTTTTGACAGCAGTGCTTAAATAAAGAAATTTTGTCACTTTGGGAACATCACTACCCGAGGGAAGTATAGGTGTCATGATCAAACCACAATACAGTCACTGTGCGCGCGGAGCGCTGGATCTACGGGACGGCGCACATGTACCGTTTGTGAGCCGCGAAGAGAATCTTCTTGACATATCTCAACGGCGACCGAATGGGGACTTATGAAGACAATAATCAGTTGGTGACATACCAGGGAAATAAGCTAAAATTAGAGTGCTCTATTTATTGCTCCTGCCCCATGTTGAAGAGATACCCCTAAAAGCGTGATCTTTTATCGGCCCTTACGCAGCAAGGCAGTACTTCTCAGGCCGGTGGATGGTATCAATAGAAAGAGAATGCGTCAAAGATTAACATGAATTAATTAAAATAACATCAAAATGTTAATTAAGCGTGGAAATTAGTCCCAAACTTAAGCTAATTATTGCTCCTACCTCGGCGACGGCGCTCCCCGCAGTCAGCGGAGAAGCTAAAATAAAAGCCACCATCCTCCTCCGTAAGTCAATTTTAGAGCGGCCGAGTGGGCCGATGCGGGGCCACCAAACTGAGGTGAGACGTGGCTAGCAATTGCGAACTGCCATAGAAATCAATATCTTAAGACGTACAATATGGGATGATTACTCTGAAGCAGGAGTGAAAGCATGAGTAGCTAGCAAGAAACGAAATGCATAGATTGGTTGAATTATGTACAATAGGCACAGCTCAGATGAAGCCATTTCTTTGATGTTGACATTTGACATAACCCTTTCTCTCCTCACCTACGACCTAAGTACGTTGGCAGTTACCGGCATAGTTTTTTTTTTAGCACGAGTGTAATTCGCCATCGGACCGCAATGCATGTTGCTAGGCTGCTGCAATTACAACGAACATACGAATACTGCCTTCATTTGTAGACGTTTGTTTTTTAGGCGGTCTTTGACGTACAAGGGGGCATACCTGTCGACAACTTGAGTTTCTCCGAATTTCAAAAACTCCCAGAATTCCAATTCCTTATGCACTGTTGTAGGTACAGCTATGTTCACAAGTTTTCGTTTCCTCCTGCTCTAAAAAGGATGATATTTGTCGATTTCGTGCGTCGCTGATAGAAGGGTGCGTTTAATAATTAGGCCCAACGCTTTCTGCATCCGCGAGTACCTTGAAAAGGGAACAACAGTTTCCATTTATTACACTATGGGACAAGTGACAAAATGACCACCGCAACACGCATGAAACGGAGCTCATATTCCTAAAAATGTCTACAATCACTTCTTTTCTGACACTATTAGCAAATACCATCTCAAGTTAGGTGGTTGACAGACAGTCAATGGAGATCTGGGGAGACTGAGTGATGCCAATTCACCACTTAACTGATAATGAGGGCCGAGGGAAGAGAAACATGCAACATGCACAACTGACAACTTGACAAGTGACAAAACACTACCACTATTGCGCATTGCACAACAAATTACAGCAGCCAGCCCAAAAATGCTTTTGGTGGCTAATTGCAAAACAAGTCACTAATAAATGTCTTAGTTGCAGCTGAACACTGCACAATGATCACACTGTTCACACATTGAGTGAGATGCCACAGGTGGTTTGAATCACACTTTGGTACAACTGCAAATCTGAAGTGTTGTCATGAGGTTCATGCCTCCATGATCACAGCACTTTGGTTGTGGTTGGCATAACACTTGTAGTCTGCAGAGTTCCACATGAACTGCAGACACCTCATCTGGTGGTCTTCATGTTGCTCAACTTCTTCAGGAGGCAAATGTCGACCACCCAGCGGAAGCATGGTCCTGCAGAAAAGAAAGGTAATGCATAAGGTACAAACATTATCTGCTGAAACAGCCCCTTCTGTTTGCTGTTATTAAACTTTTAACATAACATAACAACATGTATTCCATGTATATTACATTTGTTGAAGTAAAATACTGCCCGCTATTTCAAAACCAGAATATGAAATTATATTGTGGCATAATTCACATGCTCAGCTATCAGTATAATTAATTTAAAATTTGGCATATTCTATATAACACATTCATAGAATGTTCTACTTCACGTCACAAGGACTCACAATCTTTCTGTTGGGTGTTTGATTGACGCATTAACTAGGTTTGTCTTAGGTTTTATTATTGCAAAAAATTCATATTGCATTATTGTATCAAAATACTGCCAGCAATAACAAAACAAGAACATGAAATGTCAATGAGCAAGCCGCCTTTCCTAAAAATGGATTACTTTGAAAAGAATTTTAGTTTCTTTTAAGGAAAAGGAGAAATGATTATCAGGTTATTATCAAAAACCACTCAACCAGCAAGTGGCTGGGTGGTTTCACAGCAAACATCAAGCCAAAACATATGCTTACATTTATCTAACAATTGAGTCATTTGACTACACAAGGATATGTGAGCAAAATAAGAATCCAATCATCCAATGTTGACTTCCTTGCAAAGTTTATGCCTTATTTTATGAAAATGTGTCACTAGAATATGATACTTATCATCGAATATTATTTAATTTACGATTTATTTCGATCGGAACGCACATGGGGTCCCGCGCCATTTTCGTCGACGATAAATATGATCGTGTTTCATGAAGAGATAAGGGGTTTCAATGGTCTTTCAAAGCAATAATTTGATGCAAAAATTTGTAGGAAATAATATAAAGCTGGTTCAAATGGCCATCAACCATTTAAAACACCGAAAATACTCACAACTCCGTCCCGACGACCACGCAGCACCGCGCACGCCACACTACTGGCACAATGCCAAAACTGCCGTCACAGCAGAAATGTTTTTTTTTTCTCGATTGCAATTGTGGAATTATTTATTAAACAGAAGATTATCTTTCCGAAAAACCGACTGATTTCATACACAGATGCATGGAAAATAAAAAAAAATCCCGGTAAGTTTATTTGTATCGTTTTGTCGATTTTGACATGCTCCTAGTTTGCAGCCATATTTCGATATGTTCTACAGGGAGTTCAGAATTATTTCAGGACCAATCTTTTCCTCATTCATTTTCCCGTCGATCATGAAATTTTTAGAGCGGAACAATTAGTTTCCAGGCGGTCCGAGCGGTTTTCGTGAGAAGGGTGCAAAAATCGGCGTCATTTTTAGAGCCTCGACACCAGCTCAACACAGGACCCTATGGGAGACGGTGAAGTAGCGGGAGCAATAAATAGAGCGCTCTAATTTTAGCTTATTTCCCTGGTGTGTCACCGACTGTAATAGTACTAAGGAAGATGTTAAGTGCATATTAGCGTCTATTTGAAGTCCATAACCCGCTAGCCATCGCCACACCTGGACCCGGAGGTGCCGCGCAATTTCAACAGGGGGCGTCTGTATAGCACGTGGGCTGTAGACCGCCTGGGAGGAGAGAGCGCCTAATTCTTTTGACAACTCTTAACTATTGTTGCAATTTATATATGTGCCAGATATCATCTTAATCTAAGTTCAAACACGAAAGTTATGGCAGCACAAACTTTTTCCAGAAACTAAGTGCACACCCGTTACTTTCCCATTGAGCACTCTTTGTAGCTGAAGATCAAGAAAAAAGCAAAATCAATTGGTTTCACTGATGGTTTCTAAGCTAAGTAATGGATCCACACCACAAGCCTCTTTAAAAATCATCTCTAATAACACATAGGTAATCTGAATTGTTGAACTGATTCCATGCTTGAAAAGCATCTTGCAAGTAGCAACGTAAAGAATACAAACCTTCTCTTAATTTACTGAGGAATTCTTCATTGGCCTTATACTTTGGAGGTGGTCGGATCTTTTCTTGAGTTATTATTTTCTGAGCACGATTTTCCACATTCAAATTCCTTGATATCCTCCATGCCACATGTGAGTAAACCTTGCCCATATTAACCTGTGGGGCAAAAACATATGAGGAGTTATGCAACCAGTTCGAATAAAGTCAAAGTGATGCATGACCATTTGTGACAATGCTTCCCAAAAAAATGAAAATAAAGCATATCAGCACAGCTTTATCATTGGAACATAAACTTAACTAAATGCTGAGCCTGGCTCACAGCAATGTATACCGAACTTGAGTGAAGTGAGTGAGGTGCGATTAGGTGCACGTTGGGTGTGAGTTGGCTTGAGTCAATGCCGTTTGAGTTTACTTATTGAGTTGCTGTTTATGGCTGGCTGCCAAATTTCAATAGCTACTATATTGCAGGGGACATTTCTGATTCTTCCCTCTGTCAAATGATGAAATTGCAAAATACTACAGCAATGAATTGGGTTATTTTGATTTGATGCTTCATATTTTGCAGTTTAATTAGGAAATTTGATTCATTTCAACCATTCATAACCTCTTCAGAAGAAATGTATGTTGAAAGCTTTAGAGAAAAGTTACGCTCGAAAAAGTTTTTGAAGTTTTCTCTCTCTTTCGGAGACAAGTACGACGCAGCTAATACAGTTTAGTCTTCGCATGAGTTTCTGAGCACGCCTGAGTTTTCCGGTTTTCACATGCCACGGACTGAGGCGAGCTGAGTGATTATCTGCCTGCTGGTGTGAAATGCGAGGCTCAGTTCGACTTCACAACTTTTCAAAAGCTTAGGGACATCATAGTTATACTTGTTTTATATCTATTCAAGCAGCAATAGCTGTAAATATTTGTCAAATTACCTTCTTCTGCTGATCAATTCTGTCAAGTTTTCTTGAAATCGGTTTTGTACAGGTCCCAGTTTGAGTTCCACCTGCAGACTAGGTATCACAACCTTTCATCAACTTACATATGATGTACCGGGTATGGAATGGAGTTTCTCGGTAAGCTCTCATGGTTTTTATAGTCAAGGATCTCAGAAGTATTGAGGCTGGGCTTCATCTTTGTCTGGTGTGCATTGTACCCACATTTGTGCCTGAAAGGTGCTAGATTAAAACTTGGAGTTAGTTTTTAACCATTTTCATTTAAAGTTGTGCAAACAGATGGGTAATGGCCTCATAATGTAACTTGTATATCCCAGGGTAACCCGTGATATGGTATTAGACTAAAATCATGTGCTTCATTGAATTCGGGGTGCTGACATTGATAATTATGGCGATTTTAGGCTCAGGCATAGGCAGCCCAGCACTTATTTAATGTCATCATTTTTTGTTATTTATTATTGCTGAAACGCATTGTGTTTTAGTGCTATAGCGGCCTCTCTGCCAGCAGCCGTGATGGATCCCAACCACTCCTCTGCCGGCAGTGGTGTCCGTGGAGCGCGGAGGGTGCCGCCGACTCCGTCCCGTCCGGCCAGCTCGGCGGCGGCGGACGGAGGAGGAGGCGGCTCGGTGGATATCAGTCAGATCCCGCTGACAGAGCCGATCCCCGGCCTGCCCACCCCGGTGGGATCGGCGGCCGTGTACGGCGCCACAGAGACCCAGGTGACGACCCTCAGTAACGGACTGAGAGTCGCCTCTGAGCCCAAGTTCGGACAGCACTGCACAGTCGGAGGTGAGTGTACCGCAGCGCGAACGGTGTCCCCAAGGGCGTGAGGAGTGAACTTATCAAGCGCATTTTCCAGCGGGACTTATGAAATGTGTGCCGGTATTGTCATACGCTGCAATTTCACGGTGAGGTAGGATATTGTTTTTGGATTTTTTTTCATGCGTACTGCATGGTACAGTACCGATATATTTTATCGATGTGAGTCTATAAGTGCGGACAGGACATTGACGCCCTCACTGGAGGACTGATTGTCTGCCGGTATAACTTTTATGTGATGACACCATGTTCTCATTCTGGTAGTGGTTGCTGACGCCGGTTCGCGGTACGAAGTGGCCTACCCGAGCGGCATCTCTCACTTCCTGGAGAAACTCTCCTTCGGGGTGAGTCCCACAGTAACAAGGCCCAATGACTGCCGAGCTGCCGGACAGTCGCTAGTGCCAGTTAGACTCATTCAAGCAGAGTCACATTGGCTAGCTTACCATAGCCAGCAACCCCAGGCCCGTTTGGCTATATGTACTACTAGTCGTTCGTTCTTGAGCATCAGCCTCAATTTTCGCTCGCATTTACCGCTGTTTTTATTTTATTCGTCCTTTGATCTGTATTTTGATGTCATTGACACTACCTCTGTGCCTCGGCAGGCCACGAAAAAGTTCAAAGACCGGAACGACATAATGCTGACGCTGGAGCGTCTTGGCGGCATCTGCGACTGCCAGCAGTCCAGGTAGGAATTCCAACACCGACGGTGCTTTTATTTTGGGGAATCGTAAAAAGTGTATCGCAAATGTTAAAAGTAATTTCAGTTGCATATGATACCAGCATGGATGAGATACTATTACCTCATCCATGATACAAGTATGACATTGCCGTAATGCTCGCTGGGCTTTGCTGTCCTGAAGGCCGTGTCTCACAGACCGCGCTATCCTTCCTCCGCCGCTGCAGGGACGTATCGATCCACGCGGCCTCTGCCGAGGCGCGGCACGTGGATGGCGTGGTGGACCTACTGTCAGACGTTGTCCTGCGGCCCCTCTTCACCGAGGACGAGGTGCGTGAGACGGCACCCGCGGCTCGTCACTCACTGAACAGGCAGTGTGTGCAGTGGTGGCTCGATGGGCCGCCGCCGGTGTATCCATAGCGGGCGCAGGTGTACTTTTTGGACTCTTTGTGACTGGCTGATTTTTTTTTTTTACTCCAATTATTGTGCCTGAATTTTATTTTCAGAGTAATCCGATACCCCGAGCATAATTGTCCTGTTTTCCGTCGTACAGATGCAGATGACGCGAATGATGATCCAGTATGAGCTGGAGGATATCGAGAGAAACCCCAACAAGGAGGCGCAGCTCATGGAAATGATACACGCGGTAAGGAGACGCCACAACGTGTCTGGAATGTCATAAGACTTTGTACCATGGGCCTGTCACGAAATGAATATGAATTGCCGATTAATTACGGAGCGAGCGAAGCGAGCGGAGTCTTACGTAGAATAACGGAAATTTCTGAGTATGAGCGGCCGGCCGGCCGGCCGGCCGGCCGTGCGGACGCTTTTGCGAGGCTTATATCTCAGCAACCACTTGACCGATTTACACGCGGTAATTTTTGTAGGGTAGCTTCATTCCTTCTACCAAGTATTGGACTATTCCCGATGCATGTGGGTAACCCCTTATGCACGTGCCACGTGCAAAACGAAGAGGTGTCAGTTTTGCAATTGTTGCAATATTTCGGTAACTACTTGGCCGATTGCGCTGAAAGTTGGCATGTAGGTAGGCACCCACTAGGCACTGCATATCCATGTGCCAGAGTTGGGGTGCTGCAGCACGTGCGCACGTGCAGGGGTCGTTTCCAGATCTCGAGAACGGCTGGACCGATGGCGCTCAAATTTGGTACACGGTTAGGGACCAGTTAGTAGGGTGCCGTGCACAAGTCAGTTGGGACCCATTTTGCACGTGCGCACGTGCAGGGTGCCGCTCCCAGATCTCGAGAACGGCTGGGCCGATTGTGCTCAAATTTGGCACATCGCTGGAGACCGGTCAGTAGGGTGCCGTGCACAAGTCAGTTGGAGGTACCCCCTCGAAATTTCGCACGTGCAAGACTCGCCCCCTCGCTCGCTCCGTTAGTCGCCCCAAAAGGCGCTATACTGGTTTAATTTTATGCTTATGTAACTCGCTCCATACGCGCTCTACCAATGAGCGAAAGCAATTTTTAATCGACTTTTCATTGCGTGATTTAAACTTTTTGCCCCTCCCGCTCCCAGGCGGCGTTCCGGGAGAATACGCTCGGCCTGCCCAAGACGTGTCCGGCCAACAACGTGGACCAGATCAGCCGGCGCCTGTTGTACACCTACCTGCGCCACCACTTCGCGCCCAGCCGCCTGGTGGTGGCTGGTGTGGGCGTGGAGCACCAGCGGCTCGTGGACGCCGTCCAGAGGTGAGTGTATGTAGTATGTACTATTGGTCTCAAGATAAGAGCCCAGGCGACCAGTAGTTTTGATGCGGTGAATACGCTTACCCTCGCCACAGCTCGGGCCAAGTGCACCCCTCCTCCCACCCAGCTCCACCCCCACTCGAGTTGTGGCGAGGGTGAGGGTATTCACTGCATTCGAACTACAGGTCGCCTGGGCCCTTATCTTGAGACCAATAGTACATTACATATACAGTGGATAGTGGGCGGGGGAAAGTGGGCAGTGAACAGTGAATGGTAGACTGTGGAGATTGGACAGTGAATGGACGACTGCGGACAGTGGGCGGCGGATGGTGCACCAGCTACTAATGGACGACGGGCCAGGATAGTCTAGCAATGAACGAAGAGTCGCCGATGTAGCTGGGAGATCCAACGGAATGCCTGTATTCGTTGGCTCTGCTCTGCTGTTATCATGTCATCCCTCCCCCTACCGTGTCTCTCACCGCCCCCTCTCCCGCCGTGTTATACAGACACTTTGTGGACGAGCCGGCCATCTGGGAGGCGGAGCCCGAGCTCGTGCTACCCGGGAAGACGGGCGTCGACACGTCCGTGGCCCAGTTCACCGGCGGACAGGTCCTGGTGAGTCATGGCGGCCGCGGGCGGTGGGGGGGGGGGGGTGTCTGTGAACTGTGGGTGGCTGGTTGGCTGTTGAGTTGGTTAGTGGTGAGAAGGATAGGCACTTAATTTACTGTGAGAGCGATAGTTAAGATACTTTAACGATATTTTGGTTTACTGTGCTTAACTTTTGTGGAAATTCAGTTTGTAAGAAATCATATTAAAAAGGCTGACATATTTGTTAGTTCAGAGATCAGATTTAAATCTGATCGGGAAGGTCTCGGGAAGGCGCTGCGCCTATCTCACACTGACCCCTTCCTGGCTCCCCCTGTCGTCAGATTGAACAGGACGCGTCTGACGTGTCTGTTTCACCCCCCCCCCCCTCTGATGTCCTCAGATCGAGCAGGACCTGTCTGACGTCTCGCTGGGCCCGTCGCCGATGCCCGAGCTGGCGCACCTGGTGCTCGGTCTGGAGTCGTGCTCCCATCACAGCGCTGACTTTGTCACCACCTGTGTGCTCAGTACGCTGATGGGCGGCGGCGGCAGCTTCAGCGCCGGAGGGCCCGGCAAAGGCATGTACAGCCGGCTCTACACCAACGTCCTCAACAGGTGAGACACGGCAGGAAGATGTTGTCGGCGAGCTTTGGGGAAGGGCTATCCGCGGTCTTAGATGATGTTTTTTTCTGATATGAACGCAACACTTTTCATCTGACACGCTTTGTTTGATTATGAGGTTTGGTTCCACGCATGCTTTTGTCAGCTACGGTTCTGTAGAAGCTGTTGTTTTAGAGTTTATATTATGTGCGAGTATAACATGGATAAGTATCGATTTTATGCCCGTATAACACTCAGCCGTCCATCCCCTCATCTCTCCCCACGCCGTGACCTGTCTGTGCCGCTGCCGGCAGACACCACTGGATGTATAACGCCACGGCGTTCAACCACGCGTACACGGACAGCGGCCTGTTCTGCATCTACTCGTCAGCCCACCCGAGCCAGCTGCGCGAGCTGTGTGACGTCATCGTGCGCGAGCTGACCGCCATGGCCGGGCCCATGGACGTGGTCGAACTCGAGGTACGACCAAGGGGAGTTTGATGTTGAGAGAGTATGTACTGTGTACGAATTGTTACCGGGCTGTATATATCTGGGATTTTTTACGTGTTATATGAACGCTAGAGTAAAGACGCTACCTGACTAGGGAAGGTCACAGCTGAACTTAACTATGAAATCCTTATATGAAGTGTCACGTTTCCCGTCCCGCCCTTCGGCGTGTCTTCAGCGTGCCAAGAAGCAGCTGACGTCCATGCTGCTGATGAACCTGGAGGCGCGGCCCGTTCAGTTCGAGGACATTGGCAGACAAGTTCTGGCCACCGGGCACAGGAAACAACCCAAACACTACATCGATCAAATCAGTGAGTAAAGAGACGGCGGGCGTGTGAGGGTGTAGCGGTTACGATCTCTGGTGAGGGCTCGTGCAATAGGAGAATGGGTGAAGAATGAAGATCGACCGTGGCTTGAGGAAGTCCGCCTTCGGTATCTTAGAACATGCTGTGCTAAAATAGAAAGCTTAATGAAATTGCGACGCTATTGCTTTCAGATAATAAAGAGTAGTCTTGACCTTGAGTTTTTAGTTGTTTCGCCCTGCACGTAGCTGACCGTTTTTCTCCTCCCGTGTTCCCCAGGCCGGGTGACGGCCGACGATGTCCGCTCGGTGGCCTCCTCCATGCTGAGGGCCAAGCCGGCGATGGCCGCGCTCGGCTCGCTGGCCAAGCTGCCGACCCTCTCCGACATCGAGGCGGCGCTGCTGAACCCGGGCAGGGCGCCCGGCCGGCGGCGGTACTCCCTTTTCTAGCCGGCCGTGCGAGTGGTGGTTGTAGGTGGCGCTGTCCGGCCTGTGGAACTGATATAGATGTCGCTGGTGGCAGTTGTGAGTGCTGAACGAGCGAGTGAATGATGAGCCAAGCGATAGAGCGGGATACTGAAGAGATCGCTGGTGTCAGCGGCGAGCGATGTGTTTGTTATGATTTGAATGTCATTTGGGGTACATTTAAGACAGTTGTGTGCGTGACTGATGAAAGACAACTGAACACGTGTGAGGTAACGCCGTCAGTAGTTGTGGTGTATACGCAGCGATTCCCGTCATTCGCAGATGCTGTGGGCTTTGCTGAGTGGCTCCCATTGAAACGAGTGCAATGTTTTGCGACTGAGGTGCCAATTCAGGATCGTGTGATTGAAACACAGTCGTGCTTGCTAGCCGCAACATGAACAATCTCTTTCGGCAGGATTTAACTTCGTCGTTTTTGTTTCCGCCGACTCCGAGCGGCAGCCTTAGCCCCGTGGGACGTGTCTCCCCGTATATTTGCGGCCGGACCTCCTCTGATTCAGGTCTGATGCGTATGCCATTGATGCCTGGACGTGCTTTGTATCTGACAGGGCCGCTGTGATCTATTGCCGAAGTGGTGGAACGTACCAGTGTACATTTTCGTTCGTGATCGGAAATAAACGATCTTTGCAAATTTGTAAGGCCAGTGTAAGCGTTAAAGTGAACGGAGTTCTAAAGTGGACGCGTCATTTCATGGGACAGCAGCTTGATTGTTGGATGCAAACGTATGCACTCTCCCGCCATTTGTTCGAAGTAAAAGGTACCTTAAATAAAAATCATATATTCTTCGCATCACTTGAAGTGACCTCACCTCATAAAAAGTTTCAATGTCTGCCATAGCTACACCGAGTGACCGATCACTTTAAAACTTTCAGCGATTGATGAGGGTAACAGTATCTATAAAATGTATATCTCCGAATTTCGATATCGGTGACCTAAGGTCAGGTCAATTTTGCGGCCTCTCCATTATAAGTCAATGGGAGAAAATTGAAAAGCGTCTGTTTTGCACGAACGCTATACTAGACACTCTCAAACATCGAGATGTAGGTAAAATTGACACACTGAACCGGAAAATGGCAACTGTGACCCCTCATGTCCCCGAGGTCATCTCAGGTCACGAACAGAATCTAACAGTTTTTCGCTAATAACTTCTGATAGAGGCGTGCTAGAGCGCTGAAAACGCCTTAGATGTGTTTGGCTCGACGTTGCGGATCGACTGATATGCAACATGATCTTTTCCGGTCAGGTCATGACCTTGACCTGAGGTCAACTTTTCAAATTGACCTTTCAAGGTCAACTTATAGTTCATTCGACGCGTCTCGACGAGAGGAACACGATGCTGGCAAAAGTAATGTCATGGCTCTTTTGAGTCAGAAGTTATCGCCGAAAAACCGATTTTCGTAAAACGGCTATTTTTGGGGTTTTTGCCCTCTGGAGGCTAAACCGTTGACCTGAGGTCAAATCTGAGAGCATTACTCAGAAAGGTCTGTAAAAGGGCTATCGAATGCGCTTTTCCGCGGCGCTGTAGCTCTATCGGTTCCCGAGATAGCCGTTGGCAGTTTCCAAATTGTTGAAATAATCAACATTTTACCTTTGGTGACTTCTGGTGACCTGACCTTTGACCTGACCCAAAAAATGACCGAAGTGTTTTCGTCCTTATTTTTGACGTTCTTTCTATTGCCGCTTACCGCGTGTCGCTGCGTGGCCCAGGAGCCGAGTTAGAAGGGGGGGGGGTGTTCAAACACCCCCCCCCCCCACACCAGGTCGTGGAAAATCCAGACTGACACTGGGGCGCGGGAGGGCAGACATCCCCATGGTGACGTAAACGGTGGCTCCTTTTCTGTCTTTATGGTTGTTTTCGAACGGCTTGAGAGAGCCAAAGCACCGAGCAGCGTATCCCCCACCCCCACCTCTGCCTCCCCAGCAATACGTGGCTGAGCGTATAAGGTTAAGGAGATCATCTGACGTGTCCTAATGACTCCAAACAGTGTTTGTTGTCGCTCGCGAGCTCAACATCGCAAACCTGCGAATTATTTATTAGCTTGCAGTTGGATCCATCGTCAGCGTGTCGACTGGGATTGTCCTCTAGCCTAGATGTGTGCTCAGGGGGGGGGGGGGGGTGCGGGAACTACTTTCAGACTGGGGGGGGGGGCACACCATAATAGAGATCAGCCTAGGGTACCCCAAATCCAGTTTTCTCACCGGTTTTAGGTTCACCCATTTTTCATCAACTTTTTCAGCAAAAAAGGAAACATTTGCAAAAAAGTGCGGTATTCCGTCTCAAAATTGTGGGGGCACCGCCCCCCCCCCTCACGGCCCCAGAGTTGGGGGGGGGGCAAGCTTCCCTCACTGCCCCTCCCCCCCCCCCCCGGTTCCCCCCGACTGAGTGTGTGTGCCTACTCAGCCCTATATCTACCAGCGTATAGCTATTCGTCACTCAAGTAAAAATGAAATAAATAGCACCAAATGATTTTGTTTTGCATCGATCTCAAGAATGATCTTTTAGTTCCGGCAAATGTGGAGACCGAAAGGCTGTCCAATAAGACGGTGTTCGTAATTGATGAGACAGAGAGAGCAATTACGAGAGATATGGGGATGAATCATTGGACTAAGGTGGCAAAAGTTGGCGGCTGTTACATCGTATCAGCTCAGCCCGTCCAGAGAGACGGGCGGCCGAGGCATGTTAGCGGTCACTATAGAAGAAGTTTACCCCGGAGAGGTCCTCCGTCTCAGTGCTGGCTAGTGGAGTGAAGACGATGAAGGCAGGATAGGCGTACGTACGTCATGACGATAGGAAAACACTTATCGGTAATATCAGGATTTAGGCGTCCCTGTAGGTATAAGGTGTAGGTGATTCAGTTGTTTCCTGATGCAAATTCGGCTGAATCAAGTTGTTTTGTGGACGGACCATTTCCGCATAGCCCCCCTCCACCCCTCCCCGGGCTCCCCAGTCCCCGCACGCCAGCCAACTGCTGGCTTGGCGACAGACTACGGGACTTGTATTTAGTTATCAACTAGACGAGATCCCTTCTATATGTCGAACAGGTGTGAGGTGTCGTTTCCGCCTCAGCTCGGCACACAGCCTGTGCGTTTGTACTGTTCACGGGCGACATCACGGGATTAGTGTTTTGCCATCTGATAGCTAAACACTGTCGTATTTTAATTGCCTCGGATGTCTCATTTAGGAGGCGCCGGGGCCTGCAAGGGGTGGTAATTGGACAGGGCAGGATTGAGACCCGACACTGGAACTGGATGGTAGACGAGATAAGGGCAGCAGGGGTGTTAATCATAACGCTACGCTTCTCCACGCAGCCCGTTCATCATACGACTCTTATTCTGTGGGCTGGCAAATGAGTTCAACCTTCGAGACGACCGAGTGGAGAGAGCGATCAGTAAGGGCGCAGCCAGTTGGCGGCGGAGGGGTACGAGGCTCGGGCAGTGGGCACCTTTACACAAAAAGCGATTTATGCTATACGTCCTCTAGAATGTGATGGTAGGTAGTCCGTTAAAGTTCTTCAATAACTGTCTCGTAACATCACCTTTTAAGTTTTATGACATTGCAGTCAGAAGTACTCGATGAAAATGTTTTCGTTGACTTCTTTTCCTAGTCCACTTATAACTACCTGATACTCGGTTCCATCACACGCTGATTACATGACAGCCGGTGCCGCAGCCTACGGCTAAATTAGCGTAATCTCATCATATCGTGCGTAAAAACCACACATTAGAGGTAGCTGAATTAATTAGCATCAGCAGATCCCTCCGCATCCAACGCTGTTTTGCCCGACTGCAATTCGTAGACTCAGCAGTGGACGCATTACCGACCACAGCCAACAGTGGCGCAGCCAGGGGGGGGGTCAGAGGGTCAGCTGACCCCCCCGAAATTTCTGTCAGGGGCCCGCTCGAGAGAGAGAGTGAGAGAGAGAGAGAGAGAGAGAGAGAGAGAGAGAGAGAGAGAGAGAGAGAGAGAGAGAGAGAGAGAGAGAGAGAGAGAGAGAGAGAGAGAGAGGAGAGAGAGAGGTCCTAATCTAATCGGATGAGCCCGCTTCGAGAAATGCCCACTGCGACACCTCGGGTGAGGGGTCGGCCTGGGGCCCCAGGTGGACAGGGCCCGGGCCCCCAGGAGAACGGGCCCGGCCCCCTGGGTGGATGGGACCCGGGCCCCCTGTAGATGGGTCCGGGCCCCCGGGTGGATAGGGCCCGGGCCCCCCGGCGGATGGGGCCCCGGTGGATGGATCCGAGCCACCGGGAGAACGGGCCCCGGGTGGACGGGGCCCGGACCCCCGGGTCCCGCGAGAACGGGTCCAGGCCCCTCGGGTGGATGGGGCCCGAGGCTCCGGGAGAACGGGCCCGGGCCCCCTGGGTGGAGGGGGCCCGGGCCCCCGGCTGGATGGGGCCCGGGCCCCCGGGAGAACGGCCCTGAGCCCCGGGTGGACGGGGCCGGACCCCCGGTTGGATGGGGCCCGGGCCCCGGGAGAACGGGCCCGGGCCCCCTGGGTGGATAGGGCACGGGCCCCTGGGTGGATAGGGCACAGGCCCCCGGGTGGATGGGGCCCGGGCCCCGGGAGAACGGGCCCGGGCCCCTTAGGTGGATGGGGCACGGCCCCCCAGGTAGATGGGGCCAGGGCCCCCCGATGGATGGGTCCGGGCCCCCGGGAGTACGGACCCCAGGCCCCGGGTGGACGGGGCCCGGGCCCCCGGCTGGATGGGGCCCGGGCCCCCTGGTGGGCGGGCCCCGGAGCCCCGGGTGGACGAGGCCCGGAGCCCAGGTGAACGTGGCCCGGGCCCCCGTATGGATAGGGCTTGGTCCCCCATGTGGATAGGGCCCGAGCCCCCGGGTGAATGGGGCCCGCTAGGGTGACCCGCATGCTTCGCAACGCGAATAAGGGGTATTTTCGATCGGTGGGCGTTTGGTTGGTCTTGTGTCTGTGGGTTATGTATCCATTACGGTCGATTGCCTTTTGACGGCTAAGCATTTTGGTTTTGGGAAAAAATATCCATCGCATCGAGGTGCTCGTGTCTGATAATAACCATGCGTTCTACTATAGAACATGCCAAGTGTATTTCATGACATAGGTTGGCGTAGGTTATTGAAGAGTGAAAGCCATCGATGAATTACTATGTAGAGGTTTGAAACATTTATATTCTTAAGAATATTGTTCCTTGTCATGCAAAAGCGATGATTGAACCTTGGTCACAATTGAATGCTCTTCCAATCTATGCCCATTTCAATTGTCAAACATACCAGGTTATGTAGCAAAACCCCTGTAATTAAGTAAGTCATAAGCAAATGCTATTTTCTCCAGCAATTTGTTCCACCTTGTTTTTGACCAATTAGCTTTTCACAATTTTCCCATGAGAGGCGGTAGGTACATTTCTCTTGCCAACAAGCGTTGTTTGAACCCGCTCCGTCTGACAGTCACCCAAAAATAGCATTAAGTCCAAAATCCGTCCAAAACGTCAATTTTTCAAGCATAAGTGCCCTCACGGGTGCACGTGGCGCGTGCCATCCCTGCACCGCACACCATTCGATAGCCCGTTCGATTCTCATGCACGATACTGTGTTCCTCGTGCCGATCGGACCCACGGTTACCGAGATACTGCACGGGGACCGGACCCGTGTCGGGCAAGTTGAGCC